TTACTACAAACAGCACACTAGAAGTATTCCGAAAAATCACAAAGGTTGATGGAGACCTTGGACGGAAGGTGAAAATAGGACGAGTATTAATCAGAAGTGTCAATGGAATCATTTCGAACATTCCGCAGTTTAATCACTCTGTAAAACTCGTTTGGCCAAAGAAGCCATTTGATACGATTCCAACTGAACTGAAAACCATATCTCCCAGTAAAACTAGCATTTGTTGCCTGAACAATTACTGTACCCTTGTGAGAAACTTTATACTTCGGTTTTACAGATCCTTACAACATCGATTCGGGACGCTACTTTTCGTTTTGTTGACCTAGACCAAAGTCATAGCACGATATTGGCAAGTCAATTGCCGAAAGAATACTAGCTATGTGGAAATAAGGCTGAATATATCTATCGGGAGTAAAAAGTTTGCTAAAATACACGTGAAAGCATGAATATATCTACTTGAAGGGATTCCTACAAAGTTAATGAATTCCCAAAACAAAACACGATCCCTAGGTAGAACAACAACATCTTTTTTTTATATATATATATTAAAGAAGAAATTGTAATAGACGAGGGCAAATCACTCTAAGAAAATCTCGTACACCTTTTGTAAAAATCCTATTGTTTTATTTCAAAATCCCCAGAAATCCTTTTGTTTTAAGCAAAATGTCGTACGCTATTTGCAAGAGTGAATCACCCCTCGGTAATAGAAGTAGTTTTTTCATATTTGTATTATAGCTGATAGGGAATTCGTGTATAAAGATTTTTGAAATGAAAAAAAATGGAAATGAAAAAAAAGTGCACATACCTTGCTGACAGCTTCCTTTATTGCATCATATGCTTGTATTCTTAGACCTTTGTCTCCTTTACCAAATAACGTTAGCCAAAGACTGGGCTGAACACCAGTTCCCCAAATCTCCCTTACTTTTTCAGACACCTGCATGAAAAATAACTGCTATAAAGAAATTAATGCTCCTTGAGAAATAACAGAAAATAGATGCAAGAAGATTCTGTTTGTTGTGGATAAAATTGAAAAGAAAACTGATTCATATCTCAAGTTAGTTTTTGTGATGTTTTAAAAACTTTTAGCTCGTCCCAACAATCTTTAATCAAAATTTACACAAGTTTCTATCATAGTTTCAAACACAGAAAGTGACTAATCAGTTTTACCTGTTTATCAAATTCCTCGAATTCTTGACAAATGGAAGTTCTGCAATTAACCAAAAATCAAGTATTTATACGTGGTTTATAGAAAATATTGTCCTCACTCGTCACTTGAATGAGTCACAAAATTACTTCAATGCATCAGGACATGTTTAATGATCTAAACTTGAATATTTACGGTTGCAAAGTCCTAAGAATTCAGTGGAGGTGATGTTTGCAAAATTGCGTTTGTATTCAATTCGACATTAGAAAAATATGCAGAATTTACCTTTGACGAATCTTATTTCTCAAGCTTTCCATCTGCATAGAAATTATTGTTAAAAACAAAATTTACTTCTAGTAAGATAAACAAAAAAATTGAACATGAATCTTGAATTTAAATGAATCCTGGATTGACGAACACAGACATTACATGCGTCTGATGACTACTAAAAAAAGGATTGTATATCATTAAGCTTGGGTATATTTATCTGAAACTTCATTGATATTAAAGGTGAAGAATTCTGTTTGAAACTTGAAAAAAAATGGGTTTTAAAGATGGACAATAAAAATTGAAAACTATCTATCTTTAGCGATTGCTGCTAGGAGGATTGCTTTGAAATGTTTTTTCTTAAATCATTCATTGCACTTTTTTCTTTTGTTAGCGACTCGATCAAACTGACATCAGATCTTTTGCTTTTACTCAATCATCATATTCGCATTCCTCATTCCTGAAAATCCTCTTCTGAGGGCTAGCCGTGTTTTTATATTAACTCGATGATATTTGATAGCAACCAAACGCACATCGGTAGGAAATCATTTCAATTAGATAGCCAGAAATACCTCACAGACCTGAAAGGCATCGTTGACTTTTGCAAATGAGCTAGTCTTCGTGTTCTAAAATGAAATGAAGAACAATCAAACGACCAAGCTCACAAGGGTTGTCCCTTACCTGCCCAGAATTGGAGTAGACAGAAAATAGGCGTTTCTCGTGCCCGCCCAGAGGTGCCGTCATCAGGGGCGTAACTTGGCCAGTAGGTTTTGGGGGGGGGGTGAAAAGGGTTTCTGCCCTGCAAAACTGAGTGGTGCCCTGCAGACCTCGTAGCAAAGGTTTGTCTATACTCTATAGGTTACTAGTGAAAGCTTCACCAGTGTACACTGGCCTTTACCAAGGACAAACTTGAAACTTCATTGCCTATGAACTATCTATTTCTCTACGTGAGCGTAAATTATATGTCAAATTTGGTTTTCCTTGATAATAAAGCATCTATCTCGTGGCATATGTTTTTTGGTGCCTTATATGGGCGGAGCAATGAAATTAACCCCTGGGGGACTAAGAATCAAGGTTAGTGATATAGGAGGACCCACCATGGTTGGGTCCGACGTGAAGAAAATTTTTGAAATTATACCTTGTAATAGGGCTAAAAAGCATCTTTCCGACTAAAATTTAGCAAAAAAATACTGCTAAAAACTGATTATTGTTTATTGGAAAAAATAGGGAGGGGCATGTCATGCTAAAACTCTAGTGATAGACGTTGGGGAAGGAAAGAAACAGTAACCTTTCGTTTCAGACTACACATAGTTGTGAATGACAGAGGAAGATGTTGTTTTGATTGGGAGAATTTTATTTCCTGAACAGAAATGTGCAGTTTCTTGTATCGAAAAGGCCATCCAAAATTAAAACATTGCAATGATACAGAAAGTGAATTAACGCAAATTAAAGAAAAATAATAAAAATATACGTGAAAAAGTTAGTAATTAAATGAAAAAAAATCGGTATCTTAACAGTTTACTATCTTTTTATTTTATGCGCTGTTAAAAATTAATAGAAAAAATGATAAAAAAATTCTTATCTTGACCAAAGTGAGGGCCTTCATCCCCCTATTCCCCCCTGTGACGCCGTGCCTGTCATGAAAATAATTTACAACTTAAATTAATTTATATGGACTCAACCTTGCCCTCATAAACATATGCATCAATCATTGCATCCATTGGCTATGACTTTCGGTAAGACATGCTTTCGCTTTGCAAATAACGGAGCTTTTCCTTACATACCTGTTCCATTCTCTAAAATGCAATATGAGGAAGGTAGGTTCATAACAAATATGATATTTCCATTTCAAAATTCCTAAACGTCCCTTTACAAACTTCAGAGGTGACATTTCTGCGTGGCAACAAAGCTCTTCTTGGCGCCCTGCGAAATCGACTATTTTTTAGATTGGGGGGGTGTCACACCCCCCACACCCCCCGGTATTTTCGCCCCTGGCCGTCATGAGCTCTTTGGTTTATTTTTAGATAAATAGGGGTTGTAAAGCAATTTGTTCTCTAAAACGTTTCAAATTGCATTTCACGACTGTAGATTCAAATTCATTTCAAGCTGTACCTTCTATTCTATTACATTTTCTCTGAGTGTAGTCTATAGGTCTGTTTTTATGAAAAAAATCATCCCACCTCCCGGCCTTTGAGCTGAGAGGTAAGATCCCAACCACCTAAAGAGTGTTTTGTCTTTTGTATTGCATTTATATGGCAAACTAATCAGGGTTGTTAGTAAAACAAAAGTCAAAATTGTTATACCAGCATGAAATTTTATGCTGGTATCACAATTCGGACAACACTATCCCTTTAAAAGATAGGAAATGGATCCTGACTGAAAATTTCCTCCTTCGGCTACTTTTAGACTAGGGTACTTTACCACATGACTCCACAAACGACGTTATTTCGATGTCGCTGCTGAAAGTAGGTACAATAGCAGGAAACTTTGCAATAAATGGCAATCTGATACACAGAAAACGGTAGGATATAAACCCCATCCAAAAATTTCCCCCTTGTTCTATTTTTAGTCTGTGGTACACTTCTCAAGGCCTTTTTAAACGATGTAATCGCATCTCGGTCTTACTTTGGTACAACGGCATGAAACTTTGCAAAAAAGACAGTTTGATACGCTAAAAAGGATTGGATATGGACCCTAACTTAATAATGCTCCCTTTCTCTATTTTTAGAGTAGGGTACTTTTACTTTCTGTAGTGTAGAGAAAATGTAGAGGGGGACTATATAGCTTTTTCTTTATCGTATTCAAAATGAACGTTTCGACAGATTTCTTTGGGATGGCTCCCCAATATCAATATCTTTACCTTTCCATATCTTTCGTGTCTATGAAATTTTCATATACATGCGATCAGATTTCGTCCCACTTGTTAGCACACAGGTTGGAAGCTAAGAGTATTTTTCCATGTGTATCTGGAAGGTGGGAGGTGGGATAGAATCTCATCCTACTCTCAGGGGATAGAATAGCGAAATTTTCAATTCTTGAAGGTTTCGCCTTCGATATTTTTCCCGTAAACAATGGCAAATGTAAAGGCCTTTTTCCAACTAACAGTAAATCGTATTTTGTAAAGAAAATTTTAAAGGTGCAAAATCAATTTGTTTATCTGATATCAAAGATAACTCCCTACCTCAGTATTTTGTGGCATTCTATCTAGGTTTGTTTGTCACTGCATCGATTGTTTGGCATTTGCCCAGGTATACGCACTCATGTCTGCTGCTAGCTGGTTTGTGCCGATGAGTCGTTGTTGTTTGTGTAAAACACTTTCGAAAGCGGAAAAATGTTTGTCCAGAATCGGCCACGGTCAACGGTTTTGACACAAAACCATATCAAATTACTTTTTCTAAAAACATAGGCAAGAACAAAAGCTGAAATTCTGGTAAACAAGCTTCAGTTTCAGACTAAGAAATTTTCCTCTTTGCTAGCTCGATGAGGAGTTTGCATGCAAAGATTTAAATAGTAATCAGTAATCAGAAGTAATCAGAAGGACTTGGATCTGCGTGCAATTGACCCCGCATCAATAAAAATGCTAGAAAAACTGAAGGAAAATTATCAGAAGCTAAAGGACTATGTTCAACAAGTATGCAAACTGAAGTTGTACTTCCAGAGCGGGCTTGATTATGCAGAAACGAAAGCTGGCTGCAAGTGGATTTATCTCTTGTCTGGTGAATATTCAGATTTGCATGAACATAAATAGTTTAATGCGATAGGATTCATCTGTAAAAGTTTTTTAATTTATCACATTTTGGAAAGTATGATTATTATAATGACAAACCAAAAGGTTTTTTTCAGAATCTTTAATGTGTCGTCTGTGTCGTTTGAGTCGAGAAATTGTTTACATCACTTGGAAACTCTAACTTTTCCATAAAAATATGAAAGCAAGTAAGGAGACTGTCTTTGTGATTAGATTTTAAACTATCCTTCCTGATAATTTTATTCAAAGCCAGTGGTTTGCGTGCGAATGGTCGAGCGAATCGACATGCCTTCATGTGCAAAAGGCCTTTTTTAACAAACTAACTGGTAACTTTTGGGCAATTGCCCTGCATGCCCCTATTATTGTAAACAATATGCTATTTATTGCTCACCTCCTTCATTAAAAAATGCTTGCACCAAACAACCCCCACCCCTCCCTCCTCTAGCTTATTTTCTTTCGAAAAGGCTTTGTAGTCCAATTCTGTATTTCTGTTTACTTTGCATTAAAACAGCTAGAACTTTAATCAAATTAACTGTTTCTTGGTCGTACAATTGCTAAGACCACCTTGTTCTCACTTGAAAAAAAAACAAGATTGACGTATATTTTCCCGGGTCCATGTGCCACTGCAATTTGCAGATAGGCGCTTTACCTGATGAAACTGACGATAAAACCTGATAAGGCAAAGAATAGCAATCCAATAAGGCCATCCCTCTTTCGTTGCTTTTGCAATATTTATGGTATCTTATAAGTAAAGCCAAAATTGTTTGCTGTTTGCTTGCTTCTTTTCATATGAGAGAATTTTGTTTGTTAGTTTGAAACAGTGTCTTCCTAGATTATAGCAACATTATCAATGACGATATCCACATCCCCAAATTTTCACAAAATTAACATTTTTAGGGTAACTGTATGGCCAAAAACTCTTACCCTCTCAAAATGAGCTTTTTGGATGCTTCAGGTTTATGAGCTAAACGATTTAACAGGAATCCGGTAGCAAACTTGAGGTTTGTTACTGGCCGCATTACTGCCAATTTGCTATAAACGACATCATTTAGCTCCTTTGACAACAATGTCATTATATATTTTTAAAATTTTTGTAAGATAAACTTTAATTTGATGGTGGTCACAATCTTCCTGCCTGGTAAGGAAAAATGGTTAGGTCCAAAGACTTTTTAAGACTATTCTCTTAATGTTGTAGGTTTTGTGGCAATTTCTGCTGTGCTGCTTGCAATTGGTCTAGCAACTATTCCTCTAATAATGATTGGTTATATATACCCCGTGATTGCATCGTAAGTACTGAACATAACTTTTTTCACTTTTTTATATGAACAAAATGAGTTAGAAGATACTCCGTAGCTCAAAACAAAACCTATATACTTATATTTTGATTCGACACTTACAACGTTGATTCAATTTATTTCATACCACGATGAAGCAAATCTTTTCAATTCCTCAATAGTACTTTTGTCACATGCCACTTTGTGACAATGAACTGCAATGCTCTTTCTCATGAACATCATGGAAATCAAAAGACAATCTAAGACATTTTGTTCAAAGTTTCAGAGCAATTGGCAGCAACCGCAGAGACGAATACACACAGTGGCTAATGTACTGGATTGTTCTATCTGGATTTGGAGCCTGTGAAATGATGACAATGAGTTGCATTTCCTATGTACCACTATACAGTGCACTAAAGGTGATAATCTAGCTAATATTCCTATACCCTGGGTACCAGACTCACTATATATGAAATATTTTATATAGTGAGTCTGGTACCCAGGGTAATATTCCTAAAGCATAGTTTACAAAGGAAAACTTGCTAGGCATCTTACGGTAGAAATAAGAGAAATCATCTGCATTTATCAATATAACAGAACAGAATTCGTCGTTCTTTCAAAAAATTAACTGGTCTCTTTGTCTTTTTGAGGCGACAGTTTCTAATTGTCCGGAAAGTTTGTTTGTGAGGACTATTGGAAGTTTAAGAGTGTGAATATTTGATAAACTCTTCTTTGGTAACTTTCCGTGATTTTGTTTGAATTTATTTGAAGCTATATGTTAATTTTCACTTAGCTGATAGTCTGTGTGTGGTGCATGTTGCCGTATGATTGGAATGGTGGAACGTACATCTTCAACCGCCTCCAATATCTCGAAGTTTTTCGAAACAATGATGAACTGCATTCGTTACTTCAAACGCTTAGATTGAGAGCCATAGAAGTCTTAGATGATGGTGAGACTGTTACTTCAAATTTGAAAACATATTTTGCAAACAAGACTATTCATTATTAATTTTCTTGCATTTAAGGAAAAGATTACAAATATAATTCACAAAAGAAAAAAGTAGAAAACTTGATTTGTGCGATTTAGATGAAAGGTTTAGCCACGAGGAACTTTATAGCTGAAATCTTCGCGCAGAGAATTATTGCTATCTAAGACAAAGAGGATTCACAAAAGCCATTAACAACTACTGGTAGTGGAATTTTAGAAGCAGAACAGCGAAAGGCTCTTATTAGTAATTTCTGATTTCCTAGTAGACATTCTTTAAACATACTACTATTTGTATGACTTTGATTTTTTCGTAACTTCAAGCCAAATGCCAATCATTAGGACATGAACCTAAACAAATATCGTGCAGTCAACCATTTTTATAGCGTATTATCTCTTCCCAATTTTTTTGCGCTCCACTTAATTACCAGTTACCTTTTTATCCAATTTTCGTCCTTCTTTACTGCTTAGTGCTTAAATGTTTTAAATTCACGGTGATTTGTGCCCCTGAAATATAAAAATATCTTGAACACTGAAGAAATTTGTAGGTCAAATGCCAGCCTAAAATGGAAAACAATCAAAACAATTTCTAGCAGCTTGGAAAATTTTTCTTGAGAATATGATCCAGGATGCCGCCTAAAAGCAACCATAAAATCCAGGATGCCTCTCAAAAATTTGAAATCAATTATTTCTAAAATTTAGAAATCTGCTTGCAGTTGCGTGAGTTTATTTTAAGTGAGGGCTGAGCAGGGCCGTCGCGAGGCAAGCCTTGATAGGGGGGAGGTGGGGTGGAGGCTTGTGGACTATAACTTTACCTGATTAAAAAAATTTGCCTGAAATTCTTTAGTTGCTGTCACAAATCTCTGCAATACCTTTTTTGAATCTAACTCTGTATATAATTCGCAGCTTTTCATTTTTATACAGACTTTACTAATAGTTTTGTCAAATCTCTATATCGAGACGGGCAAAGGATATAGTTACTAACCGAGGCGGCACCATTGTTGCCACCAAAGGAGGAGGAAATTTTCGAATTTTGTTGCTTCTTGTTCGCTAGCAAATGCACTTCTCTAAGCACATTTCACTGAAGCAATCCTCCATATTCTATTGAAAGTTATTTCTTTTCTAGCAAATTGAACAGCAGATAAAAACAATTGGTAGAATTTCGCCGTAGTCTTTAAAAATACCATGTTGTCAGTTACTTTTAAAGTTAGGTAACAAGAAGCACTGGCTGTCAATTTGGATCCCTCTTTCAATCTTAGCATGCCCAAAAAAATCTGGAGCTCATAGTGAATTGCGGTTGACGCTTCTATCGAGAAACTTTAGGTAAATGGGCACAAAACACAATTTTACCTAAACAAGGCCTAGATTTTTAGATTTAGTGCCAACAAGAAATCTTCAGCACTTCAAAATCATTAGTTTGTTCACCTTCATTCACATCAAGAAATATCATTTTTAACTAACGGAGCAACTACCTTTGCTTGATCCTTAATTGATTTTATGACAGAAAGGTCTCTGAAATACCTAAAGCGTTTCTTCCACCGAGCGGATTTTACCTTAAATTTCCTATTAGGTGACATCCACCCCATACCCCCTGGTCGCAACGCCCCTGGGGCTAAGCTTTACATTGATTAACCAATGTGTTCTATTCACTTGATTTGTTTTTCAATAGAAAGCGATAAATTACACGAGAATGCAGATAATCTGCAAAGGGAAGGCGATTCCTCATCAAAAGCAGGAACAGAGACCGGAAAAGCTGATTCTGTGATAGAGGAGAAGGAAGAGATGAAGAAACAGGAAAGGACCTAACAGAAGAAGAAACAGGAAAAGGAATTCAGTGTGTCGACAAAAATGCTCAGGTTGAAATATAGCTGCTGACTGATATTTTCTGACTTTATTATCGTATTTTGAGATCGTAGTCTGAGCGATGCATATACCTTTGTTAGCACTTAAAAGTCTTGAAGGTGCAACAACCTCATCCTACTTTATTTCATTTTTTACACAGTCACTAGTTTTAGTGACATCTTTTTTTCTCTCTTAATCAAATTGATCGCTCTTTCATTTTTGTTTAAATTGTTATTCTTTTGCAAAAAATCCATTAACTGTTGCGGCTAAAAAAGTGTCTGAAGTTACATAGAAAGCATAGATCAAATCTACAATCACAAAAAAGGCAACTTAAACATGCGATCCTGCTATAGGGCAGCATTTACTGGAAAACCCAGACTGTGCAAAAAATGTTTTGCAAAAAATGCAACAAAATGGCGACATGTTTCGAGCTATTGGTAAAGCCCGATCGTCGTTCCATCTAGCAGATTTGGGATCTACATGAACAGCAAAAATCCACTATTGTGTAGTCAGAAAGAGTTCGTTTTCACTTTAAGGCTCCATTGGTAAAATTTTTAATAGGCAAGCGGCACTTGATTGGACAAACTCAACATTCATGTGCTCGTGTTTGTCGGCTTTGACGTATTGTTCGGAGCTGCTCTTATGAATTTATGGATAGCATTTGATCACTTACAAACAAGTTTATTAATTTCTCCATAAAATGTTTAACATTGTGTAAGCATGAATTCATTCATGAATTCAAAGTAACTTTACAAACAGGAAAATATGGCGCTAGTCAGTAGGTATTTTAGAAGTTGGAGCAAATTGGTTCAAGGGGCAAATCTAGTCAAATGTACTTTTTATGGTTTCATCTAGAATTGGCAAACATGTTTTTTATTTGTCAGAAAGATATGCTTTAATCAAACTACTTTGGTATGGCATAGGATTGAATGTGACACAAAGTTATGTTAAGTTCGTAAAAGTGGGTAAGGACTTTATTCAAGAAAATCCTGAAACAGTATAGGTAAAGAATTCACAAAATCAAGCCATAAAATCAAATCTAAACTCATCAATTCATATTCAGATATAATTTTGGATTCAAACCCAAATTCATTGTAATTAGACTACTCAAAAGTTTAGGATTGCGTTATGATACAGTCGAAAGTGATAATATGCTTCAAAAATTTTACGTTACATCGTGTTTTAATTCAGATAATGGTGTTGCTGTGTGCATTTTCATTCATGCAAGCACGTGAATAATAGGGGGTGTAGGGACGTGAACCCCCCTCCTTGGTTGGAAAATCCAATCTCAGTTGGAAAACCTTACAGATAGCTTGGATGTTTTTTATAAGACCAAACTTGTGAATTTTATATGTTAGGAATTTTGGGATTTTAAATGTAAATACACCTTATTAAAATGAACCTTATTAAAATTGTCAGGGTGGAGCAGACCCATACAGTGATCATTTTTTATTGTAAAGCCCTGTATCCACTGGATCTTAAATTGTGACATTGCACCGTTTATTTCTTTTCGATGGGATTTAAGTTGAATCAAATTATTTTGAACAGGAAAGGTGAGTTTCCAGATAAGAAACTTTAAACTTTGCAATTAGTATTGAGCCTGCAGTTTTAAAAGATAATACCCCGTATTAATCACGAGATATTGAAGAGAGATATTTTTAGGAAATTTCGAGCAGTTCATTCAATGAAAAAACTCAGAATCTTTCAGTACTAGAAATGTTTAGCGCTTCTTATAAAAAATGAGTGTATGCTGGGCTACCCCTGCTGTTTGTAAACGTTTTTAACTCCCTATCATAAGTAAAATGCTAGAATAAAGCTGCTGTGAAGGCAGAAAACATTACAGAAGCTGCAGCAGAAGAATTTGATCAAGGAAGAGTGTTTCCATCTTACAAATCTGGCATATGCACTTGCTCTCGAATCATCCACTTCATTTGTGAAAAGAAAAAGGACATTTGGCCCTTGATGATTTCCTTGATGATTTTATATTGATAAAGAGATATTTTGGATAAACTTGATCTGCAGCAAATTAGTTTAAAAAGGGCTAAGCAGAAAAATATGAATCGCTGCTAATGGACTTGAAACAATGTTATTTTTTATCACTAAATCTATATAATACTTGTTATGCTTGGATGTTGTTTTACTTCTTACGACAAGTTTAAATGTTCGTATTACATTAATCAAAATTTAGAGATTTCCTTTATCGTCTTTAGTGTTTTTATACTTCAGGCTAATTAATATGTGTAAGTAGAGAACGCAGATAAGTGCATTAGTAACATTTCAGGCAAATGACAATAAACCATGCGCAATTCCCCTTCAATTGCTTTAATTTCTTTAAATCGTGATTAACCTTCATCATGTAGTCATGCAGTCATGCAATCATGTAGTCATGCAGTTCTTCTTATCTTGATGAGCACCTGTAGAGGTGATTATATGATGCTATGGCGAGTACAATAATGTCGCGATTTTCGAAATTAAAGCAACGCAATTTTATCGTGAACATCAAAAAAAAATAATGTTTGATTTTTAGCATCAAACATATTTAGATTAACATAGTTTTGGCGCATTTTCAGTGAATTCCAACTCACTTACTTATCAGCATAACGGTTGTGGAGTTGTGGCAAAACTTGGGAAAATCCACTGATGACGTCACACAATAAGCAAACGTCAGTAAACTAAATTTTATGATACATCAATCGAAAGCTCTTGAAATGCACGTTCACATAAGACCTACAATTGCTAAGTTGTGCTATATATTTTTAATATACAGGGGATTTATTGCATTTTTTGCCTTTATTGATGACGTCATCAATCACGTGTTCCTGGGGCAAGCTATTTTTGATCCCATCTTGGATTCTGAATATTCATGCTCGAAAGTATATAAAACCACCGAGCTCCACTCGGTCAGTTAAGAAATCCCTGAAGTTGAGTTGAATTGAAAACTCGAATTATTATTATTATTATTATTATTGTTGCTGTATGTCCACGTGACCTGAAACAAAGCTTTGATGCCATCTCACAATTTCAGCTGGAAGGTGACTGCAGGAAGATTGTTCTGCTTTATACGTAATTATAGCCTGGAAGGCAAGCCACTTTCTTACCAAAGAACAGAAACACTTCCATAATAAGTGGTAAGAGGTTATGCCTATAATGTAGTTTATCCACATTGGATGAATATCTGAAGAAGAATCTAGGAATCACACACTGTTCTGTTTAGGCCCGTTTCAAGATAAGTCTGTAACTACCACGTCTTTGATCTGTAACCGCAAGGGTACAATGTAAACGGTACAGAGACGATAAAAATTCTTGACACTTCATATAAATTTACCAAATTTTCGTAAGAAGAACATGACTAAAGTCTACTACGGTTTTTTGCCCTTTTTTTGACGTGGTAGTTTGAAGATGTATGACAGGCCAGATGAAACGATAAATACAAGTTTAGGAATGCGCCAAGGCATAAAACTTTCAATTTATCATCTTTCTTTTACGAGTCTGTCGATGAATGATTCAAGTTTTCTTTTGATGTATCTTAGCATAGTCCGAATGTAGCACAAATAGGTGGCTTACTTTTTGTGTTTCACTTTTTGGAATTTTTTTTGTAACTTGACTGAGTGTCATCGCATGCACTATAGTGTCATCGTTATAAATCAGGCGACTATTAGATTCCCAAACCTGTGTAATATATAAACTCAAATGCCAATTGTTTTCAGAAAACGCTAATCAGATATATTTTTCCAGCAAAGGTAATATAGGATTGATCTAATGACTGTTTTTAAAGACATGCACATATGTGGAAAATTGGCATCAAAATTAGGCATGGATTCTTCATCAAACTTTGCTTTGTCTTCATACTCTGGCTAGTATATTTGTCTTGTATCAATTTATTATTGAACATCCGGTTTCCATCAATATTCTCTGTTCTGGGCAATTTTTTCTTCATATTTGGCAAAAATGGATCATAGAATTGGAATCTTCATGTTGAAATTAGTCTGTGCTGAAAATTTCAAGTTTTTTGGGCCGACAGACAGCGAAGTAACCCATTTTCAAGATTTAGCTTTTCCTATACATTTTAATGGAATTTGCTGCTGTAGTGAAATTTTTTCACTGCAGCAGCAAATTCTGGTCAAATCTAAAGAAATATCTAGATATTCAAAGAAAAGTAACTCGCGACCAAATAGTCCAAACAACATGATTTTTTCAGTATTATCTAATTTAAAGATTAAGATTTAAGTTCTGAAGTCCATTTTTGAGAAAGATCCATAGATTGTGAGATACAAAATCAATGATGTCAACCCGCAATAGAGAATAGATCCCAGTCTGCATCCTTTGTGGTGTGTTGGAAAGATCTTTCCTGCATCATCATATATAAGCTTCCACCTGCACCCATACACTATTTTTCCAAGGAATGTAGCCCCTGTCCCCTCCCTCTGCTTCCAGCCAGATTTTCTCTGTCCTCACACCTCAATGCACCAGAATTTCCTGTGAATTTCCTTCCCTACACCAACATCAAGAAATGCAAACTGGTATAGATCTTTTTATATAAAGACATTTTAAAAACCTTTAAGTGAAAGAAAACCAATGCTTGACAAGGAAAGAAAACCAATGCTTGCCAAGGTATCCAAATAATGAGTTCAAGTTTAGTTAGCAATAGTTTATCAATGATAGATGTAATGCCTCTAGTACTGCACCTAGAATTACATCTAAATAGGATGTGTGAAAATACAGTCCAAATGTCTAGCTGGAATATCTTGCTTGGACATGCGAGTGGAATACTCTGTGTTTCAGAGTTCTTCAGTACAAGTCAAAAATGTACTGGTTTATATGTCAGACCCCATTTTGTCTATGCTTCAATGCAAAAACTCCACTATGGTGCCATCAAATCTTGTTCAGTTTTATCTTGTTCATAATCAAATTTTGCTTTTGAACAAAAGGGAACTGGACTTTACTACCTAGAAAGTGGCTTCGTAGTCACAATTGGCACTGGCAAGCATAATTCTTTCTGTTTTTATAAACACAAATTCGACGCAAGTTTTGACATCTTTTGTAATAACCAAACAATGCAAGGAGGATTTGTAACTTTGCATTTATGGAAAGTTCTCTAAATGTAGTTTAATGCACTAGTACAATAAAACAAGCTCACCAACTGCATCAACTTCATTGGCAACAATGCTTCAAAACTTCTTGAAAAAAGCAATAGAGCGCTCTTAGTACTTTTCTGGTTCACCTAACTTCTAGTCTTTATAGTATATGGAAGTTGGTCACATACAGTGTTCTGCATGTGTCTAATCCTTTGCCATTGTGAGGACAGGCAATACAAATTGATTTTCATCAAGAACTTTAGTGTGCTGCTTTCAAGGAAACCTTCCATGCTATGGAGTAAATAGAAACCAAGGAAAGTGATGAAGAAACTGTTCTTGTTCTTCTTTAAATATCATAGTTTATTGTTTTGTGCTTGTATTGTTTTGCATTCCTTGGACAACTAGGGAGCCAAGGCAACCAAGCTTCTCTATAATATTGAGAAAAACAATGTGGGCTGCATTTTCCTCCTTTTTGGAGGGGGTTGGTGATGCAACTGTAAGATGCTTTTAGCTACAAACCACATTAAGTCTACTCAAGAAATGTCTGTTTTCCAAGTTTGCTAGCACATATTTCATACAAGCCTTTTTACTTTTCTAAATACAGTTAGTCATCAAATCAGCTTGGACCTCCCTAAAAATTGTTGTACCTTGCCCAGGAGCACCAACTGTTTTGCAAAAGGTGCCTGCAAGATTTTCATATGCGTAGGATATAAAATTGTTGGAAATAAGAGACATAAAGTAAGGTTAATGGCGCATCATGCACGAAATGTAAAAAATAGGTCCTGTAGGGAAGCTGATTTCTGTTTAGGATTCTATTTGGGATAACTAGTAGTTTGTTTGCTCTGGGAACAATGACAGCAATATGAGATTTGGTTCATTTCTTTTCCAATAGTCACCTTTATCGTTCAAAGAACAGACAATTTTCAAAGAACTACTTAAGCAGAAAATTACTGTAGAATGATGGTATTGTTATAAACAAAAATAGCATTATAGAGTTAGAGCAAACTTTAGCTATGACAAAAAGGGAAATCTTGCCATTATTTTTTCATTTGTTTCAAAACATTTGAAGCGATTGAGTCTTTAATTTTGTTTGAGCAATGATCAAACTGGCAGTCATTTTTTTTTATATTTTACTATAATTAATGATACTTTAAGCTTTTTTAATATTTGAACCATAAACAGCAATCAGGATTTCCATCTCTTGCACACTCGACCAAGATTGGAAGTTTGTCTCGAATTTTTGTACATGTTAGCTTTCATTCAATGACCGATTCAACTGATAACTTGCCCCAGCAACAAAAACAGAATGTTGTACTGGTTGTCAGGAAAATCTATCATTCTTGCTTTGCTAGATAAATCACTTTCACAAAGCGGTAAAGCTTACTTTTGCAGACTTCTAAAAAATCTCTGAATTTGAACCAAGTTCATTGCCAAATACATTTGACATAATGAACACAATTTGTTTGGAGATTATGACAAATGACTATCCTTTCAGGACTGCAACTGCAAAATGGGAAGCATTGCTTTCCTTTACTTTGAGTGCAACATGGGATGCATTACTTTCCTTTACTTTGAGTGCACATGACTGTAAATAGACTAAAGGCCTTATGTCTTTATTGTAGAAATTTTGTGATAAATCATCTCTAGCCCTTTTCACAAATTTTATCAAAAACTGCATGTGCTTCTGGGCTTCATGATCTTGGTTGTGATGGCCTTATTCATCTTTTTCAATTATCTCAATCATTTTATTCAAAGGAAGAAAAACATTTAATAATATTATCATGGTGAAACTTGTAGCTGGATTGCTTTTCTATATTTTTCAACAATTGGAAACTTTGAAAAAGACCATTTTTTCAGTTGTGCTTGCAAACGTGGTCACCATGGTTTGCCTGCAAGCGCTCCTCTCATGCTCAGACACTTTAGTGAGTCCTGGCTTCCCAGCCATTTCACTCTTATTGCATTCAATTCAAGAAATGGCTGTTAAGCCTTTAAAATGGCTGTTTTCAACAAAAATGATGCCACATTGCTCCATTCATTCAGTTTTCATTTTTATTACTTATCACTGGCTAATAATTTATTGTTACCATTGGCATGTTGTGATGGGAGATTGAACAAGCTAAAGGGCTTTTTAACAATTTTTACTTTTAGGTGGGGCTTATTTTAAAGGAGACTACTTCAAAATTTACCATTTTTTCTCGCACTCTTATTCTAACTACACAATCATAAATGTTATTCCTAAATAAGACAGTTAGAATCTTCTTCTGCAGCAGTATTTATATAGCTCATATTGTGTGAATGAAGCTTTTCTATTCCAACAAGGTTTCAGCAAGGTAGGGGCTTGGAGGCTTCAGCCCCCATTTGGAAAGTTTTCAGATTTACCCCAGCCCCAAGGAAATTTTTTGTAGAACATATTGGGAAACCCTGAACAGCAACTAAATTGTTTTACAACTCAAGACTCTCTATTAACAGGACTGTGCATCAATTCATTATTAGCAATTTGCAAACTGTACATTAAACCATTTTTCATATAGCAACATTTTTATCTAAATTTCTATATGCTGAATTATATTTCTAATTTAGGTCTAAGTTACTTTAGGTGTCAGTGTGACTTCAAGCTTTATGCAGACTTCAAGCTTTATACAGACTTTAAGCAGAGTCCAGTGCACTTTTCAAAACAAAGCAAAGAAATTTGAACAAACCCTTGTTTCGAAGACTTTTATATTAAAGAGGAAAGAGGCACTGACACAAATTTTTGCATGCGAAGATTTCAACGATGATTTATGCTCACAAAGATGGGGGCTCATAGTACTCGAAAATATCTTTCGTTTTTCTGTACTCGCTGTAGAAGTAAAGTTTCGAAACTTTGAAAATGGGGATATACATTTTTGATATCTCATTTCTGGTCTGCTGCGCGGAAACAAAGGGTTTGACGTGATTTGGCAGTTCGGTCGGGGCTTCTTGCCCCAGCTGGCTCAATCGGCCATTGTTTCCTTTCTTTCGCAAAGGTATGAAAGCCCAATGAACCGTTGTAGTGGAGGTGGAAGTAAAAGAAACGTTGTTTGTTTCGTTTGACACAAAAATTTTGTTCCACAAAGTACATAATCTCTACATAGGCCGACCTTCATGCATTCGGAGATTACTGAATTCTATCAACTTTAGCAGCCATCATTGCAACTTAACTTTTGTCAAAATATGTTTTTTATTGACAACCATCTTTTGCTCAATTAAAAGTTTGCCCTTATTCGCGGCTGGCGGTTTGAGGCTAGCTACAGCTCACGCTCCCCTCCATGCTCACCTCACAAGCTTAGGGTAACTGCGGATCACTCTCTTAAACTAAAACTGGAAGAAAAATTGCTCCTTTCAAAGTTCAATTCTTTACCTGGTTCTGTACCCTGAAAAGAGCTGGTAACAAAATTGTCGACATCAGAGGATAAAGGAGACTTCAGCAACAATTGCTTTTAATAATACAGCATTGGTTTTTGATTTTTCTACATTTATTCTTGTACATATACAAAGTTTATTCTCGTGATGGCCTGTTTGAGCAAATGAGACAAAGGCTCCACAGCAGACCTGCAAAAGTACAAGTGACAAGGTCTGCTTATTCTATTTAAATTAAAAAGTCTGAATTTCTCAACCCAGCAACTTAGAACTTGTGCACATTTTGCTTAGCAGGGCTTCAGATCTCCCTTTTTGCAAATAATAGAGCTTTTTTGCAGAGCCTGTAATGTGCGTGTACTCCTCCCCCCCTCCCTCCCCCACTTTCAAAAATGTATCAGAGTCCCTGCATATTTTAAGAATGTGGGCGAATTCGCCACTTGTCTCTCTCTTTTTTGCTTGAAGTATCTTGTAAAAGTATCTTTAATGGAGCAACTGTATTTTGCAGCAAGTTTCCTTTGTAATTAGTAAGTTTATCTTGCATATCTATTGTACTGTTTTTAGATTAACTTGCCTATCCCAGATTTCTGTAATTACTCACTGCTATTTTCATTTTTTCTTCTTTTTTGCAGAATGATCATGTCGGAGTTCAAGATGACTTTTGGTCCCGAGTGGTAAAATGACTTTTTTATAGCTGCTTAATAACCAAAAGTGTTCAATTTAGTATCATTGCATGCAATATTGGTGTAGGCTTGAAGGAGTTTTCATACTCACACGCTCATAAGAAATTTATTCTGTCATAACCAAGGTATATTTTATAGAAGTTTCTTCCCCAGTTGAATTATTCTACCATTAAGAAGCGAAATATTAGTTGAAACAAGACTGTTCGCCTGTTGCAGCTGAAACCTTTCGTAAGCCGACAGTTACATAGGTCGATTCTATGGATTTTGGCTGTTATTTTTGCTAATCAAAAAGTAAAATATTGCAGCAAGTTTTACAATTGGCTTGGAAAAAAGCAAACATTTTACAGCATACTGAAAGCTTGTTCGTCTGAAACAACTATACCGGTCATGTGCTCGACTTTTTTCATTGGCCTATTTCGATTCACAACTGGGTAAAAATTTTCCATCTTATTCTTTCGGACCCTTATTCTGACGTTTATACTTCGATTGTCTTTCTGTAATATGTTTGCTTTTTTCAAAGCCTCTTTCAAATTTTGAACCGCCAAAAATTGCTCAGATTTAAACATTGTTAGTTTTATAGGCTTTTTGAGTTGTTCCCAGTTTTTTGTGCAAATTTGAAACTGGTTATTCTTTTTTATAGGCTCAGGGCTTTGGCTGGTGGGGACACAAATACTGAAACGCAGAGCAAGTCAGTTGCTGTGAAGCGATTCAAATTGGCTGATTTTCGGTATGGGCGGGAGGAAATGCTTGCTTTATTTTCCGAAGCTGTCAAAATGCCTAAATCATTGCAAGATTTCGGTGACGTCATTGTGCAAGAAACACAATGTCAGCCTCTCTCATTTATTCCAATGACCGAGGAAGAAGAGGTAGATCTCTTGAAAACCTTTTTGTTTATCAAGCTCTGTTTTTGATAGCTTGCCAAAAAAATTAAATTCCAATATTGTTGATTTTGTTTTAAAAATCTTTTAATAGTTTTTTAGAATTGGAAGTTATATAGAGTGATGTTCTGGTAGCAATTTTATAACGCTTAGTGCTTTCTTCCCACTAACTACTTAGAATTTATGCTAAATGGTATTTTCATACTGCAGAGATGTCAAGTCGCTGGCGTGAACAGTCAGGTAGTGCTACGAATGACTGGTAGAGGCGCTCCAATAAGAGGCAGAGGTGCAATAAGAGGTAGCAGAGGTAATTTGCTTAGTTATACTGTGAATTTTATTTATCTTTCACAACTTTTTCTTTTCCTTCCTTCCGTGGTCAAATAAGCTTCTTTTTAGAACTGGTCAAGGGACATATCTTTCGTGATAGAATCTCGTTTTTGTAATAGTTCGTGCATGGTACGTGAAGTAACAAACTCATGTTGTTCAGCAATATATTTACAATCTATCCAATACATCGAACAAATATATGCTAATCAAAGATACCAACTTGAAGATTGATAAATAATATGCGCTCAAATACAATTCGTAACGGAAATTCTATTGTCATTAATTCTTCAAACACCAAAATTTCTTGCCTGGATATTCCTTCAAAGAGAGAGAAACTGTACAGTTGAAAATCGAGGACCTTTGTTTTGATTTACAAAGGAACAAAAAAGTTCAATTCGTTTGGCCAAGAATTAAGGAAAAATCACGCTGTTGTGGAGAGTGTTAAGACGATCGGCATGTTTTCTCTAACATAGGCCCGGCATTAATTTTATTTTGGGCAACATACAATGTTTCTGACTACTGAATGAGTTTGTATGGAACTGTTCCTTACCTTTTAGTACCTATCTTCATTAGAAAATATATTGCTTTTTTTTATTTGTTCGTATTAGGAAAGCAGTTCTTTGTAAAGCTTAAGAACTCTTTCTTTATGCTTGATAATTTCTATCTTCCACCATACCAGGCAGAGGGCGAGGTGAGGGTCAGCCTGGAACATACAGGACATTATCAAATGACGAAAGTGGGTACAGCAATCAAAGAGACCAGTACACAAGAAGGCCTTGGACAGAAGGGTATGTGCTGATGGTGCATAGCTGATCGTTGTTTTCAATCATTTTTGTGCTGTAGATATACCTAGTTCCCTCTTTAAAAGCTGATAGATGTAGATTTTAATTGACAAAAACGGTCTAACCAAAAATCCCCATTCCAGTCATATCGTTACATTTTTGCAATTTTACTTGACAGTTTCTTTAATGCCACAAGGAGGTGTAGATGTAAGTGAAAAACTACATCGAGAGAAAAGAAATGACTTGAGGAAAAGTAGAATTTCTATCAATTTCAAGTGTTTTAGTGAAAATCAGAAGAAGATGAGTATTCCAACAAATGATTACAGATATGGCAATAGTTAAGCCCATATGACGCTAGCACCGATCCAAGAGTTTTTCACCTGAACCACTTCGATTGCTCTGAATCTTGTTCTGCTAAATGTTTTGTAACTTCGTCTGCTCTCTGTCTTCGAATTATCTGTTTTTCGGTTGCCTTATGGATTTTCTTTTTTGGTGTTTCAGCGCAAGGGGTGGGAGCACAGAGCGAATCTCAGGAAGAGGAGAACCCCCTGGAGGTAAAAGCATTCGTTCCTGATGTTGTGTCTTGTGCTTTTAATCTAGCAGTCCATTTATCACACTGTCCCTCCAATTATGAATTGTCTTGCGATCGGGCAGTCGCATGAATTCTTTTTAGATATGCCCTTTAGCAAGAAGCACCTTTGTTTCTTTCATGATCATCAAAAGGAAGAACATGAAGACAAAAGCAATTTGGCTTATGTAGGTGCCTTCCTTTCGTAATTTCGAATGTTTCATTTTCCTGCTTGATTGAATTTCCATTTTTTAAAACATCAAAATCAAACGTTTAGAATCTAGCGACACCTACACAGAATGTATAGTGTTTTGTTTTCATGGCACCAAGAAATAAAAAAAATAAGCAACTTCAAGAACTAGGCGTAAAGATTTTTATTTTATTTATTTATTCTGCATTTCTACTTTTTTTACTTACGTTATAGCAAACTTTTATATCTGATTGTAAATATTGTCACCTGTTAGGAGGTTAATATTAAAGCTAACTTCCTATTCCAGATTAATTTAGGTTTTCATGAATAAAGAATATCATCATTCACCAAAATAGAAAATGATTTTGAAGCGGTAATAAAATTGCCTAAATCTTTATAAATGTAGCTTATACTTTTATTTACATAAAATTGGTGACACATCATTACGGTTTTTGAAACCAGTCCCTTTCTTCTTTTATCTTTCCGATTGTTGCAGGAAATTTATGCTCGATTTTCGTCCGGTCGCTTGAAAAATATCAATATTTGTATACGTATACAAGTTGTGTTGTTTCTGTGGACTTGTGCTATAAAAAATCGATAGCTCACTTTCATGATGGTTTTCTTTGTAGTGCGCGGTGGACTTGAGCCTCGACCCCGATTACCGAGCGACCGAGGAGGAGCAACAACTGAGAGAGAACCTTGGCGAAGTATCAGTCAAGAAGAGGACGATGGTGGTGGCTGGCGAATTTCAGGGCAACGATCATGGCGAAAGGGCTCCGCAGGTATGTACCAATGTTCTTCTACAAATTTTCTTGGTTTCTGTCCCTGATTATATTTGTTTTGTTCCAAGTACTTGTTTGCCAGAGTTTCGACCACTTTTCTGCATTCGCTATTTTTGTTATAGCACACCCTTCGAACTACTGATTTCTGTAATTTTTGCGCCACGTGAAAACTGTTTGTCTCCCTGGCACGGAACCCTGGCTAAAAACAGATTAACTTCAAGTCAGGGGAAATATTCAAGTCAGGGGAAAGTTCTAAATATTCGGCAATCCTATCAGATTCCACAATATTGAATACTATTAATAAACGCTATTTCAATGAATGGTTAAAGGCCGATGCTTTTTTTGCTTTTTTGCTTTGCAATGTAATGATGTTATTCTCTGTAAATAACATCATCTAAGGAACGTTACTCAACTCCTCAGGGTCAGGATTAATGCCTTTTTGATATCATGAAGCTAGATCAGATAGCCCAGAAATATTTCTTATCTGGATTTTACTGTTGGTCACCTGTTCGTCACTAACATTATCTTGGTCACTAGCATTCTCTGCTGGAAACTCAGTTGCTTTCTCTTACCGAACCTGTACAACAGATGAAAGTTAGTCAAGTCACCATTGAAGTAGAGTTCAGACCTGACCTGAGAACTATTTCCTGTGAAATTCCCCCTTTCATTTTTAACTGCTCCTTATGCCGCTCTGAACATTCCCCGATCTTAAGGATGACAGTATCGGCCAAAGATATTTTGCTGGTATAATGTTGCAGAATATTTTCTTTAATCGTAACATCCCATGAAGTGAGTATTTTTAGGTTTTCAGAAATCATAGGATCTCGATCATTTTTATTCTTAAACAAAAAATAACTCATTTTGAATCGATTTTTTGTGAAACAATTTTTGAATTCGTCTTTCCATATTTATTGTTTTGTCTTGTGTAGTTCATCCTCCTGCATTAATACGGGCTTTTCAATGCAAGCCGTTTTAAAATAATACATGTTTGCAGATAAATTATTTATCTAGAAAATTTATTATTGCTAGATGCTTCGCGAAACTGGCGGTCGGATAAAAGCAAGGATGAGGACAATGAGAATTCGCAGAGACGCTCCTGGAACAGGGCCAGTAGCACGAGTGGACTGCCAGAGTGGTGTGACGATGATGTGGAACAAGACGTTGGTACCTTTGACTCGTCAGGACAGTTCAAGTCTTTGCGAGTACGTCTTTTGGGTTTTTTTAGCCCTAGAGAATTCGTAGCGTTGTTATTTCAACGTCTATCACTGCCAAGTGACACAGCCTGCCTAATGAAATAAAAGCTTCAGACATGCGGTTTTCCTTTTTATGAAAAAACTTAAAATCCAAAAGATATGAAGAAACACTTCATGAGCATTCTGTAGAGAAAATTTCCTATCAACTGTCTTTTCAAACTGATTGTTTTTAACTTGATTGTCTAAAAGCTGTTACATTGTTTTGACAAAAACTCTACGTTTGATATGTACCCCTCTGATCCTGCTAGCCTACAAACAACATTCTGCCAAATGTGCTATTGTCGCTACAAAACGTTATGCCTCTAAATATAGTTATAAATTTTAGCAAGTCCCAAGATTTTTCATACACCTTTTGAATCTTAGGCCTTGTGGTATAAGAGAAAAAAGGTGATTTGTTTAGGCTGTAGCCACTACAGTTTTGCAATCATTTCAAGACATAGAAGCCAATCCGCAAAGGATGTAAGGGTTACCTCGGAGTCATTTGCAAAAAAACTCATTTATGCAAACTTATTTTGTGAAGATGGTACCAAAGCCTTTTGTAATTGAGTTCCCGTGTGATGGAATTCTTAAACAATGCTGCAAACAACTAAACAAAATCAATGGACATTTCTTTCAATAATGAGCTTAAGTGCGTTAACTGACTGCTGTTACTACGATTCAGAGCGCCGATGACCCTGCTTCAAAGACAGGCAAGGATGATACTACAGAGGTATGTAGCAACCCTCTGTTGTTTTTTATCAATGAATCGTCAAATAAATCATAACAATGTCATTTATAAAAAGGACACTTGAATACTTAATAATTGTAATGCGCTTAACTTGTATGAGCTATTCTGAAATTTGGAGATTCCTCTACAACCTTGAAAGTAAAAACAAAATGTTAATAAGGATAATGCATATTTGAGAAAAAGTTTTTCAGTTTATTAGAACAAAGTATCAATGTGCTTGAGAATTAATTATCCTTTAAGTTGTTACATCACCAACCACTGCAGAGCTGCACTGATGTTTCCCATCAGACAACTACATGAACTGTGAGAGGTACAACAGCTTGCTCTAAAACAAAAATCTTATCTTTGTTACGACACGTCTCGAAAATTCCTTCCAAACTCTCATCAGCTGTTTTCCAAAGCTGGTACTGTTATGTCAGTGATGTATCTCTGTAGTTAGGGTATATACTGGTGCCAATCCTATGATCTCAAAAGATTTGATCAGGCTAGATTACAAATCTGGATCCATTACAAACATGATGACCAATTTTCAATTTAGAGGATTGGCACCAGTAATTCTTGTTTTGCTCTACTGTTTAACTAGTGCTTTTCGTGTTATGCAATGTATTATTTTGGGACGATACAGTGAGCGTTTTGTCAAATGTGAAGATTCTTCTAAGTCTTCCACATCGTGTAGAGAATCATAATTGGTTGTAATTAAATATTAAAGTTTATTGATGATAAGGAACTGCTTCTCTCAAGTGGTGCATCACCATAACAGGAATTTTGTTTTAGCCGGTATTTGAGGATTATGATGCTGGTTCAAATAAGGTAGAAGCAACGGGGAAGAGGAAAAATGATTTTGGAGGCACAATTAATTACATGGATAGTGGTGTTAAATCAGAAAAGGAGGGTGCCACCGCGAATAAGGCCAGCCGAGAATCGTCATCTGAGCTTGAAAGTCAAGCATCTTACAACCTCAACACATCCTCTTCCGTTTCGCTGGAGACAGAACAACGCACAGAAAAGCGTTTAAAGGAGCTCTTGTCTTCAAATCCCGTCAAATCGCCAACTAAGAGCATCACCCCTGGTCATATTTCAGTATCCGAATTAGAAAAAGAATTTTCATCTGTAAATACAAAAGAGAGCAACTCAAGAATTAACGAAAACGCTCGAAAGGTAGACGATTTGACCATTGATGACGTAAGGTCAGTGCAACACGACATGAGAAAAATCTTGGCAGAAAGCCATTCAAAGGCCTTTCCACGAGCTAACGACCACGATGAAAATGTCCCCAACATTGAAGATGATATAAAAAATCTGATTGACAAATTGGATGACGAGGTATTTCAGTTAAATTCTACTATTTATTCTTTAGTTTTTCCAAAGATCAGTCCTGAATGTTATTCTAATCATCATTTCTCACCAATATTTCCAAATTTCTTTCTTTTATCCTAAGATTGATAATATAAACCCTACGAATCAAATGGCGCCCCAACAACCAGACACAAATGACTGCAATGTGTTGGATCCAAGTATAATTTTTGCAAAGAAGGCTGAACCGGGCGGACTCATCAAAGGAATGCAAGCCTGGATTTACCGAGATCCACAAGGAGAAATCCAAGGTAAGCAGAATAGTTAGTTCTCGTTACACAACTATCCTTTGTCAAGTCGCGTTTCATCCTTACATATAATGCTTGATTTTTTTCAATGTTCTTCTTTTACAAGGTCCATTTTCATGTGAAGAGATGCTGGAGTGGTTCAAAGCCGGGTACTTTACCATGGAACTTCTTGTTAGACGTGTTTGCGACGAAATTTTTCTGCCGCTAGGTAAACAGATCACTAGACCCTTAGTTCAATCGATTTACTTTGTTCTAAAGCTGTTGGCTGATACATGCAGTTCAGTGAGGTTTAATATTATGTAATGGTGATATTGGAAGATCATTTGCCAAATGAAACAATGCAACTTTGCAGATCTAGCAATTTTTGTGATGCATAAGTTTTGAAGATATATTTCTAAACGTTTTTATCATCTATACAATCTTATGTTATTACTATCGCACCTTAACCAACTTCTTTCTCGAAACCTGATGCTATTTACAGCTAATTAAGTTGGTATAACGTTGTTTGGTGTGTGACGACACATCATGGCTCATGAACATCGCCCAACAAATGTATGATCATGTTTGCATAATCTTGCTTGATGAAGCTTGATGGTATATGCAAATTCATGGTAATGTTTTTGTAAGGGTGTTGGTTGTGTAGATAGGCCTTACATTTAGCAGTTTTTAAATTGCTGGTATGTCTGCTTCTTCTGTCAGAAATTTACTTCTGCTATTTCTTCGCTCATTTCAGGCGACATTATCAAACTATGGAACAGAGTGCCGTTCCAGCCTGGACCCGAGCCGCCCTCTATCACTGTACGTCTTCTATAAACTTTTTATCACATCAATTTAAACTTAATTATCGCTGCTTGCTTTACTCAGTTTTTTATTTCAAAATAAAATTTATGAAACAACAAAATCGACATAATTTTATACTGAACAGCTGGATTTTGAACTTATATTTGCTCCAATCTTCTACTGATAGAAATTGCCTTGTTTTTGGCAAAAAAATTTGATTTTAGACTTATTTGTCGAGAGGGTTTACCACCAAAATACTGTAAAGGTTGCTTTAATCCAGCAAGCAGGGAAAGTATGATAGCTCCTAGGACCTTTTTCATTTTATTAGTCACAAGTTTATGCTGCTCAGCTTGCTAGAAGGCAGCAGGGAGACCATCTTACTAGAAGACAGCAGGGAGACCATCTTGCTAGAAGGCAGCAGGAAGAGTATCAGCGAATCACATCACAGCAAAGGAAAGTGCAACAACAGCGGCAGCAAATTGAGCAACACGAACTGAGGATTCTGCAACAAATGAAGGTAGAACCTACAATTTCTATTTTGTTTTCATGTTTCTTGTATAATTATGGCGAAGACCTCTTTACAAGAAATGAAGAGAGGTTTATTGTTATTGCATGCATTAAAACAACATAATTAAAGTAGCCTCTTGCTTTAAATCTCTTGACTAAAATAACTTGCTCGTCTCCTAATGTATCAAAATGTATTATATTTATTAAGTAAACCGCAGTATCAAAATATACGAGGGTGCCACGATTTTCCAAAGTTTTGTCTTATGATAGATCGCCTGGTAAGCGATGATCACCTGATAGATAATGTATGTGGATTTTCTTTTAAGGAACAACAGCAGTTTAATGAAATGCAGCAAAGGCCTCATAATCTGAACTTTCCAGAAGATGTCTCAATCTGGGGAGAAAGTCCTACCCCATCTCCAAGTAAGAGATTCTTACCTTTACCACCGTCTGGTATTATTTTGTTGTAATTCACAAAAGTACCAAATTTATTCCTGACTATGCAGTAGACATACAAGTCAGCTCATTCCCCTTTATGTGTCTTTCGTGTTGTGATTCTTTGAGGAATGCCATACATTGGCAGTTTCTAAATTTGAAACGGTGTCATAAACGAATTGCATGTAATTCTTTTAAGGCAAGCTATCCAGGAAAGAAAACATCCTACTGGGCTTTTTTAACTCGGACTAAATGACGATACATTTTTGTAAAAAAAATTCTTGAATCTTTCATGCAGTTAAAAATTTGTTTCCAGGCTGTGATTTATTGAAATAATCTTATCTTTCAATTTTTCAATTTAAGATCTCGCATCCACGCCTTGGACGCCAACATCGTCACACCCCGATCCAGTCATGTGGAATAATGCAAAGTAATTAATACAATGTTTTTGCAATGCAATGTTTTTGCAACGTAATGTTTTTGTGTTCTATCAATGTTAAGAGTAATTCCCTACCCTTGTTTCCTTACAATTTCTTGCCACAATTATTTATATCTGAACAAACTCCATTTTTATCTATGGTTAAATATCCAGTAACTGGAAGTTTTGTTCATTGCCGTGATTTGGATAAAGACGAATCTTTAGGGTGAATGATTTGGCTTCCAAATCCGAAAAGCATAGCTACGTTTTAAGTCTTCATGCAGGGGTTTCTTCGGGGCTTGTTGTTCGATTTTAGTAGCTTTTCGCTTTAAATTGGTGAACACTCGTAAAAAGGTAGTTTTTATGTTGTTTTGAGTCCATTTAGTTGTCTTGCTTTGGCTCTAGTGTTGGTGAAAATTTCAAGTCAGGTTGTGATGTTTCATCTCGAATGTCAATTCACGGAAACATTTAGGCCGCGTCAAAAATGATTTTCGAAGTTTCTGCTAACCTTCAGATGTAAAGTGCGTCTTTTAAGAAAAGAATAAATAAATCAACAGAAAATCGATCCAGCTTATGGCCCTTTTTTTGGAAAAATATTTCTAGATGTAGCTTTATTAATGTTTTCTTCCTAAGAAGAAGCCTTTTGCAAAATTTTGATATTTCATGTCAGTGGCACTTAAGATTATTTACTTCTATGCTATATGTTTGATCACATCTAAGATTGAAAGCATCTAGAATTGCTTCGTCTTTCTGCAGCTTACCGAATGCAAAATTGGAACACCACAGAAGCTCAGAGAAGATTGGAGCCAAATCTGAACCTGTAAGAATGTTTTTGTTTCAACATAATAGAATGATGATTACCATATTGTATTTTTAAGTCGGTTTGGTGTTGCTACAGTAGCTTATCAGTATTCCATGGGCAGCTTTGAAAGTCGCCGATCATTTCATTAAGTCATTGCTTTTATGCCGGGAGTTTGATTCCGACCAAGTGCATTATTCACACTGGGTAGCACCATTGTGGAATTATTTCCTCTTGTCAGCCTAGTCTACTAAATAATAATATATATGGTTATGGCTCTGACAAAGGCTCACAAAGAAGAGTCATGAAAAAACAACTTTCTTGGCTACCGTGAAGATCTCTAAGGATGGACTCGCGATTCACTGAATGTTGGCCTATTTGAATGATGGTTGCTTTTTAGGCTGTAAACTGGAGTTTGATTACGACCACGTACAGTATTTGCTACCTACACCTGAAGATACCTATTTGATAAACTATTACCTTACACTAATAATAATTACGTTACACAAAATATTTAATTGATTGTATTTCAAATCTGCGTTGTGTTTTAGTTTCATATTTAAGCGTTTACCAACATAAAATGATTTCGCTGCATAACATGAATAGGGCCTCGTTACTCGTAACCATTAATGCATTTTCGGATTAGATAAAATCTTGATAAACTCAAATGATACAGTCAAATGCTACACAAATATAACCTGCTGTTCTACAGGATATTGCGCAAAGTACAAGTGAAGCTAGGGAGGATGCTGGTATCAAAGCCTGGAAAACGAACGGGACTGCGGGCTCAACCTCTCCTGCAGATTCAGACATAAAACAAGGGGAAGAGTATGACGCTGCAGTTGAGGATAGGACAAAGGTTGGGCAAGGCTCAAAGAAAGTCAAGGAAAAGAAGAAGAAGCAAGACGGAGAAAAAAAGGTCACTTCTTCATGACTTTGTTTTTAGTAAAAAGTTTTTGATTTGTAATTGTTGTGCTTCTTTCCATGCTTTCATTTTTGCGAAAGCACTTTCAATTTGGTTATATTGTTTATTTTAGAAATATAGGTATAATGTATCTTCCATGATCTTCACCTTAATGATTTTTTAATCTTGAAGTTCAAGATTTGGGATCCAGAAATTATAACGATGAATTGAAACTATGTCACCACACAAAATCTAAGTGCTTTGATGACCTTAAAAGACGTTTTTCTATATAAATTGATTTTCATGATATTTTTTTCTATTTAATAACACTGGTAAATCGCAATATTATAATAACTATTATAAAATTATCTATTTTAACCTTAAATTGTCATCACAAGAAAGAATTTACGTGAAAGCTTAGAAGTATGAAATTCTGGTTTTGGGTTCGAATCTGAAATCAAAATTCAGTACAAAACGTTGAAAGTGTTTTCAGAAAGAGGGAAAATCTTATTGTAAACACGAATATGTACCTTGTTTTTTATTTCAATGTTCCATATATATTAAAATTTAACAGTAGGACCACCGTAGCAAGTTGATAGGTGCTTTCTCCGCAGAAGAAAGAGGACAGAGACAAGCAGCAAAGGCAAGATGAAGAAGCCCAGAGGACGCAAGAGATTCTCGAAAAGCAACAACAGGAATTTCTGGCAGCACAGAGAAAAAAAGAAGACGAAGAAAGAGAACACCAAATGAATGTTGAAATGCAGCAGAGACAGTTGAAACAGCAACAGCATATGCTGCATCAAATGAAACAGCGGCAACTGCTGGTGCAACAGCAGCAAAAGCAGAATCGTCAAGAAAGGATTCAGCAAGAGCAAAGGAGACAAAACGTATGCCTAAGGCTCAGTTTTCTAATGCGGCATCGAAAACACTTTCTACATTTTTAAGGATACTTTTGTTTTAATGCTTCCTTCAGTATCTCAAATTATGATTAGAACTTTGCTCTATGAATTTCATTTTGGTATATGTGAATTTTTCAACATTTGCTTAATGTCTTATAGATGAATGAAGCTCATACTTGGAATATTCCCAGTACTTCAAGTGCCCCGTCATTGGCGGAAATACAAAGATTAGAGGAGGAGAGGCAGATGTTGATTCATGAGAAAATGAAGCAAATTCAGGCACACGAGCAACAGTTGCAACAACAACAACAAAGAGCTGCTGCTGGCTGGACGGAAAAGGGGTAAGCTATTTTTTGACATCGGCCTAATTACAGCGCAATATTACGTATCCAGTGGTTTAAAAGCTGTATTTAGTACAATGATTCGCCTGATAATTGCTCCTCTTAGCAGAGTAGGCTATTGTCTCTGGCATGAATCAATATTAGGCCTTTGTACCTCTAAAAGACTTGATATGACATGCGACATTGCACTATTAGTCATGACAATTTACATGCATATTACATTTCAATGTCAGTCATGGCAATGGAAATTACATTTCACTTTGTACTATCACTCACCACAATTTGCATGGCAAGTTGCATTGTAGTAATGTAAAATGCAATTTAAGATTCATGACATTTTCTTTGCATTTTAGACAGCAATATCAGTCATAACTTTTTTATTGCATTTCACATTGCAGTAACAGTCATGAATTTTTACATTTGCTTACGAGTTCTTTCTTTGGGCTCGTCAACCCATTTTGCTCGTTCGTCCATTTTCAGACTATTTTGCAGAAGCACATTTCTATGTATGTTATTATATATTTCGTAAAATGTTCTAATTCCCTTATATTTTACCTTTGTTGGTGACCAGCTTTTTTTTCGTTCACTAGTGGCCCCCCTGTGATGTCACTGCGCCAAATCCAGGAAGAAGAATCCCGAAAGTTGTTGGCAATGTCGAGAAACCAACACCATCAACCGTTGAATACACAGCAACCAAGGGTATGCTATTGTGACATTTTAAATGCTACATAAAAGTACTATTATTCTTTTTATAGTATTGTGGTCTTTTCCCATAAAATTTTGTCAAAATCTGTTGTTTTGTGTAAATCAAATCGTTTTGTGTATTCATTAGACCAGTTATTTATCATGATGAGCTTCCCTTGACTCTTATGCTGATAAAACATATATTCGAATTACCACACTAGCCAAAGTTTTATTTTTAGTTATTCCTTGTATTAACAAGGTCTTCTGTATTCAGGCATTTACTTCTTTAGTCAGTAGAGACCTGTTTGTTTCATTGATACTGAAGACTTACCAGTGGCCCTCCTAGCCTGGCTCATTGTGTTTGGCATCTGTTTTTGGCACCTAGATATTCGTGGCGTTAATTTTCGTATCTTTTGTTTGGGTCAATCATGTGTGTAAAAATGATTTGTAGATTCACGCTACATCTCTTGTTGAAATTCTGCGACTTTCCTTTCTTCTTCAACTAATCTAACTAGTGTTTCTTTGCTGCTGAGCCCTATTCTTCAGAGCAGTGAATGGGTTCATTTTGTAATTTTTTACGGGGGCAATGCTTTGCAGATGAGCCATGGACTACCAAATGCTTCGGTGTGGACGAAGAGTGCGTCGAGCCCCGCTAACTTTGGTGCGTATGATAATCTGTTTTGGGATGACGTCATGACAAGGTCATCATCCATGCAAGAATCTTCGCAATTTTCAAAGGGCAGTTCCAAGCCTAGAGTCGTCAGGTAAGAATTCTTAGCCTTCAATGTATCTTTTTTTTAACTGTACATGGTTCAGCACAGTTCAGGTATGTATAAAAATGTCACTTGCTTGTTAAAGTATCTAGGCCGACGAGATCCCCGATATTATTTAACATCTGACTGCGTATATGGCGAATTGGATAGACAATACAGTTGCCTCTTGCCGCGGTAGGTAGACATGTTCTTGTTTGAGCCTCACCCCATGTTAAGCTTTGCCTACATATGAATTGTAAATCACACCAGGGCCTATTAAGGTAGTTTCAAAAGAGAAATATGATACGTGGCTCTTTAAATTTCAATTCAAATTACTTACACTCACCTACAAAAGCTTATGTTAAATTCAAGAACAATTTTACAGCACATATTTTAAGAAAGATTGCACATTTTAACCAGAGGCTCATAGAAGTGGAAAAAGAGTTGCGCTCTGCTGTTAATTTGTCTGTTAAAAATCATTGAAACGATAAAAAAGCTATTAACAAAATTGTCATGTTGAATCAATTTTAAGCTCCAAGTTTTACGTGCAATTCTACTATCTCTCCATCAAGGTATATTGACATGTTATGAAAAATAAGTTCTATTTTGGTGAAAAATACGCCTATCTTTTGGCTAAAACATGTGTGCGTCTATGAAAAATATGACTAAATTGAGACCATACAGCCCCTGGAAAAATATAAGGTTGTGTTGTAAATTGCAAATTTTGAAGTAAATTGCAAATTTAATTAAGGACATCAAATTAATGCCTTGCTCTTGCTCTGTTGTAAAGTGACTCTGCATTCCCTACCCTGAACGTGACATCAAAACAAAACAAAAAGTCAAAAGATGAGGTGAGCTTTCTTTGTAATTATTTGAAGGGTAATTAGACTAGACTGTTGTTGAAACACTGTCGATGCCAATATTTTGAGACATTTCATGTTTCATCAGATTTTTGTGCAAAATATTATTGTTTATATCATGAAAGGTATTTTGCTCCATCAAACCAGATACAGGGTGGATCGCGAAAGAATAAGAACTTGATGTCGTGTTAAGATGCAACGCAAAATAACGCATGCAATGCAAATCAATTTAGTAAGTGCATAACGATATTTTTGCTGATTTTGCACCTACTTACAATCCTTTTGGACATTTAGGAAGTTGTTCATCGGCTGTTTCAACAAACAAATCCTTGCGATGACTTTGTTCACTGGGTGAATAAAAACATGCCAGGAATCGCCAGATATGTTGATGGTAAGATATTTTATTTATTTTTTTAAACTTGCCTATTCATAAAGTGTTACACAACGCATATTTATTTTATTGAATCCTTTTCGTAAACCTTAATATTTCAATCTCATTATGATAACAGTTGTCAGTAGACTTGTCAGTAGTATATCATTATGATGATTTCGACGCGTCTTAAAGGCAATCTGTCACGACGATGATCAACCAGTCCCCCTTTAATTTATCGCATTATAAAAAATATGGCGGAGTGCTGGAATCGTGTTTAGGCTATTGTTCCAGCTATTGTTCTCGTTAACCAATCCACAACGAGACAGATTGCCTTTAAGGGTGATAAGCAGCGTTTAAGGGACTTCTTCGTTGCCCTGTGTTGATCCGCATGTATGAGTTATCTTCACTTTCCTCTGCAGCAGATAACTAGCACCGCTCTTTTGCTACTCTCCCTTTTCTGTTAATCCATGCTATGCAACAAAGGATGATTTACTTTTCAATATCCACGAGTTGTAGCTGAGAAGACACCCTTTGTCAGAATAGACCCCCATGTCAAATTCAATTGGTCATAACTTCAAATTTGTAGTTAGTACTCTTAAAAACTGTATTTTTGAAATGTTCCCCCTAGTGCCAACATTTGTGAGTTTCTTGCAAGAAATAGAGTCGCCATACGAGGTACGTGTTCTAATTTTACGATAATATCTCAGGGCCTGTTGATCGCATAATTTGATAGATCGAGCACAAATCAAGATTCCGTAATCTGAATCTGACCATACCGTATAATTTAACAGTCGGAAAAGGAATCAAATTTTTATTCACCATTATTGAGGAAAACTAATGTTCATTTTTGTAACGCCAAAAACTAAAAAAGCTCATTTACAGTTTTCAAAGAAGAGGCCATCCCACCTAAGGGGGATGAATCGTTTCCTCGTGTAAACATTTGCGAATACGATCCCACGTTTGGAAACTAGCCCACTTCCTGTAAGCAGGCTTTTTATACAGTGGACGGTTTGAGTGATATCTTTTTATATGTCATATTAGGCCTGTTGCTAAAAGCATTATTAAATATCATTTTTAAAGAGACATTTAGAATTTCTAATAACTTTCTGTGTGTTCACTTTGACTTGAAGGACACTCTTTCTTCAACTTAAGTTTGTTAACATTTAGTTGATGTTTTTTCGATGCGAATTTGTATATACCATCTCTCTACATTTTGGATCTGTTTCCATGCTCTATGAAAATGAGTACCTGATGTAAAAATTTTAGTGTTTTCCCCGACCTAAATTAGGCTGCCATGTTGTGGCCAAGCAGCTGCTCTAATAGTATACTCAAAGAGACATTTAAATGCACTAATTGGCATGATGTCACTATGGCGACCTTTAATATCCTTTCATTTCTATTGCGTAAATTCGAAGAGATTTGAAAATTCACCGACCTGCTTGAGATTGTTTTTTACAAGATTTGCTTTCCCTTGGCAACCATTGGTTTATTTTGACTTGTGCGCGCCCATTGAAAATTTTGCGTTGTCAATCGAGAACTCTAGAGCCTTTTCTGTTTTTCAAAACATGTTTAATTTTTGCTTCATTTATTGTAATGAATCTGACAGGCGAATAAGAATACGGCAGACTTACGCCAATATGTCAGCTTCTAAATGATATTGTACTATTTTCTCTCTGATTCATTTTGAGATTGATTAGACGATGATTATGCATTGAAGACAGGTCAACTCTGCAAATCTTCCTTCTGTTGAATGCTGTTGATTCCCGCTTTAACAAGACATTCTTACTGAAAGTATTGTTGTTATTATTTAATCAGGTCAATGAATACATTAGAAGCTATTTCGGAGAGTTTGGTAATGCTGAAAAGTTTGCAAAGGAATTCCTGGAATGGAACAGAAGAAATAGAAAGCAGCGATCACCCGTAAGTCTCTTTTCCTCAGAATTTTTAATTTTCGGTGTTTGTTTTTGCCAAGGATGGAGGAAATGATACCTATTTACATTTTCAATTTTAATCAATTAATTCCGAGTTGTTTTTCACAGCAAAGCACCACTCCGACCACTAACTCAGAAGCTGCCGTGTCAAGTGGATATGATGTGATATCCCCCGAAGGGGATGACCCAAACGGAAGAAGGAAGAAGCACAAGAAACGCATGCAGAAAGTGAGCCCAAACTTGCTTGGCTTCAGCTGTAATGCCAATCCTGATATGGTCAATAGAGGGGAAATACAAAGTGCTATGGACGCATGGAGCACAAAGTAAAAAGCCACGAGCCCAAGACACCTGTCTTCTCGTTAACAAACTCAGTAGTTGCATTTTGATGGTATTGCGGTTTTTCTATTTCCGGAGGTCAACTTCGTTTACACAAAAATCGGCTAAGCCTTCAACCAGTCAGGTCATTGGAAAGATAAATCTGTTTTTTATGATTTTATGAGTGTGTTTTTGTTAAGATGGTAGCTGGCAGGTCAAATTGTATTTCTGCTAAGGTTTGCTTTTAATCTTTGTAGTTGATTATAGTTGTTAAATGCATGCCTCGAATGCATTGAAAATGGGGTTTGCTTCAGATTTAAACGCCTGTACACTTAAGAAAGTGACATAAGAAAGTGCAATTTGTGAGGATGTTACATCAAACTCGTGGCAGACATAAAGCAAGCACTATCGTTAGGGTAAATGAATGTTTTGTTGAAAATGCATTGCTCGCATTTAAGTTTTCGGCGTTTCTGTTATCAGATATTATTAAGCCAAACGAGGTATTGTTTTCCACTATCAAATCGCGGTGGCTCTAGAATGGCCGTTTTAGAGAGAAGAGCAGTTATTATTAGCAGGCCATTGATCATCTATGGCGTTTTCCTAGTGGCCAGTTCATTATAAGCAAGATCTTCACTTGCTAGAGCGTTGCCCTATGGGCGCCAAAGTAACGCATCGACTTGCATTTTAAAGCAGTGCTTTTTGTGTCATCAGGTTTCGTCCTAGAATTCACTCGCAAACAGCTATCTTTGTGTTAGATTTTGCGTTGTATTTCTACAGCTACAATTTGAAATATTTCTACAGTTAGTTTCAACTGCGCGCCTTAAATACTAATTCATGTACCTTATTGCCGCAATGAAAGCCAGTTTTGCATTAAAAGTTTTTAAACTTCCCTACTCGCGTAAATTTTGTATAAATTCTGTGTCAATGAGATCAGGTGTCAAGACTGTGGCCATTTTTCCTTATTCATTCTGCTTCAAAATCAATTGATGTTTTTCGTAGTATTTTTGGGATACTTGTTTTTAAATCATACCTGTTTTTAAGGTGTAGTGATAATCAATTTGTATAGTGATAAAACAATTTTGTGCAGTGATAAACAGTAAAAGTTCGCAGTGATCGGTTCACTGCACAATAAATGAGGAATTGATTACTTTATAAAGTCGAAGGGGCCTTATAAAATAACGAATTTCATTTTAAAAATGGAATTAATCCGAAGTTACGAAAGTATGCCTAAAGAATAATATAAGGTTTTAAACGATTGTAAGAAAATGACAGCAACTAATATTCTGAAATCCAGTTTAATCTCATCTTTAGGGCGTGGTAATCAAAATTTTCTGCTCTTTCCGTTCGCAAATGGGCCTTTGGTTTTGCCCCAGGACCTCCGAAACTTTCCGCGCGGCCCAGAACATACATGATGCACTATTGCTTTTGTAGTTTGTTTTGAGGCGAGGATTTAGCTAATAATACTGTTTTAATTGGTCTCCCACCCATATACAATATGAAAGAGTCTACCGGAGGTTTCATCTGTAGATCGTTCTTGTATTAGTCTCAGCTTGTGGTGCCATGAGGTTACAATCACTTGCCTTTCCTTCCAAAGCTTTTAAATTTTGTAACGCTTTACACTTTTTTTATTTAAGAACCATAAGATTTAGGTTCAGGCTCGCTGTTCTTAATTTTTTGAAAATCTGAGGCTTAATTGTTTTTAAATTAGTCATGAAAATTAATAGGATGTAAGCAGTGCGATCGCTAGCTTTTTCACTCTAGGCAGGTGTTCAGGCCTCGTTTCCCAACAAAGTTTTTTAATATTTACCGAAAAAGCACCCACAAATAGCTAAAAATCCTCCTAGGCAGGGCATTCCTCTCAACCATCGACCGCATTGCCTAACCTTTGTTTTCTCGGCTGATTTTGGAACTCTATGGTATAACGAATAATTTAAGCCCTTACAACATTTTCAAAAATTCATCTAAGTCACGTTACCGATGACGTCAAAAATGTTCTGTTTCCTAGACTGAAAATCATTGTAACTTCTTAAGTATACGTCTGACTTCAATATAACCACTAGATTCGGGCTCGCCTGAAAGAAAGCTTTCCAATGATATATACAAATCACTTTTTTAACGATGTTAGTAATTTTCAATGATGACGTCATCATTTTCAAAATGGCCGTCGACTAGCGAGCTGACTCTAATTTTGCTAGGCACAATTTGGCATTATCGCAATTTGACATCATGCATGATTTTGCTTGACACTTTCTTATAACGGAGAAGAAGCTGTTCTTTCGCCATCCACAGTTTTTCGTTATTATTATTTTAATTTTACTGATTAAACCTAAAATAATTGTTTCCGAAGACCGGATCTGAAGCCGTCGGTACAAAATCGAGCTTTGCACATAGGCCAAAGGCTTATATTATTGGCATTGCCAGGAGGCAGGAGGAAACAATTATTATATGGTTTATTACTTTAAAGCCTTTGTTTAATATCCCTGACAGGGCTAAATAACTTGCCAAAGATATTTAATAAGATGCCTGTTGATTCTTTCTTAGGTTTGTTCTTGACATATTTCATGTTTTTGTTCATGCGGATGAAATGAGGGAGGCAAAGATAAACAAAATTATGTGAACGAATGTTGACTTGTATAGTCAGGTCAAGGTGCTGATGGGTTGCTTGTATAGTCAGGTCAGATTGATGCAAAAAACTGTTGACTCTTGAAAATCGTCAAAAAACTGAAAAGTGTCTGCTTTGTTGAGCATGGTAGCAGCTGTGCAGAAAAGCAACACTAAGCTACTTTTGCAAGCAGTGCGAAATATGATTCTGCTTACATTTACATTGAATCACATCAACTATGCCCGCTACTGTACATACCAACATCTGCTTCTCCATTGCACTTCAATCATTGCAGGGTGAACAAACTACAACATTCCAAGATTGGAACAAACAAGGATTTGGCGGGAATTTCAAAACAAATTCTCTGCAATTCATTGCGATTTACATACAGAGCAAAAGGGATACTATTTAACCAAGAAGCTAAAGGGCCTGCAGGTCCATACAGGGACTTCAGCAAATTTTAATGCGGTTAACACTTGGATTGCTACGTCTCACTCTCATAGCAAGTTTAGAGACGCTCTGAAGCAATACTTTTTCGCAAAGTCATCATTAATTAACAAGTACAGCATTCCAGGTGGGACAAAGATCCTTCAGAAACATAATGATAGCCTTGTGGAACTCTTCGAAGCTATGACACAAATCGGTTTTCTGTTGCTCCTGCAAAGTCGACTCCAACTGGTGAAGAATTAGATCAATAAAGTTCTACTGACCTCCTTGCAGCGTCGATCATAGGAGAAGAGAATATGCATCGCTTCACAAATGATTGCCTAATTAATGGTAATTAATATCTAATGCTTCACGCCGATCAAGAAAACAAAGCTGAAGACAGATCTGGAAAAGCTGCAGCAATTACCGTGGTCAAGGAACACAAAACAGGCCTTTAACTATTCATTTTGGAAGGAAGGAGGAGGCAGGAAGTCTGCAAGAGGTGTTTACTCATCCCATTACAACCATTCCTCTTTCAATTGCTATCGCTACAGCTGGTTTAACTTTGTGTCAGTCAAACAAAGTAACTTTGCAACGACTCTTGCTCGAAGATTGGCAATGGATCAAAGACATGCCTCCGAAGTCTGCCGCTTGGATAGTAGACGGAGTGGTAGCAGTTCGCTCCATCAAACCAATGCCAACGTACCGAGTGCGGATGCACAGCCTTATCAAATTTGTTGCTCCTGAAGCTGGGTATAAGTTGGTGAACCTGGGCAAGAGGTCATTTAGAAGTGTATTACCAAAACATGTTGCAAGGATATAAATGCCACGAGCTCCTGTATCGAAATTAGAAGCAAGAATGATTTTTGAAGGAAGACACATTGGGCTTTTGCTTTTCTCGATGTTAAACGCAAATGGTTCCCATTTCGGAAGAGATCTTTGCCTCAATCTACAGGCTTTAAATGCTTTATCTGGGTGTAATTCTAAATCCTATTTCCGCAACGTAGGAAAGGTAAGGTTGCTGAAGACAGTCATCAAGAGCCCGCGATACCTTGAACTGCTTGACAGCCTTGGAGAAGAAAAAGTGGTTAGTGACAGCGATATAGAAGATTTTCATAAGTTTGTTCAAATGGTAATGTATTCTGGTAAGGTCAAGAGAAGCTATGTGGAAACAAGACTAAAAATGTACAACAAAATGAAACTAACATTAAACTACTTCCTGATTCACATTCCTAGAAGATAGCCATTCTGAGAGCGCGCAGGGAAACCTACTGCCGGTTGCGTTGCATAGAGCCATCCGTCAATACTTTCTTTCGAAAGATGTGGCTGGAAATGTTCTTCTGAAGAGTCTTCCTTGAAATCTTTTTGCTTCACGTGTCCCCTGCTGCCTCCTTCTTTGAAGTCAAGACGGAAAAACAAGAACAGACTTTCAGAAAGCGTTGGGGCAGATGTCGAAAGTGGCAGTGAAAATCTCCCTGCTACAAAGAAATGCAAAAGATGTACAGGGGTACCGAAATAGGCCCGTAGTGTCGACGAAATCAGTGCTAGTAACGAATACAAGGAAACAACAGACCAGGCAGACTCTGACCTAAGTAGCACTGAACTTTCTGATGAACTGGAGAGCGAATGGGAAGTTTATGGCATCAGTTCTTCAGGTTCTGGCGGTAAATGGATTTGAGGCGAATATATATGTACCTTGAAACGTTAAATTAAGTGATTCAGAATAACTACCTGACAAAACATTGCCACAAAACGATCCAGAAATGCGTTTGATTAGATCAGAGCTTTTGTCTTAAAATGTACTGTTAGACGGCCATTTAGAAAGTGATGACGTCATCATTGAAAACTGCTGACATCGTTAAAATAGTGATGTATATATATCATTGGAAAGCTTTCCTTTAAGCGAGCCCGAATCTAGCGTTTATATCGAAGTCAGACAGACGTATACTCAAGAAGTTACAATGATTTTGGGTAAAGGAAACATCATCGGTAACGTGACTTTGATGAATTTTTGAAAATGTTGTAAGGGCTTAAATTATTCGTTATACCATATAATTCTATAATCAGCCGAGAAAACAAAGGTTAGTCAATGCGGTCGATGGTTGAGAGGAATGCCCTGCCTATCCTTTTTAGATAGAATGTTCAAAATTGCATTTTACAGTAGTTCAGCCTTAGCTTGTTCTTTACTTGTTCTTAACTTTTGACCATTTTTTAGGTTCATGTTCTTACAAAATTGCTCATGTAAAAAAGAGTAAATTCTTTGCTTCTGGTACTCGTATAACCTGTTTTCTTTCAAAATTAAAATCAACAAACCTGTCCAACAACAACCTCAACTAAAAATGCCCTGCGTGGGCGCAAACTCTCCCTGAAAGCTGAAACCACAACACTGCAAGACTGACGGCGAAGAGTTTAGAGGAAGGCGAAGGCCAGGCAGAGCGAACAACTGATTTTTCTAGCACTGTTTCGACTTGACGTTGTTTGATCAGCAGAATACCACTTTTATAATTATGACATTGCCGTTTTTTCTGATTTCAGGATCTGTTTTATATGCATCTTCGCCGCTGTTTTTTGAAGGTTAACCGAACTTTGATTGGCAATGATTGGACATTTTTCCATGAGATGAGGGATTTGTGTCAAAACATCTGTTCCATAAAACTTTTAGTTCTGCAAAAGGAGACAACACGGACTATTTGAGCACCTACCTTTGTTTAAGGTAACTGATATTTTTCGATGGATGAAAGTGGGACAATTGACACAGAGGATGACATCCATTTCCTTGGAAGCCCCAGGATATCTCTTGTCTCTCCGAGAACGCATAGTTTCAAAGGTTACTCTAATAGATTAGCTTATTTGAAAATAATATTTCAAAAATTATGGAATCTCTATATTGCAGCAAACACAAAACCCCTGACAGCACTGTTGCTGCTGCTGGCTGTTATAGGTGTAAACATTGCCTTGTTTTTCGTCGCTGTGTTGACACATCCAGTACAAGTGGATTATTCTTTGAGAGCTTTTGAGGTGACTGGACATCCAGCGTCGAAGAGATTGGACAGCCTGATTGCTGCACGAGAAGATCTGACTAGAGCAGCGAAGGAAGACAGGGCCAAACATAGCAGAAGAATCAAGAGATCGGAAAGCAATCCTGAGGTTGTTATTCATAGTCAGTACAAACAGAAATGGAGGCTGGATCTAGTATATCTGGCAAAAGATGACAACATTTTTACGGATGAAAAATTGAAATATATACATACAATAGAGAAGAAGCTTATGCAACACTCAAAGTTTCAAGACTTTTGCTGGAAAGGCAAAGATGTTTTCAAGGACAAAGCACTTTTGCAAAATTTAAAAGGATGCATGCCTCCGAATTCCTTGATTGATTACTTTTTTCGTACAGATTTTTTTGATGGGCAAGGGAAAAGTCTATCTAATGTACAAGAAACACTTGATTATTTACTTACTAAGCTCACCACTTTCTGGTATGTTGACGAAGGATTTGGTGCAGATAATCGTAAAAGCAAATTTCTCAGGTCCCAGATAAATTTTGGAATCCCTCTCAAGGGATACGAGGACAATGATCACAGCTTGGAAGAGCAACATGAAATTTTCAGGAAGTTCCTTGTCAAGTTTGTAGAGCAACTGGAATCATCCTCATCAGAGTACGTATAATTTGACGATTGATATCAACATGCCTTTAGAATTGTCTATCGACGAGTGCCAATGAAAAATATGCACATCAGATTCTTTATGCTGTCAATTTGTTTCTTTGTTCTAGTGCACTTTAAAGCTGTGCAGCAAAGATAAATAACTTTTTTTGAAAGCTACAACATTCTGTTTCATTTGGTCGAAATCAGTTTCTTGGAACTTCTAGAAATTCAAGTTTAAGAATTTTTGTTACCCCTTTCCCCATTTTGTTTCAAAGCTTTTAAACCTTTTTGAACATCTATGAAACTGGTGTCAGTTTCATAAAACTGTTTTGCTCCTGCTTTTTTATAGCTCTGTTTCATAGGGTTGTCATGTGTAACGTATTCAGCAAAAGCAGGTAATGTACTTCATAATGTATGAGCTATAAGCTGTTATACCATTTAACTGATAATCCAATCTTCAAAAACTTATGCTATGAATTCAATTCTACCAGCAAATTTAAGTTGGTATGGCTGCTCTCCATGATCAAGATCCATTCCATGAATGCAGTCAACAGATACAAAAGGGGCTTAAATGCCATCATATGTGCAATTCTGCCTCATGTAACAGGTACCTTTACCAGCTTAAAGGAAGTTAAAATATTGATCCGCTAAGTTAAGAATTTAAGTAAACATTTCAATGCTATAGGTTTTTTAGGATGTGCAAATTTTATTAGAGCAGGTATTGGTGGCTTATAACTGGTGTTTTTCCAGGTTTTTTTACAACAGACAATGGATGTGTAAATATTTTGAACACCCTCTTCGGTTTCTTTTTATGACTTTTATACTGTGTGAAAAATATTTCTTGTCATTTTGATGCTAAAACTAGCCTTTAACAACAATAAATAGGCAGATGATGGGATTTATTTGAGGCATTTTGAATTTGTTCAAAGAGTATTCATTTTTAGATGTAATGTGTTTTCCTTAAGTTTTAAAATAATTGCTTTTATGGATCAATCAAAGAATTGCAGGGATTTGCAGTACTACCACTCTCCCCATTTTTGGACCATTCTTATTGTTCATATTCACTAGGCAAAATATGTGAAGCTAAGGTGGAGTATTGAGTTCATCAGTAACAGGGGTAAACTTTGATTATCCATGTGTTTCAGTTGCCTATACTTTTTCAAAATTTGGATCAAGGAAATTTTCAGAGTGTAGCAGAGAATACAAACTTGCAGTGGAAGAGAGGGTACTTAAATTTAAATCTTACAAACCAAGACAGGAGGAGGAGGTAGCCAGAGACAAAGCTTCCTTTTTCAACAATGTTTGTGGAATTTCTTTTTATTTCACTGCTTTTCTTTTTAAGAGTTTTTATCAAATATCTAGAAATTTTCCCTTCTTTTGTAGCGAGGTTACAGTTCTATATGGCAGCTCAGAGATATATGATTATGAAATCAAGCATACATTTTACCATGATGTTATGTTGGCTGTAATCAGTTTTGGACTCATAATTCTTCTGCTGTTTATCCTGACATCATTTTCCCTTTGGCTGACCATATTTGGTGTATTAACCATCGTGTTCAGTTTTCCATTATCATATTTTGTTTACCGTGTCCTGCTTGGAATAAATACTGTTGGAATTTTGACGGGAACCACTGCTTTTGTTATTATTGGAATTGGCGTGGATGATGTGTTTGTTTTCATAAATGTTTTCAGGTAAGTTTGAAAATGCTCCGCACCCTCTTGTTCTCCTTGACATTTCATTTTACCAAGTAAATGTAATCAGCAGCTAGAGGGTCTCTACATAAATGGTTTCATTAACCATGCAAAATGCAAAGCTTTTTTTCTTTCACGACAATGTGTTTTGCCTCTGGAATGTGCTTGCAACAGCCCATGATAATTAAAAAATTTGTCATTGATCATATACCAAGAGAATATCTAGGCTTGAAACATATGCTAGCACCTAGATCTAGTCAGGTAGTTTATTGTAGCGATGTGATTCAAAATACAGACTAGTGTAATTTGGATGTAATTTGCAGCCACTGTGAATGCATTTATGTTATAGGCAAGCTACCCATTTGAAGGACATCAGGGAACGAATGAAGCACTTGATTGCTACAGCAGGCAAAGCTACTTTCTTCACTTCATTTACGACTGCTGCAGCATTCGGTGCCAATGCCTTGACAAAGGTTCCAGCTGTTCATGACTTCGGCTTGTTTACTTGCATCCTTGTTATGTCTTGTTGGCTCATGGTTGTGCTGTTGATGCCGCCAGCTCTCTTTCTCTGGCAAAAGTGGTTAATCAAATGTGAAATGTGTTTGTGCCTGAATAAATATTTCCACAGATTTTCGAAAGGTTTGTGATTCTGCTTTCACAGCTTTTAGCGTTAATTTTTATTAGTTAATTATTTATTTACATATTCAAAACCTTTGATGTTGGTGTATCTGCAGTAACATAGTAAACTGGAAGTTGAAAGAGTGCAAAGAAGAGCGCATAAGTAAATGGCGTAAGATGAAAGTGAAGAAGACTGTAGGAGGCTGTAAGCAGAAGATGTTAGAAGATTGTGCAGGTAGATGAAAAAGGAAAGGATGAAAGGATGTTGAATTAGGGCATAAGGAAAGGGCGTAAGAGGAAAGTGAAGATGATGGCATTAAAAGAGGGCGTAAGAAGTGGGTGAAGAGAGGGTGGAGAGGAGAGTGAAGATGAGGGCGAAGAAAGGGTGTAGGTTGAAGGGAAATGGGGGTTTAATAAGATATGGGAATATAAAAAAGTCATAAGAAGAAGGCGAATAGGAGGGCATTAGAGAGCGTAAAAAAGGCGAAGATGAAGGTAAAGAAGGGAGCAAAGATGAGGGTAAGGAGAAGAGCGAAAAGGAGAGCGAACAAAAGGTAAAGGTGCTTTAGGAAATGTGCATAAGAAAAGGGCTTAAGAAGATGGTGAAGAGAAATGTGATAAGGAGAGCGAATAAGAAGATGAGAAATGAGAAAATGTTGAATGAGGGCATAAGGAAAGGGCGTTTGAGGTAATTGAAGATGACGGCATAAAAAGAGGACGCAAGAAGGTGTAGGTTAGAATAAAATGAGGGATGAAAGGATATTAGATGAGGGCGTGAGAAAAGAGCATAAAAAGAAGGTGTAGTTGAGGGTACAAGAAGAGGGCGTAAGAAGAAAGTGAAGATGAGTGCGACGAAGAGAGTGAAGAAAAGGGTATAGGTAGAGAGCAAAAAAATAGATGTGACACGAGGGCGTAAGAAGTGGGGTGTAAGAAGATGGCAAACTAAGAGCGAGTAAGAATAGGGTGCAAACGAAAGGTGAATATGAAAGTGAATATGAGCGTACCCTCTTTATATTTATGGCTATGCCAAGTACCTTTTTATCTCTTTATGCTTTTGAGAAACTCAATGACCAGGTGGTTCAGTTGGTAGAGCAACAACATCGGTATCACAGATTGCTGGTACGAGTTCCGCCCTGGTCGTGTAACTCAATCCTATTTTCTCCCAGTATATACATCTTTTTAAGGTAAAAATGAAGTGTGAACTACATAAGAGCAGTGTACTTCAACATTTTATTGAATCCTGCCGATTCGAATGTTGCGATATATTTATTCTTAGTTTAGATGATTCATGGTTGTGTTATATCAGCAAGCCTAAATGCTGTATGATCCCAATTGATTACAGGCTGAATATTCGGTTTTCAGACTTAAGTTAATGGAAAACAGTGAAAAGATTTGTGTTGTAATCATAATCCGAACCAAAGTGTTTGATTTTCTATCTTTATAGATAATGACGCAGCCAACCTTATCAACAATGACGAACTGGAATTGAACTCTGCTGCGCGCGAAATGCAAGAGATTCGCAGTAGATTCAATTCTGTTTCTAATGAAGAAACCCTGGATCCTAATTACGCATCTTCTTCGAATGATACTGCTGTCAAATGCTGCACGATAACTGATCTTTTAACAAGGTTTATGATCAAGTTCGTTGCAAAGCCAGTTATTCGCTTTCGCCACACCGTCCTTGTTTTATTTTTGGTAGTAACCTCGCTATCTGTTGTTGCTATCACTCATCTTAAAACGGCTTCGGGAAGACCAGAGCTTTTCCCAGCTGATACAAATCTGCAAAAGCTGTTAAATCTTCAGTTTAATTTCAGCTCCAGCTATGTTGACTGTACCTCATGCGCAGGTGGAGTGAAGCGTGTGCATGATTCTCCAAATATAGCACAACCTGATAAGTTACAGTCGAGATTCAGAAGAAACGCTGATTCTGGAGGTGTTTTTATAAATGGATCGTTATGGAAAAACGATTCAAGTGGCTTTATAAATGATCAATTTTACACAAATAATTCAAGGCTAATGACCACCGTTAAAGCTATGACCTTTAAGACAACTAACACACTCTCTCGTGTGAATGAAGAACTGCCCACACCTGTGAATCTTCGCGACGTCAAAACAACCGAAACTGCTGGTCGTTGGGGGCCAAATCATACTCTTACCAGGACAACTGAAAAGGTGAATATATCCGGGAAACCAACTAGAATGGTCGCCACAGTTCGTGAAGAATATGCAACCACATCTGCTAAACCAAAGGAAAGCCAAGTAACCACTAGTGAGAATTGGAGCAAGAAGCAGCATTCCGATAGCTCAATACAAAGCAAGGGAATGACTACGGCAAAACCTGCCATTTATAGCAAGACACCGACTCAAAAGCTCCAAACCGTTAGCAAGCATGTAACAAAAGAACATCCCCTAAAAAGAACATTTAGTTCTGAAGCAAGGAAAAATATTACAACAGTGGGGAGAAAGGAGATGACTACAGTTGAGCACCGAACGACGACACCTGTTGTAACGACGCCACCACTGTGTCCTAAACCTTGCACACCCGTTAAAAGGCCCATTGTGGATAAAACAGCTATCGTTTTTCTCGTATTTGGGATTAAAGGAGTTGACCAGGGCTCTGTTACTGGAAAGCATTTCTTTGGAACAAACAGGGTACATTGCATAACATTTACTCTACAAAACCTCCTTTTGATTTTAGCTTATTTAATGCTGTTTTAACTTATTTACTTCACTTTGGCCATAGAAAAAATTGCAAGATTAATATTAATGGATACTATTTTATTTTTTAACTGGTAGTATTATCCATTTAAGGATATTCAATTTTTTCCATCGTAAGGTGCAAATTTATGTCGCATTTTCAATTTAAATGTGAAAAATATAACGAGATAAGCATTTCTGGCAAGCTCATTTTAAGAAGAGTTTTCCCATACCGCTAGAAAATATTCTGATTGTTATACCATAATTTCATTTTTACTTTTCTCTTTACTTTACATAAGTTACTTTTTTCAGGGTACCCCAATTTACGACGAAAAATTTACCATGGTTGGGGACCAGCTGCAGGTTGTTGCTACCGGGGCACTCGTCAAAGCATTCTGTCGAATATGCCTTGCCTTTCAAAATAACACAGCTTTGGTTAGTCCTGGTGGTGCAGATTGCTTTCCTCGCCAGATCTATCGCCAGTTGAAGCTTTTTAAGTACGAAGAATGTCAGGAATTGGAAGAACCCCGTTATGCAAACGGCCGGCCTAGTTTAAGCATGGTTGGCGTAATTCACAATAAAATCAAATGGATGGCAATGGCTTTTGAGTCGGTTAGTATCAAGATATCCTTAGATTAATACAGCTCAAACTCAAGAGAGCTTTAGGTAAAGACAGCTCAAGCTTGAGACAGCTTGAGCTCAAAAATGCACAATTTTAAGACAGCTTAAGCACAAAGCAGTTTAACCTCGAGACAGCTTAAGCGCAAAACAGCTTAAGCTCAGGGTAGCTTAACCTTAAGACAGCTTTATCGCTGAACAGCTTAAACTCTAAAAAGCTTTAGCTCAAGAGAGCTTAACCTGGAGACATCGTTAGCTCAAGAGAGCTTAACCATGAGACAGCTTTATCGCTGAACAGCTTAAACTCCAAAAATCTTTAGCTCAAGAGAGCTTAACCTGGAGACATCGTTATCTCAAGAGAGCTTGACCATGAGACAGCTTTATCGCTGAACAGCTTAAACTCCAAAAATCTTTAGCTCAAGAGAGCTTAACCTGGAGACATCGTTAGCTCAAGAGAGCTTAACCATGAGACAGCTTTATCGCTGAACAGCTTAAACTCCAAAAATCTTTAGCTCAAGAGAGCTTAACCTGGAGACATCGTTAGCTCAAGAGAGCTTAACCATGAGACAGCTTTATCGCTGAACAGCTTAAACTCCAAAAATCTTTAGCTCAAGAGAGCTTAACCTGGAGACATCGTTAGCTCAAGAGAGCTTAACAATGAGACAGCTTTATCGCTGAACAGCTTAAACTCCAAAAATCTTTAGCTCAAGAGAGCTTAACCTGGAGACATCGTTAGCTCAAGAGAGCTTAACCATGAGACAGCTTTATCGCTGAACAGCTTAAACTCCAAAAATCTTTAGCTCAAGAGAGCTTAACCTTGAGACATCGTTAGCTCAAGAGAGCTTAACCATGAGACAGCTTTATCGCTGAACAGCTTAAACTCCAAAAAGCTTTAGGTAAAGACAGCTTAACTAACCTTGAGGCAGCTTTGGCTCAAGACAGCTTGGCCTTGAACAGCTTAAGCTCAAGAGATTTTAGTCTGAAAAATTTTTTCTTGTCGCTGAAAATTTGGTTACAGCCTTATTGTTCGTTTCTACAAGATACTGCAAGGCACCTTGTTTCTCAATTGACATATAAACAAAAATTTACCAGCCACATCCCCCATTTATTATGACCTCCAACTCCCCTCCCCCTTCCCCTTACCCCGCTCATTATTTATCAGAAAAGTTTTGACCCTCCGTTTATTGATCTTGAAGAGTACATTCCCATGTCGAGCATGAATTTTTCTCAGGATGCACTTTTTAGGTGTAGATGTTGTAGCTTTAGTTTGTCAAAGGGCTGAATATGCGAACATTATGTCTCAGAAAGCCTGTGCTGAAACATTATTTTACACTGATTTTGGTGCTATTGCTAAATTTTCACGAACAAAATGTAATTCAAAATGGTCAATATCAGAAGGGCGATGCAATGTGACAACGTTATGAAAAACTCGACATAAAGTGCACGAAGTTAGCTTATCTATTGAAATTCTGACAGCAACTTAGCGTTAAGTTTTGGACATCATGCCTTGCAAAAAGTGTCATTCCTGCAGTGTTTGCCATGCAATAATTGCAACCAGGGTGTCAAATTTCATTTTCAAACTCAAATTAGTACAGAGTCAAGGAATTTGTTTGACTTAAATAGAATTGTACAGTTGACTTCATTCTTAGTCATTACCCATATAGGCAATCGAATTCTTCTTGTAAAGCCTAAATATTATTTTTTTTCAAGACCACATACAAAGGAAAGTCAGCATTCAGCGTATTTGAAGATTTCCACAAGTGGGAGAATTTTACACGGAAAGTCCTAGACGACCCAGAAATACCTGAAATGCTGAAAGATGGGTTTCAGACCAGTGAAACATGGGTGGATATGTTCTCTGAGATGATCGCAGTTAATGGCGCCATTTACGGAATTACGCTTTCTTTGATTATGTGCCTAGCCGCTGTTGTTATCTTTACTGGCAATTTCAAGTTATCTGCTATAGTCTTTATAACGATTGCAGGTTGGTACATATAACGCATATATGCTGCTTAAGCAGGCATGCAAATTTTGTTATCTTTTGTGGAGAAACTGTAAGTAATGATGTAATTAGTCCAGACTTCTAAAATAAACGAAAATCGTTAACACAGAAGTGATTGTCTGCATTGATTGTTAACTTTCTTACGGCCTAACTCGAAAATTGCTAGATACGCTCGCTTTATCTGTAAAATAAAAAAGGTTTCACCCTACGGAATGTAGGGAAGGTTTACCTATTATTTTAAACAACCATTTTGATGAATTCTGTGCCTAGGGGATTTTCTCAAGCATTGACAGTGGTCTCATCACAGCATTTTTCTCGGTTATTGCTAGTTCTGGATAACTCATTCAGTAGTGTTTTTCACGTTTTTTTCTTGTTTAGGAGCTTTGTGCCTTGTTATAGCAACATTCTGGGCGGTTGGATGGACGCTGGGTGCAATCGAAGCCATTTCGTTGTCCATTCTTGTTGGCACTTCAGTTGACTACACAGTTCATTTGACTGAAGGCTACATCATGGCCACTAAGATTGCAGATTTCGATGGTTTGACAAATAGGGTACGTTATATTTTGAATCTTTTACTGGTATGGAAATGTTAGAAAACATTAAGACTCTGCGGAGGACACGTTGTAAATAATGAGCCTTGTTTTGTTTATTTCCGTGATGTATATAAAGGGATTTAATCGAGGCCGGGGGAGGATTGTTGGATTATTGCTTGAATGTAGATTGTTGGGTTTACGGATTACACGTGTACGGATTTGAAATTGGATATGTTGCGAGAATCTATCATGGATACCGTTTAGTAATCGTTAATTTGGAATCTAGATTGTAGATTCACTGTTTCCTAATGTCACTGATTAAAAGAACCTTGGAATCATAACCAGTTTTTTCCTCTTGTTTATCTTGAACTGAGTTAATCGTACGGAAACATTGCTCGGTTTAACTATTCCGACAGAATTTGTTGTTTGAATTGATTATTTGGCAATGTTATCCATCAGGAAATGCTAAGGCAGAATTTACCTTGCTTTATTATGGGTGTTTCAATTGAATGCTGATTCAACAAGTTTCTCATTTAGCCTGTCATTTACTTCAATATATTTAGTTGGATTAAGTGAAGCAAAAACCTTGGGAACAGCCTTATGTGAATTAAAATTACTTACCTGCAACGGCAGTTGAGCAGTGTACGAAGTAATCATCGGGGGTAATAATCGTTATATCAAATACATTAACTATAGATTGCTTGCTAAGGTTAGCTTCTTTATGTGGATCGTCAAAAGATGTAGACTTATAATACGAAGTCCTTGGTGCTGCTTCAACAATCGAACTCTTTATTCTTAATATAACATTCTCCAACGCAAGAAAGAATTAAGCATAGTGGATGCACAGAAGCGATAGAAATTCACGTTTTATCGCACTTTGATAATTGGCAATTGGAGCTTTAATGTAATAACAAACTGACAACTTTTTACAATGCTGTATAGTTTTGTTTTCTTTCGAGCAAGTCGGTTATTGATGGTGATGATACTCTGGTAGTCTCTGGTTAAATATTTAGGAATCTTGGATTAAAATTTTACTTGGAAAAGTGTCAGTGTTAATCTAGTGTAACTGTTGAGCCGATGTTAACTGAATAGTTTGCATGTCCAGGCTTAAAAGGCACTATATCTGCAGTTGGTTTAGCCTACAGTTGGCTTCGAAATACGCGATTGATAATTTTTTGGATATTTAGAATCCTTGAACGTAAAATTGCTTTATTGACGATACTGTTACTTTTTCAGGAGGTGCGAAGTGAACACTCGCGAATGGCTTTGAATCATATAGGAGTATCAATATTAAGTTCTGCAGTAACAACACTGATCGCAGCCATTCCACTCTGCTTGACAAAGATCCGCTTGTTTTCCAAGTTTGGAGAGATCTTGGCTATCAACACCACCATGTCAATTGTTTATACATTGACAATTTGTGTAAGCTTACTTAGCATTATGGGACCTACACGATTCAGAGGCTCGATGAAATCCCACTTTGTTGCATTCCTAGCTGTTGGTCTTGTTGTTGGCCTCGTTGCCCTTACCCTATATCTTCTTAATGCCTACGCTGGAGTCAGTGTCCCTGGACCCACTGGTGGCCAACTTTTCCAGTAGAGTTCATTGTAATTCCCTCTCCTTTATGATGTAATTTGCTTCAAATTTGATAGGTTTATCCGTTTATTCTCATTAATTTCCAAATGAGCTTGATCAAAAAGGAAAAAGACACAACTGTTCTGATTTTCCTATTATGGTTTTTGAACTTTCCTTCTAGATGTGTCTTTTCATCTTTATCCTTGCTATTCCCGCGATGATTTATGAATTCTCGATAAAGCTTCTATTCTTTTTGACAGATAATTATGTTGGAATCATCCCGATAAATCGGTGACTCTTTCAGCGTGTTTACTTGAATGCTCGTATGTGTGCTTGTTGTGTGCAAAATGTGTGCTATAGCATTGTTCCCAAACCTATTTACTTGCACGGTCTGTCGTCGAAGAGAGGGGCTAAAAGTAAACTGGTTTTATCAGCCCATATTTGTTTCAAAATGTGTCTGCTCCTTCACATTACAACTCATTTAAGTTCAATTTTGGCCTGCTTCGTCAAAACCCCTCTCATCATTTGTAATAAAGTGGAAACGTCAAAATCTTCACCATCTCTACATATTATCCATTTCCTTTCAAAATTGCCAATTCAGCAATTCAAGTAACATGAAGTAGCCTGTATTTATTCTGTACTTATGATAATCCAAGCGTGGTAATTATTACCAAGTCAAATTGTATTAGCTGCCTTAGGTTATCGCTTAATGCATATTATATATAAAGAATTTTTAACCTTAATTATAAAAAAGAATTGTTGCTCATGGTAGTAAGATATGTAAACAATCTTAATTAATACAAGAAAAAATCAAAATAGAAGAATCTTTTTTAATTTTAATCACAAATTAAACATTTATATTTAGCCTGTATTGATTTCTATTATTTCAAACGTTCGTAACCTTTTAAATGTGATAGTTGGCTAAGGAATTTGGCGCCGCTGCATTAAGCGCCGAACATCGTTGAACATTCTGCTAGACATCGCCTGAACATCTTGAACATCCATTACGTCCAAAGGCTCTTAACTGAACACCACTGAGCGTCCCTGAACATTTGTGTCCAGTGCTGTTCAGTGAAAGTTGAACGATGTTTAGGGATATTCAGCAAAGTTCGAAAGACTTAAAAAATGTCCACTGGCTCGACAAAACATGTCATTATTCGTGGTTTTGTTCAACTTATTTTGAAAGCGTTTATACCACCCAGTTCATTCTGCCTATGCATCCTTCAAATCTTCTTGACGGCTGATTGATTGACGAAGTATCGAGGTATTGTCCACAGTGTTTTAAGTTTAAACAATTTTATCTCTTAGCCATTATCTTTCTAGCCTAATATTGCGTCAATTGTGATTTGTTAGTAGTTTGCATTTAATCATGCTTTTTCTAACTAAAAGCGAAAGTTATCGAAAACTATTGGTTTCCTAATTTTCTACTTAAATTGATTTACTCATTATCAAGATCATTTCTCGTGCTATTTGATTGTTCCTGTAATCTTATGTTTTTTCTTGCCAACTCTTTATCTAAGGTCACTAAAATAATATTTTTAAACCTTTTATTCTCGCGTTATTGGATACATATAATAATTATAGCATTACTGTGTGCTAAATTAAAGTATCAAAAAAATGCAACTTCATTGACATTTAAATTGTGTTAGATACACTCTTTCTTTATAAGACAAAGTAAATTGAAGTTCAGACTGGCTGTTCTCAATTTTGTCGAAAATCTGAAGCTGGATTGTTTTTAATTTGTTCTTAGACCATTATGGTGTAAGCAGTGCGATTGCTAGCTTTTTGGCTCTAGGGAGGTGTTCAAAGAGAGTAAGACATCCTTTATTTGCCGACAAGATTGAAAGCACCTCTAGATGGCAGAAAACTTCTGGTTTTAGGATAAAACATTTTTCAAAACTATTAAGATGAAACTTTCTCACAGGAAACTTCAATTACGAATTAACCACTCCAAAAAACCCACTAGTAGGCAAAGACATACCAACTAGTAGGCAATAGTACTTCCATCCCGCTGTTGAAGGATGTTTATTCACTAATGGCAGTAGGTTCTTGTCCCTCCATATAAAACAAGACTTGACCTCCTCCAGATGAATTCGCTTGAACAATAAGCATCAAGGACAAGAACATTGTTTGAAAGATAAAACACAACCTGAAATGAAACCCTGTTTTAGTATTGTTTCAAAAAGATCTAAAATACTATAGGTAGAGGTTATAAAATTTGTATTGCGCATTTCCCTTTGCCAAAACAAATGGCTCAACCATACATCTTACCAGTATCATCTAATATCTATCTGAAATAGTAAATCCATCTTCAAGTTTTTAGGTGCTGCAAAATAGGGTCATTACTGCCATACAAAATTAAACTAGGGGTAGATTTCTAGGATTAAGCTCTAATCGAGTATACAAGTGTTCTCAAATCCATCGCAAAGCCTCTGCACCAAGTGCTACATTTGGTGCAACTATCAAATTGCCAGGGCGCTAATATTTCATAGACTTCATATAGCCGCAGTTTCCCCTAAAATTTTCTAAAGAAAAATTCCGTAAAAATAGCCCAGAATTAATGATTTTATAATCCAAAACTCTCAAATGCGTAATGAAAATCTAATACAAGCTATTTTCAAGACAAGCTGGAGACAAGTAAATACAAATCATGTTTTAGATTTAGATGCTATTGGAAATTTTTGTCGGCCAAATTTTCAACTCGTATTATAAAGCAAGGAATGTCTCTCAACAATTGCAAGGAATAAGTGATAAGCAATAAGTAGAAATTGTCCCCCTCCCCCTCTGTAGTAGGATTTAATCGCTGCTTGCGTGTTTATAATTACTATAACTTACGCATGCCCAGTGTGCTGTTATCTAGATTGTGGCGGGAGGCTTCACGCTTATAGTAATAAAAGTCTAAGATGAAGTAAATGAGTTTCTCTTAGTTTGAAACTGCTAGTTCATAATTGCTCTACCACATCTCCAAAACTACTTTAAGAAAGTTATGTGAAAGAAAGTATCAAGAATCGAGAAAGTATGCAATTTTTGGAGTTAACTTTCGCGAAAGAAGCGAAATAAGACGTTTCACAGGAATAAACTTTCTTGTTAATCATGAATTTCGCGCGAAAAACATAACTTTTCACAAGAGGTTCCATTCTATTTTTAATACCAACAACACAACCAAACACTATTTAATTTTATCGAAAACAATCATTTGTCGCCAAATTTTCCAAGAGGGTTAATAGCACACTTCTCTGGATCTTTCACGAAGAAAAACTTGCTTTCTTCCTCTCTTCTCTCTGCCCCCCCCCCCTTTTGTTAACTTTTGTCTCTTTGGTATTAATATTTGAATTTAAGAGGCCAAGGCTCGATAAGCATTGCTTTTCCTGGGTCGCATATACTACAAATTTAGCTTTTATTGTAATTTAAGGTTTTATTTTATGAAAATGTTGAATAAGTACACCACTATCGTAAGCTAAACATGGTTTTACCCTTCTAAAGTGCCTTTTAAAAAATTAGGTTTTTTGGAGTGGTTAATTCGTAATGGAACTTTCCTGTGAGAAAAAATGTTTCCTTGCAATTTGTTGATGTGAAAAAATATTTTCTTGTGATTATCAATGGTCATACCACTATTTTGGTCCATTTCTTTGGCTATACGGTCTTTGGTTATACGGTGCAAACAGTTTAGTTTGGATACATTTAAGAAAATCACGTCCGCTAGCTTTTTAGATAGGAGGCCCTCGTCGCTTTATTGGCAGGTAGTTTCGTATTTTCATCTGTGTTCAAGCGTACAGACCAAGGTTTGAATATCAAAATAATTTAACTACATAAGGATCCTGAACGAAGAACTGACACTTCACGGCTTTGATATAATTAAAAAGGACAATATCCATTTCTCTAATCTAGCCAGGGATGGACCTTAATGAGGGTGGTACCTGAACATATGCTAGCAATTAATGCAAATTTATGAGATTTTACTAAGAGAATCATTGCTCCAACGAAAATGACAGTAACAAGCCCAGGCGATACTTACAGTGATTTCAAATGCAATCGAAATAGTTATGCTTGAGCAGCTTGTTACAGTCATTATCTTGATAATCTTGTTAGCATTAACGATCTAGTCATATCAAGATAAAAATAAAAGTTCTCTTATTTTATCTTGGTCTTTTAAAAGAGTTGATGTGCCCCACAGTGAGAACATTGAAACCACATGAGTAAAACGCATACAGACCTATTTTCTACCTAATGACAAACTATATTCTCTAATTGCTAATTGCTATTCACTCATTGCTAACAATGGGCCTTTGCCAGCGTGGTAACGGTCCAAACAATGGCAGTAAACGTCTACGGATTAACCAAAATTTATTTCAGACTGTCTGAAAATGCATTGTGAGATGCTTGCGTAGCGCAATGGCTCATTGTTAGCAATGAGTCTTCAACGTTGATATTCTTGAGACTGGTATGGTTACTACATGATTCGCGGTATAAGGAAAGTAGAGGCATCTAGGCTCAATTCCTCCAGAAAGCAGAAACTTGCTGAAACCCGTAGCCTTCTAGGTATAATGAAGCCATGTTTCCGCAAGAGCTGCAGGGTATTAATTGGGAAAATCTTTTTACCCCCTATCTGATGTACCAAATAGGAATGTGAATGCGCCCTCTCAGAGTCAAAAGGCTCTGATTTTTGAGATTGAACAGTTATATGATTTTTGAAGTGATCTTTGATTATTTCACATTGCTATTTTTATTCAGCAATGTTTTCCCTCTTTGTTGAGTATGACTACATTCCCAAAACACCCTAGGTTGTTGTTGTTGTTGTAACGAGCACCAAACATGGAGGGTGCTGGTTAGCACGAGACTGCTCTCATCAAATCCGTCTCTTGCATAGCCGAAGATTTTTATATAACTTATTTGAAATATTTGTACAGTTCTGCATGAAAATGGTGCGGACGTTACTCTGCCAGCCGCTTTGTGATCCAAAAGTGTTCTCAGATAACTATGAACCGACTTGCTGCTGTTGTACTCCAAATGGACTCATACTTATCGGATCAGGTTCTGGGAGCATCCATGTCTATTCTGCATCAGGAAGATCAACTTGCCGCATAGTTCACAGCTTTCCAACTGCTGGGATCTCTAAAAAGTTGGTTTACTGCTCCTTCCGTGGATATATAGTCTCTGTGGAAACCAAGTCCCTAGAATCTCGCTCTGGTACAAACAGTAGGGCACACAATGCCAGAGTTTATGTTAACTGGACTAATCTGCCTGGAGAGTCATCATATCTAACTCATCATCGTGCAGGGTATATATTGTTGATTTGTTGATTTCAGTTGCACAAGCAGTTAATGCATGATATTTAAAAAACACCCCTTGGAAACATCTTTGGCAGAAACTTGATAAGCAAGCAGAGGATTACAATTGCTTTAAAATTAGAGAAAACACATTAGAAACTATAACAAGCTATTTATAAGTTATGTTAAACCAAATGAATAGGAGATGAAGGTGGTAAATGTTATTTAGATTTAAATACCAGTTGATCTAACAAATAAATGAAAAATTATCTTTGACAGACAAACAATCAATCTGCTTTCTTGAACGATTAAAGAGGGCACTAATGTTCATGTTGACAATCACATTAAATGTCCAGGCTTGGTGTCTGCACTTGAACAAACTATTAATGCTTCATCCTGCCCCAACCCCCCCCCCCCCACCACCCCAACCCCCTCACCAAGTTGCTTTTCAATCTAATGCTCTACTTTTACCAGAAGGAAACAATGGTGAGAATGTGAGAAGCGCATTTCGATTTAGCTTTAAATTGCCCTGATTGAATTCATACTATTAAAAAAGTAATGGAGAGGAAGTATGAAATGGATGCCATGTTAAGTCAAATATAATTATAGATGACTGTCTTTTTGTCATATCCTTGCTCTAGTAAGTGCACATTGTTTAGATAATATTAGTATTAATAACAAAGGATGTATGTTTACTCTTGGTTGGTCAAAAACAAAAATACAGGTACTATGTCTGGAGGATGAAAGGGCTCAGTGTTCCAAAAAAAATTTACATGGGATGCTGGGACGCGAGATAAAGAGTATGATTATTATTTCCCGTTCAATACTTTTCAATCCCTTTTGATTATTATGTCCTATTAGTTTGACTACCATTTAAAGGGCTACAGCCAACAGTCAACTTGAAAAAGGGTCAATCATTCAGGAAAATTTGTTTCTGCATTGAATAAACCCTAACTGCATAATCATTTTGTTTTATTGTTATCTTATGCCTTTTTGCTACTTATGTTTCCTTTTTGTTTTCACCATGGTTCTCATGCTTTTCATGCTTCTCTCATATTATAGGTATTCTAAAGAAACCTCAAGCATTCATAATTATGCTGGAAAATATTTGGTCATTGACATCCCTATTAAATACTCAGTGACTGACATTTCATGCTGTGAAGAAACTGGAAATCTAGCTGTTTCAACAGAAGCAAAATGTTATCTGTTCATCTGTAAAGCCATTCATTTTGGAAACACATCTGAAAACAATTCCATTGTTGATTTTGATTGTGCACTTGAAATTGATTCTGGTTTTCAAATCAACCAAGTTTCCCTGTTCAGATATTATATAGCACTTGTCTCATCACATGAAATTAGGGTTATTAATGTTATTATGGATAAAGATGACACAATATCCCAAGCTGAAGATGTTACAAAAAATATCCAGTATGTAAATCAGTCAATTTTTTGCAACTTTTAAGGCTTCTTTATTTATGTTGCTCACCAAATTCTCAACATATATATGTTGTGACAATTTTTTGGTGAGACTTCTACTAGGTAGACCAAAGATTTTAAATCAAATTGTCTCAAAATAAGCATTAATGTTCAAACACCCAATTATTTTTCACTCAATTACATCATGGTTGCATCTTTATTGGGTCTTGTCATAATCAGAAAGTTGGATTTGTCTGCCTGTGCCCATTTTATTAGGACCAATTTATTGTAAAAACCATTCTGTTTTGAAGAATTGTTTCCTATAATAAATCAAATTCTATTTCCTTAGTGAGCAACAAACAAGTGGGGAGGCATCATCAAATGAAGCTTCAAATTGCTTAATATGCAAGGCAAAAGCAGATGAAGATTTTATTCTATGGAATATTGATCAAGGTTCTTCACAAGGCCTTGACAGTCTGGAGCACGAAACTCTTGTGATACAGAGGGGGAAAAGTCCTTCAACAACACAGAATACCCCAACATATGTTGTTGAACAGAGCTGCGTGAAGATGAATACCATCCGTCAAGATGCTACCTTCATTGATTCAGAAAATACAGCCAAAGAAGTCATTGGACCAAAAGAAAATATAAAAGGCCATCCCCTTTTGGTTATAAATGTTTTCAGTGACAGTTGTTACACTGATATTCGTCATGTTACAATGTTATATAGAAGGTTTTATAACGAGCAATTTGATCAGACAGAAAGTTTTTTTATTCACAGCTTGCAGCTGCTGCCAGTTTATGCAGGTAAGCATATTTCTAATTATATTTTGTAAATATTGAAAATTGCTGTAAATCCTACCATTAAGTTCAACTTTTGTGTTCAAAAAAATTGTCTGTCACAACATAATTCAATTGAACATAATAAGTCTATGAGATTTCCAAATATTTTCCAGCTGACAATTGTCAGTGTATAATGTTCAAAGGTAAGCAGAAATTCATATCCAGACGTGGATGGAAAGTAATACAAGACAAATAATAGCACCTTTGATTGATTGGTTCTTTGTTTTTGACCAATTAGAGCTACTAATATATTTGAAGAGTCAGCATGAGATTCTGTCTACACAAGTTGAGTTTTCTTCTGTCCATCATATTCAAACACCAGCAGTCTACAGAATGCCCAAATAAAATGTGATTTATCTATTGGTCAACATTTTATTAAGAATCCAGGGTGCCCCTAAACATTCAAGTTTTCATTTTTGGCATTTTGGAACATGTCAGCAGACAATTCTGGCTTGTGTGAGCAGAAAGAGTTCGTTTTCTCTCTTGGACCCTTCAAATAGGTAACAGTTTGGCTGCCAAAAACAAAAGACAAATCAAACGCACTATTTTTGCTCTCATTTTTTTTTATCCACATCTGGATATAAATTATAAGGAAATAGAAAATAGCTTTGAAATAGGTAAATTGTACTTAGAATAGATAAAAGATTTTTAATTAACAACGTTTCAAGCATAGACCGTTATCAATACAAGACATATCTAGTACATGCACGCAATTTAGTCTATTTCTTTTTCTGACATTTTTACTGTGATGAGTGTCAGACGAAAAATACTTTAGTATGACATGTTTCCCTTTTCCGTGCTATTTTGAAACATTATTTTGTTGCTTATAGATATTTCGCCAAATTATTTATAAAAGCCATCTGCTGGTCATGTTAATGCTGGTCATTTGAATGATTGGAATATCCATTTCTTTAGTCAGGACTTGAGATTTTGTCCAATGGAATGACGCTCAAGGAGATATCTAAGGGAGCCTTCTGATTAAAAGGACAACAACCTGGTTCGATGGAGCTTGTGTTTAAAGCATGCTTTAAATATGTTTTTCAGCACTAGTTTCAAATATCATCTAAATCAGTCATTTTCTGTTTTTGTAAGGTGGTATTCCCTTCTCGATTAGCTAGCCCTAGGGAACCCCTCCTCCGAACCCTGTTTACCTCAGGGAGTATTTCTTCAGCACCCTATTTGTTTAAAAGCTTGTGCTTGATACATGAACAAATAATAACATGTAGAACTCTGTACATTTATTCTAGATTTTCCCGCAAATTTAAACGCGAATTCCAACACCCCTGATATTATCTTGGAATCTCAAATGGAATCGACAGCTCATGGCACCCTTCTTTCGTTGGGATTATTTTTCTCAAACGGACGGAAGGGGTTCTTGTACGACATGCTGAATTTTCCAAGACTGCTTACGGAGTACGATTTTACTGAAGAATGCATTTCTGCATGTCTTGCACGCAAAATGCTGCATGTTGTCACAAGAAATGGCTTGGAAACCTACACGACACGACTCTATTCATCTGCAGCGCAAAATGCAAAAAGTTTTTTTCCTGACAGCACTTTTATGCCATATGAGGCCCAAGGTAAGCCAGTTTATTTTATCATGCTCTGTGGGTTAGGAAAGGTGTTTATAGGCTGTTGATGACACCGTATTTTATCACTCTACTTTATCATATCTCATTTGAGAAACCAGATTCTTCGAACATGAACACTCCTGTTCATATAGTTAATGTTGTTTTGTCTAGACCTGTTCATCTTGCCAGGAACATTGATCAGAAACCTCTTGTTGAAATGAAACCTGTTTTTTCATTAACTGTTGTTTGTATTAGTCTATTTGAAGGTAATATTTCATTCATCAAGGTCGCGAGCGAGCATACTCATCCGTTAGTTTCTCCTCTGGAAGTGAACTGGACAGCAAGGGCCACGTTAGTGACGTATTGGCATATTTTAGTGAAGAAGAGCATGGCGAGTCTCAAGACGGAATCACACCTAAGGAGGGACATTTCACCAAAGAACCTCTCGAGCGACGTGCATCGTCAAGTCAGTCAAAATCTAGAATGCCTTTCAGGCGCCGAAAGAAGGAAGTGCAAGAAAGATACAAGAACAGAAGCCCTGCTAGCGACGAAGAAAGTTCTAAACGAGAGAGACTTCTTAGTTTGAGTCTCTTGCACAACACGGCAGAACCAGTTGTTTACAACTGGTTGGATTTGATACAGGTTTGAGAGAAAGAGTCCTGCTATATTTTTATTGATTACACTGTTATTCACCTGCCTTTTTTAAAAATTCCTATTTGAAGCTAGCATTTTACTTTCATTGGCAGTTATTTTTTTAGAATTTTTCTCTAGATTTTTCTTGCTTAACTATTTTTAACTGTTGTTCACAACCTTCAATTACTTTTGCACGAGCCATAAGTCTATGGTCGATACTTTGGGAGTTTACAGACAAGTTGTGTTGTTTGTTCTCACTTAACTATTTTAGATATCCTGTTTTTTATGCTAAAACTAGTTCAACGAAAAAGTAGATTCATTTTGTCTCACTTTGTATTTAATTCCTTTATGATTATGAGTTGTGATACAGATTTAACAAGCTAAAGCTAGGCGTCTGAAATTAAAATATATAGTGCATTCATACTTGCAAGCTTAACGTACTTTATATGGACTATGTCCAGGTGCAATTCGTTAGCCATTGGTTGTACTATATTCCCATTGATTGTACTTTACAATAGATCTATTGTTACTTACCCAATCTGAAACGAAAGACTAATTATCGATGTTTTCTTAATCATAATCTCTGAGCTGTTGATTTACGGGACATATTATCTTTTATAGTATAGCTCTCTTGGTTTACTTTTCAGATTTTTATCTTATAGCCATGCCCTCCTACAAGCATTGAAATTTGCCTCATTGCAATTTACCCACTCAGAGGATTCACATTCATTGGGTCGACCGAAAAGCACATTGTTTTGTTGCAGAAGACCTTCGAGTTTAAGTAAGTTATGTTTTAACATCGATTTTTATTTACATATATATATACATATATATTTATATATATCGAACAAAAGTAAGACGTAGGTGCTAGTAAAAAAATATACGAGATGACTGCCCACTAGTTTCGACCATAGGCCGTAATCATGGCAAACTAAATGTTACAGAATTTTGATTTACGTTATTTATTGATTACTTGATATATCTGACATTTATTTAATACAATGATAGATATTCTAAACTCATACCCATACCCTGGGAACGAGACAATCAAATTGAGAATGAACGAATGATAAAACAGGGTATAAAGGGGGTATTTATTTTTCAAAGTTTGGAAAAGGATGATTGATTATTTGGTTAAGGCCAAGTGGGGTTAGGGTTTTTGAGTTTTTGTATCCAGAAATCCTCTCTTTTATCAAGGCGTGTTCTTAAAATTTCTTTTTCGAATGGAATTATTCTTAATTGCTCAATTATAATGAATTTTGCATCTTTGAAATCATGTGAGAAATCATTATTGAAATGATTGCATGCTGGTATAGCGTTAGATTTTTTGGAGTCCTTACGGTGGTTATTCATTCTAAGATTTAGTGGGGTTTTGGACTTACCCACGTATTGTAATTTGCATCTTACGCATTCCATCAGGTAGATAACGTGTTGGCTTTTACAATCAACATTGTGAAATATTTTGAAGGACTGGTTTGTCTGATTGCTACAAAAATAAGACGTTTGTGAGATTTGTTTACAGCATAAGTTTCCAGATTTAGTGTTGCAGGGTTTGCAAATTCCCGAATTTTGACTATTATTTGTCTTAATCATTTGGTTGTTTTCGATCATGTTGCTTCCTAAAATGTCTTTAAGGCTTTAATTTCTCTTGTAAGCAATCACAGGTGGGTCTTTAAAAGTTTCCTTCGTATTGGGGTTTAACTTGAGAATGTTCCAATGGTTATTTAAAATTGTGCCTATGGGTGGTAAGGTTCTGTTGAATGTTGTGATGAATGGTACACGGTGTTGCTTGTTACGTTGACTTGGCTGTAGAGTTTTTTCGAGTGGGATGTTATTTGCTCTAGTTATCTGTTGTTTTATTTTTTCAATATTGTATCCTCTGGTTACAAATTTTTCACATAGGTTGTCACAATAGCATTTAAAATCATTATCTTTCGAGCAAATCCTTCTAATTTTTAGGGCTTGGCTGTAGGCTATTCGTAAGTTATTCTTAAGGTGTTGAGTATGCTCGGAGGATTTATGGAGGTAGTTCTGTCGATCAGTTGGTTTTTTGTACAAAGTGGTTTGTAAAAGGTTATCGCTATCAATGTATACTGTTTTATCGAGAAAATTGATCGATTTTGAAGAGATTTCGTAATCGTATTTGATGGAGGGATGGGTTTGGTTGAGAGTGGTAATGAAATGTTCGAACTGGGGTTGTGTGCTGGTCCAAATCATAAAGATGTCGTCGATGTATCTTAAGTATAGCTTTGTGAAGCTACTTATTTGTGGAAATATAAAGAGTTCTTCAAATTAACCCATAAATATGTTAGCATTGGAAGGTGCGCATACTGTGCCCTTTGCACATCCTTTGATCTGTAGAAAGTTTTTGCTATTGAAAGAGAAGTTATTTCTTGTGAGGATAAAGGTTAGGATTTTCGATTCTGAGTCCTTCTCCTACCTTTTCTTTCAATAAGTTGTTTTTGATAAAGTGTGTGATTGTTTGGGTTATTTCTTGGTTATTTTCTAGAGTTGGATCATGATGTAGGAGTTTGTAAAACTCATCATTTTTGAGCTGCGTTTCTGCTTCCTTAATGTAATCGTTAATATCGATTATTATCACTACGGCCCCACCTTTATCTGCTTTTGTGATTATAATATCTGTCCAATTTTTTAGATCTTTGAGTGTTTTTCGTTCGTTTTTGGTAAGGTTGTCTCTGGGTAGTGGTTTAGTATTTGATTTATTAATAGCATTACTTACAGATAATATAAATGTGTATATTGTGTGGTGTGTGTTTGTTGGAGTCCAGTTGCTTTTCTTCTTGAAATATTCTTCCTCTGTTATCTCATCTTTATCTTCTTCTTTGTCCGTGTCTTGTTTAGTAAAATGGGCTTTAAGATTGATTCTTCTAAAGAAGTTGTTCTGATCTTTATTCATGTTATTTGAATTATATTTGTTTGTTCTAGGGCAGAAGTTCAGGTTTTTGTTAAGTAGCTTGAATTTCTCTTTTGAAAATGTAAGGCTTGAGAGGTTTACTACGTTCTTGCATGGGTCGTTTATTGTCTTAATGTTTGAGCTAATGAGTTTTTGAATTTCGTGATTGCTTGTGTGGCTTGATTTAGTGCCTTGACAATTGTATATATGTTATATTATATAGATCTTCAAGAAAAACACTCTCATGTAAACGTTTCGACCAAAGTCTTCACCAGTAATCATATATATATATGTATAGAAATATATATGAAATCAAAAAAAACTCTTTCGTAAGACGGTTCGCTTTCGCTTCATCAGTAACATAGAGATATTTTGAGTAGCTAGAGATCTCCTGAAGAGTGAGTCATTCACGAAACTGGCTTGTAGAGATAAAACATGTAGTTTTATTTTCTCCACCTCTATGCTATATATAATATGCTGGATTCATTGCTTCTTATATAATATTTTCCTCTCTTGCATTAAGCTGTGTGCTCCTATTTTATAGGGATAAACCTAGCTCCCTTATGAAAGAGCGAACAATGCCTTGGAATGTATATGTACGTGAAATAACCCCTGCACTAGACGTTGCCATAGAAATCGTAAGTCTTGTTTTGTTTCCCATTACCACACGCTTGATATGTGGTCCCTACATTCATAGGCAGTATGTACTTTTTGTTCCGAGAATACACGCAATGTTAGAAAGGATTTCAAGTGGCAATATTTATCAATCACTTAAGTATCATTAGTAGCTCATGTAAAAGGTGTTCATTGAATTTTGTTTGGTTTTGAGTAGCTAGAGGTCTCTGCTTTACTAACTGATGGCATCGCTTGGCACCAGAGCAAGAAAAACCAGTTTGGAAGATATATTTTAATTCGGTAGTAATTTGTTGTAAAAAACTGGTTATGAGAAGGGGCTCCGAGTGACATGCCACAAAAAAAATCAAAATTCAGAATGCAGGACTTGCTAAGGCATTAGAACAAAATCATGCCGAGGACTTTCCTATACTGATAAACTTTCTCAGCCAAGTGCTTATATTATCATTTTGTATCAGTATTTGGAATTTTTTCAGATGAAGTTGATCGAGGGCTCCGAATTTGCAAACCCGAATGTATTCCATCAGCTGATCTCTGAGTCGCATCTATTTCTAAAAGCGGATCTCTCATTCAGTACTGCAGAGGATAAAAAGGAGGCATTACGTCTAGCTATCAAAAGATCTGCTGTCAAACTTGGTGACTTTTTCTCCAGGTAATCCCTAATACACCTTTTCAACTAACCGCGTCAAAGGGAACTGGGTCGGGATTTGGGGTGAAAGACCGCGCGTCCAAGCCTAAGTAAAATTATCAAGGCTGTATCTAAATATTCTCCTTTATTTAAGTTTACTGTGTCCTGTAATTTCCCTGTAAATCTAATCGAAAGTTTTCATTGCTTTTGAACTTTTTATAAACCGTTAACGTAGCAAGCTTGTCCCTAAATGGAGGCCAAGTTGACATTAGAATTATAGGATTAGCTTCTTTTGATGCGTCACACGAAAATACCTCTGCATTTAGCGTCCTGGGTCAATTTCCTTGCTTTCTCAAATTTATTGTAGCTACAAAAAGACTCCTTCAATTAGCTTGTCGCTTTACCCTTTTGTATTGAAAGACATTTTAGCTGCTCGTTCTAATCCAAACAATATATATTTAAATCTAGTGTGATTTACAATTCAAGGAGAAAGATATGTTATCTTGAATATTGCTCTTTGTTTCCTTTTGCATTTTTACCTCCCTCTCTTTCCTTATTCTAATCATTATATCTTACCTAACGGAATTTTTGCGGAATAACTTTTTGCGATTTAAGGCCTTGTTATGCTTTGCTGAAGAATGTTTGCGGGTGATACCATTTCCCAAAATTTTGCGGCATTAATTTTTGCGACCTTCCCTTAAATTTTGAAGATTGACAGCTTTCCCCTAAACTTTGCCTAATGCAAACTGTTGCTTTTACTAATGCATCATTAAGAGATTATTGCACTCTTGATGTTTGGACGCTTTAAAAATGCAGCTTTTCTGTATCAATTCTGTATGCTCTTGTATGCACAACCAACTATGCTTTCTATATCCTTAATGTAATACCGCCTATGTCGGTTCATAGGTGTGGCTCCAGCTTTGAGTACTTAATGGCAAAAGAGTACTACAATATGGCAGCTATTAAACTGGAGCAAGTGCTTCTGAGACACTCTCTAAGAGACAAAGAAGAAGACCTGGTATTTCAAATTCATTTCTGTCTATTTAGCTGTTTGCTGCCAGTTTCATCTCTGGTTAAAATTCTTTGTCTTATCCAGTTGCTAATGTTTCCACTTCTTGTTAGTTTGTTGAGTGCTCGTCATCTGTCACTTTCGGCCTTGTTAGGGCTGTCTGTTAGCTGAAAATCCCTTTAAGGTTGTTTGTGTTCTTAGTATTTTTTGCTGTAAACATTTTTGCTTTGGATTTTTGAATTTCATTGCAAAAAGTTTGCCCTCCAGAGCAGTCGCTATGGTATTGGCATGATTCAATATTTGAATGAAAAGGTTCTTTCAGAAGAAGAAGAGGGAGAATCTGAATTGTTGGAGGTTTGTCAAGATCTAGTTTGGTTTAGGCCTTTGTTATAGATCTATTTCGGTTGCTTCTTTGAGCAAATTTTTCGAGAAAAGTGTTTTGAATTATTTATGCAGCGCAGCTTGTACTTGCTCTCTGAACACTTTTGTTGTTGGAGATACTTTCTTGCAAGTTGGCCCTTTTTGATAACTTTCAGAACACTTTTAATTGATCTCGAATTTATTGACTGGTGTTATTGAATATGAAGAATGAGTGGAGATAAAGATCGAGATCAACCCGCTAGATAGTTCCCATTGATTGCTATTTGAAAGCTACACTCCTGGCCAAAAATAGCTGAGACATTTGAACAAAAAAGGAATTCGCGTACTTTATCTTCATATTATATGCGCTGGTGACCTAAATCCCCTTCCCCCCGGGGTCAATATTGGTTAAGATGGTTACGGAATAAGTGGGGATTATTACATTGGTTACCAATCCAATCCCAACATTGATTTGAGGGGAAGGGGGCGGGTGATTTGTAAGTAGCTTCTTTTTTTGCAAGTGTCTCAGCATATTTGGATAGCTAGTTTTTACCCTATCCTGTTAATGAAGAAAACATTTTTATGTAGGGCAGTTGAATGCAATGCATATGCTACTTTGCTGCCCTAACCTCCGCCTTTAATACATGGTCTCTTTTCTTCAGGAATCAGCCCTTCACATTCTGAATATTTATGCAACCGCTGCTCCTCAATTATTGTCAGATATCATCCTCAGACCCAAGTTAAGAAACGTCCCGGCTGGTTTGTGTATTTTTTTATATTTAGATTATGAAACATATACACTTAAGAAACGTCAATCTGACTTGACTTTATGCTTCTTGTTTGGCTAAAGGTTAATGTTGCCACGCCAACGTTGCTTTCATAGATCTTTTTTTGCAGACAAAGCTGTATCGCTGTTGGAAAGTTTTATCTCTCCCGGAGACCGCAGTTCAAAATACAAGTAAATTCAGATACACACTTTGATCTGTGTTGCTCATTGAATTAGATCCCGTCTCTGGCTATTTATTATCAAGTGCCTTTTGTTGAACCAAGTTGCTTGGAATTTCCTTTTTGCATCGACTTCGTGAGGCGTTTAGGTATTAAGATGTGTTGCTTAAAAAACAGTAATCTACCGGAACTCTTTTTAGCGGAAGAATTTCAGGCATCATTTCTCTTTGTCGAATATCAGACGTGGTCGTAATAGAGTAGCCTAGAATCATGTCTATCTATCCGATGGACTGCTTTTTGTAATTTCAGAATTTCTATTTAAGGTTCCAGGCATTTCGTGGACTTTTTCAGACCTTTTTTAAAAGCTCCAGCTTTGCTATTTCCAATGTGCAGCTTCTAACAACTGTTGTGGAATTAAACTATCTAGGCTTCGGGTTGTTACTAGTGACTAGTTCTCTCTCTCCTTTTTTTCGTTTTCTCTTTGAATTTGGAATGTTGTTGAAAAACTCATGATAGAAACCCAGCCTAGTTCTGCGTGCAGCTATTTGCACGCTTGTGTTTTTTTCTAAGCTTGCACCTTTATCTTAATAATGTAAGAAAGATTCCTATGGTTTCTGCTTTTATACTCAAATTGTATTCTTAGACTTTCAGATTTGGATTTCATTGTGGTAGCAATCCTGCGCTTGCAAGTGGGTGATCTTACACAGGCTGAGCATGTTCTCCGGAAATTAAGCAATGTAAGTTGGTGCCACAGTTGAATATTTTGCGATTAAAACCAACTCGTGATACAGTACAGTAGGGAGTTTTTCAGTTTAATTTTCAGTTGACTTAGTGTCGCTGAGGAGAGAATTTCCTGTAATAAGTGTTTTTTGCGTCAGTCCTTTCTTGATTTACTGCTATATAGTCTTTGTTTCCAACACATATCTGTGTGCAGACTTTTACTGAAACTTTTCCCTAGAAACAACTGATTCAAGCTGTTTCAAAGTACCCAGACAAACTATGGAATGGAGAAAAGCTATCACATCTTGGCCAAGTAAGTGAGGTTCTGTTTTCAGTCCAACTTTTTGCACATTATGCTCTTTCTGTTATTGCCCTGTCCTTTGCTGTTGTAACTTCAGGCGTCGACTTCACTCATGGCGAATCGTTTAAATTTGCCTTCACAGCTGCTTCGAAAGCATTTCTCAAGAGCTTTTACAGATTTGCTGGTGTTCTTGTATGACAGTGGCATTATCACGCTCAGCAAAGCCCTCAGTGCACATGAGGTACGTCTATGATTGTATTTAAGCTAACCTTTTTCTAAAAACCCTTTACTCTCGTATTATCTAGTTCTTGACCAATCCTTTTCTATTTTGGATTGTTTTGCCAGTTACGAAGTTAAGCATCTTTAAATCACGCGTTTTGAATTTATCACAAGTTCGTGGTCGTTTCCTACTGCCCGTGCACTTTTATGTTGGATAATAGAAAGTATTATTTCTACAGCTGGGTGAAGGTAGTTTGGGAGCTGTTAGGCAAAATTTCAAGGGACTGGACCTGCTTGAAACACTTCTTAATGGTACGATACATCTTTGCTGGTTATTTTCAACAAAATATTTCAGCCTGCCTTTGAGAAAAAATTCCATGTTTCTCCTTCAAATATTTAAACAACATTTAACATTAAAAGTAGTTCAATATTCTAAAGTTTTTGCAATGATGCAATATGTAATCTTTCATTTGTTGAAAAGATATCAATTTCTATCTGAGAATGCACGTTTGATAAAATAGTTTCACGTCCAATAAAACATTGTGTCTTATTGTGACAAACCAGGCTTCGTTGCGTAAATAAGACTTGCCTTAACGGCACGTGCATGCCTTGAACTATATTAGTAATTATTTTAATATTCATGGTTTTGTTGTCTGACACTTGTGTTTTCCGCAAATATCGCCTCACCTAACACCCACCCCAATTATGTCTCTTAAATATGTTCCTAGATGCTGCATCTTTGTAAACTTGTGTGATACACGCTGTAAGTAACATTATGATCTTGGTATTTTTATTTGTCTAGATGAGAAAAGAAAAGACGACTTTCCAGAAATCATGGTAAAATTCAGCTTTTTCGCCACATTTAGGCAGACTAATTCAACGGTTCAGTTAATGAATTCTGTATTTATCTCTGGTTTGCGTTGGAAAACTCAGATGCCACTTTTTTGTCATCAATATCCGTTTTCATATACATCTTGACCTTTTATTTTAAAATATGAACTAGACTATTTCATAAATCTAAAAGCTGTCATCGAGAAAATTTGATTAAGCTTCTGACATTTAACCAAAGTATATTTCAGGAATAGTTTTCTAGCTTTTGAATCTACCAATAATCCGAAATTCGTAATGGATTATTGGTAGAGCTCGGTCGTCGTTCCATCTAGTAGTTTTTTTAGAATCTATCAACATAATCTATATATTTTAGAATCTATAATCCGCTTTTGTGTAGACGGAAGGAGTTCGTTTTCACCCTAGGACTCCTTTGGTAATATTTTCAATGGGCAAACCGTACTGATTGGGTAACTTCAACAGTCATGTGTTCGCGTTTATGATTTACTTATTTAATCCACAACTGGGTATTATTTTCCATCGTGTTCTTTCGGATCCTTATACTGACATTTTATACTCTGATCCTTATACTGACGTTCTATAATGAAAGGCTTTATGATGTTTCAAAGATATAATTTGTACCACCATACAAAAATTTGTTTGCAAGTAATTTTGTTATTTCGAAATAAGGCTCGTTTTATTATTTTCGTATTGTTTTCAGTATCATCTTCTACAGCAGTATTTTCTATGGTTCGAAGCCAGCACACAACCAGAACTGCTAAAAATTCCGCATTATCACGTTGTAAGTGGATAATTTTGATGCATTCTTTTTCTATTAGATTTAAAGCGGACGGTTGAGAGCAGCTGATGCTGTTTACTTTTCTTGATGCTGATCCTTTTTCGATTAAAATTCATTCTAATGATTTCGGTCTGCTAGGAAAATGGTAAGGTTGGTTGACTGCATCGTTGAAGGATGTCGGTTCGTATGCAAACTCAACAAATTGGACGCTCACAACTTGTCCACCCACCATCAAATAGGTGTCCGCTGACAAAACTGGCGAGGCTAAAGGCAGCAAGGAAATGGACTTGCCACCCTTTCCCCTCGCGCTATCGACCCAGCACAAATGGCCTCTCCATCATTTCCCACGAGACTCCCCTTTCCTTAACAATATGGCTTTATTTGCAAGTAGGTGTTTGTTAAATCCATTGCCACGATGAGTTTTAAATTTTTCCTAACAATTTCGTTTGCAGCCTAAAGGCAGTGGTCATTTTGCTCCGAGGTATGATTGGCTCGATAAGCTGCCACCCTTCTCAGGTTTGTGATGACGTAGATATTTCTAGCTGTTTTTTACCAGAATGTGTTTGCATAATTATCTAATGTCGCTAATGAACATTTCCCATAGACGCCGTTTTACCCAAAATATTCGTTGCTCTTTTGTTGCAAAACCTCATTTTCTATACCGTTTCGGGTTTATAAGCTCTTTTCCTATTTAAATCGACACAATTTACGAATTAAGAGCAGTATGATTAATTTGCTTCGTTTCTAACTTTCTGCCGTCAATATTGAGACCTAATTGTCATGTATTTTCATTAGGAGACTTTCCCGTTCCCCAAGACTGCCTGCGACGTAAACAACAGCAAAAACTGTCTACACGATCTTCACCCGAGGAATCTCCTTTAATCAGCAAAAAATCCACAGAAACGTCTTTTCAAATTTGCACTTGCTGCTGTTGTAATAGCGTTCTTTTAAAAATTCAGGTGAATCAATCTATCCTATATCTTTTTATTGAGTAAGTTGTTGCCGTAGTTTGCTTGTCTGAAGTGGGCAAAAAGCAATAAATCTTTTAGTCGTTGTCGATCAATATAAGGAATTATCATCTATCTTGAAGATGCAATTGCCAGGATGTGATAGACTGGGCATCCTTTAAATGGTCTACGATAATTTGTTAAAAAGACCCATTATTGTTTCCGTTCAGCAAACTTTCTTGTTTCTTTAATTCAGAATTAAAGGTAATGCAAGTTCTCTTGCTCGTATGTTTTAGCAAAACCTCTAATTTCTCATAAACACAATGCAAATTTGGTCTTCACAATAAAGGTGCAGGCGTTTATCTCCATAGTCACTTTCATGCTCATCATATTGCACGCCGAAAACTTACAAATTGTTGCAGAAATTTGTGGAGAAAGATAATTTCCTTGGCGACGATTCACTCAGGCTACTCTGCTATCCTTTTACTGGAAAAACTTTAGAAGTAAGTATTCACCGTTAATTTTACCCTGAAAATAGAGCTACATTGAAATTGACCATAATTACTGAATTAGGGTCGTTTCCTCGTCAATTTTGCAGGCCGTCCCGAACTTTTATCAATGCTAGTCGCCTCTGGAACAACATTTCTTGTTTCCTCTTTGCGCATTATACAAACTTTCTTATGTGGTTTGATGTCCTTTACAATTTCAAGCATCCTCAAATATGTATATTATCTCAAAGGCAGTCGAGTTTGTGGTCCAGACCTACCCCGATATTATGCTACAATACGGAAAGGACATCTTCCAATCGAGGAAAGACCAGGTTGGTTGCACATTTTTAATTTTCACCGTGTTTTATGTAGTAACGAATACTTTATCGTGGATTTGAAAGAATGGAAGGTTATTTAAAAGATAATTAAATAATACTCCTTAATCCTAAAAACAGCCTATAGTTATTCTCATCATTTTCTAAGGAAGGGGTCATTCTAATTAGGTTCATAATGCAAAGAAAGTTTTTCCACTGGTTTTAAGAGGCAATATTTAGTTTTCTTTGTTACTTTTTGGTTCGTTTAATTTTCTACTAGCGAGCCATGATATCCTTTGATATCTATTTGATAAACCAATCGGTTTTTACCGTGATTTGGGGTTTACTGAAATATATTTGTATCGATAGATCATATAATTTTAAGATTAATCGAAAGAGTTTAGTAATGCTTTGCTCTTTCATGATTGATTGAAAAAGATCAGAGAGAGTGCTGCATGACACTTGAAGTACTTTAGTTATCAGCAAGTTTAAGAAGGGAAACAATTCTTGGAAATCGTGTACTACTACACTGAGGCTTGCATTGCAAGGTTTTGTGAAGTTAATATGACATTGATAGTTTTAGAGCTGTAAAGCGGCAATGGAACCACCAAAATGGAAAAATAGTTGATATTGATTATTTTGTCATTCTAGTGGAAAGTTTTTCTATCTTACCTACTCAAAGTACTCAAGAATGAACTTCATGAAAGGTGGAACAAGGAGACATACCTTGACGCATTGAAGGGTAATAATCTTCCTAGATTCGTGATTGCAAATTTTTATATCAGTTTTCAACCTGGTTTGCCTGGTTTGCCTGGTTTTTTATCGGTAGCTATATTATCACGCAATGTTTATATTTAAAAATAAAATCGCGTAGTGATGAAGATTCCATTGGTTGGATGATTTTTAAAATGTAGGCTATCTCGTTTTATGAACAAGGCTAAGCACTTTTTCTGTCTCATATTGAATCTGTTGAATGATCTTTTGATGCCACGATTTTCAACCTTTTCGTTTTTATTTTAGGAACTTTAACGAAACTGGCGAGACTTTGCACGCCTTCAGAACTGGTCAACCTTCTTCCAAAGGATGGCACAGCAAAGTTCTTTTTGCCATTTGTCGTAGACTCATACCAAATTCACCGTGCAGTGACTATGAGGAATGAAATCCTTCAAACTAACATGGCAGTTAACACTTGAATATTTCACGAGCGCCATTGTTTTGCGTTTTTTACAGTTCTTGCTCTTCCCAGGTGAATGAACAAATGTTTTTGCGAACGATTAGACAATTTCTAAGAATGATACAAATAGAAAATTTGCAGTATAAGCTAACTATATTTTGTATATAAATTGAATGTTCAGATAACTTTCTCGGTTTATATCAAAATTAGTTTTCAGTCAATTTAGGGACAGAAGTTGTTGTGAAATAACGAATCCTTTGTTCACTGACTTTCAGTTTTGAATACAATTCCAGATTTCGATTTTTTTTTCAACTTAAAGCAGCGAGATCCTGTAACGGTTTTTACACCAAAGAGGAACATTCTAGTTGTAATAGAAAAAAATTAAAATAAGAACAGTTTCCTGATGAATTTAAAGGTTTTGAACGATGTTTGCAAGAGATATTGGTAATTAACCTCGACTGTCTTATCAGGAGAAGCTGTTAATAATTATTTATTAAAATGTTGTACAATAAAAGTAAGATTTTGGAATAGTTGATGCATTCGTCGAATTAATGAATTGATTTCGACGATTTTCCTTTTTCCAGCGTTATTTCTTTCTATGTATCATGGCAGAAATAATTCGCTCTTATAGCGACTGTGTTGTTAGCGCTGTATCCAAATAAATGTTGTTTTGCCAACGAACCTTTGCTTGAAACTTATGTAAAAAAAACCTTTACAAATCTCACTCTGCAAAGTCACCTAATTGATTGGTCCGAGTCGATTGAGTACAATAAACCACACCAAGTATTCCAAATTCTGTTTCAACTCACTCAGGGTGCACTCATCGGCTTTATTTATTGCACAATCAAAGCATTAAAATAATTTTGTGTCAATAAGGGTTACTATGGGTTTTATTGCTCTTTACAAACATCATCTTATTGGAAGTTTCTTCTTCAAATCTAGTAATGTTTTGAGGTTAACCCAGTGTTTCTTAGGACTGTGTATTGATTGTTGTGTGTGTCAACTGGCCCTTTCTCTTCTTTTTTGTTGATATTACCATTGTTTTGTCCAACTACTCAATCTTTGTTCTTTATATGCACAGTCTAACGGAATGAAGCAAGAGTTAACTATGGATGTGTGCATAGGTCCCATCACATGGGTCCATTATCGATTTGATTGCTTTCTGTTCATACAGTAAAAACCCGCGTGTAAGAACCTAGGAATTTAAGAACCTTCAGGCAGAAATAAGCCTTTTTAATATTCCATAATTATAAGAACCTGTTTAGCCAAACAATATCTGTCTGGGGTTTAACGTGTCTTATATGTGGGGTTTAACCATTTAATTTATATACTTTATTACCAAAAACAGAAAAGATGACAGAAAATATAATTTGAAAAAAAATTGAAAATACACAATGTTTGTTAAATGCAAACTGTTATTATGAAACTATTATTGCTACTTTTTCATATACAGTACTGTATCATTGATCAATTGTTGTTGGTGGACTTTTGGTAACATTGGTACACTAAAAGATATTCAGAATGAAGAATAGACCAAGTTTATTCTGATAATTAACAAAAATATATACTTCATAGAATGAAGAACCTAATTGAGAACCTATTTAGCCTAAACCGAGCATGTTTTTCTTACACGCACCCTTTCTTACAGTCATTTGAATTTTCGCTCTCTTTTGTGGCGGCGTCATAACCTGTAAGTTTTCTCACCTGTATCATTGAATATTAAGAACTTAACTGACGGTTTTGCCATCATGTCACATGAATTTCTAGACATGCGCATCAAGCGCACAACAAGGGGAAAACATGGAAGAAACTGATTCATTCTTTTCTATGCCAACAAACATAATAAAAGAATTCCCTATTTTCTTTTGAATACGAAAATATTCCTACTGTTTAACAGATAGCTTGTTAGTTTGGTTAACGGACTTTTCAAATTTTATTATACACAAGCTGCATTCTCAGGAAGTTTTTTCTGAAGTGTCTGTTTATGACCCCTTTCTAAAGATTTCTATTTTTGTTTTCATCATTCTTTTTGTGTTCAGAAGCTGCTTGTTTGCGTAGGACTTAATAAAATTTTCCTTTGTTCGAGCTAATAAAACTTTGTCGTTTCTTTGCGAAGCATTTGCTTGAAAGGGTACTTGTACTGTTGGCTGGGGTGCAAATCCCACATGTTTGATTGGACCACATCGACACTATTGCGAAGGTACCTCTCTTCAAATCATCTCATTCTTTTTATCTATAAATTGAATAAGATAGAATATAAATTTGTCCTCAATGCTCTCCAAGTGTTTGGGTTAAAGTTTGATTTTATTCCTCGCCTATCAACAGCGAGGAGAAAGGGAGAAAAATTGTGAGATGCAGGGTCACAAATTCTATGACAGGGTCTTTCTGCATTGGCGTATGATGATACCTTGTCCCAGGCCTCTCTATTGATTTACTTCCTCTACAATAAATTGAAGGCGAAAAGGCAACAAATCACAGCCATCGTGTTCGTAAAAGATAGATTTCACCGAGAAAAATGAAACCAGAAAGCGATAAAAGCTTAGAGAATGCCGTGTCTATGATGTGAGTCCCCTGATACGTTTCCGATTTCTCAACAAGACAAAGAGGCGATCTGATTTAGGCCGTGTGTGGGTTGGCTACTTCTGAAGAAAAAAAAACATTGCGAGGCATTTTGCCAGAACTGAAATCTCGTCAATCTTACATCTATCAAGCATATTTGCTATGTTGAATAGCTTTTTTCAGACATTTTGGTAAGTATATAGGTCATCCGTAAATAGATCTTGTAATTCTGTCCTATATTTATCCAAGAATAGCTATCGCATCTGTTGTGGTTTGTTTTGACACAAAGATGTCGCTTCTAAAACTTCAAGAGAACTTCGCAAATTTTAGACGAGAAAAGAAATATTTAGTTCTTAACTAATCAGATAACAGTTTTTTATGTCTTTTTGCTTTTTATTTTTTATTCCACTTTTAGTCAATGAGTTAATTGCAATTTTGTGGTAATTTGCGTCTTTCAATGTAAGGACTCATACCGGCCTACCGCCGGGTTTTCTTTAAATTTGTTATCCCAAGTTTTTGTGGTGGGTAATGAAAAAGCGCGATAATTTATAGCAATCTTAGAATCGACTTGCAAACCTCGCGTTCTCTCTGCCCCTTAAGTTGTTCTGTTTTGTATCTATGGCTGCTTCTTTTCCTTTGCCTAGATGTGGCGTCTGTTTTTTCGTAGTTTTAAGGTATCTTATGAAAATAAGAGATGTTCATATTATAAATGAAGATTTCCTTTGATTTGATGTGATCTTCCCTGCCTATTCTACTGGTGTTTTAGTTATGATAAGAAAATATAGTCTTTGATATTTACAATTATATGTTGAATCTGTATATAATTGAAAGCCACATTTTTATATTTTTTAATTTTGAAGGAATTTTTCAGTTTTGCTAAGGACACTTGGTTGCCTCTAAAATCTCAATCCAGTGCAATATGCTGTTTGTTTTTCCTGGCACTACCAGTGAGTTATAGCACTGGTTGTATGAATATGTTTGATAAGAATCTATAATGAATTAGGTATTGTCTAAATTATAAATAACACTTTGTTTTTGACAGAAATCAACACTGTGTTATGTAGGGAGTCTTTGCAAACTTGCCAAGTAAAAGACAATGACTGAGTCAGACAAGGAGGCAAATGGCCTTTCTGTTGCTGCCAGGATTCGTATGTACCAAACTAATTTCAAAAGTAGTGATACAAAAGCATGTATAAAAAAGAATTCAAATGAGAGTCTGCATCCCCCAGCTAAGCCAAAGAGAGCAATTTCTGAAGATGGTAAGAAAGAACAGCCTAAAACAATCAAACTACCAGATGAAAATGAAAGGGCCCAGTCAGTTCATCTGAGAGAAACTAGTTTGAGTGGCACTTCATCAAATGAGATCAGTAGCTACTCTCCTTGTCCCTCTCCAACAGCAAAGGCACAGTTGATGAAAGTTGGTAGCCCAAAAGTTGCTGTTAAAAGACATTCATTAGGTGAAAAGGCCATTGAAAAAGATATCCCTGGTATTCCAGCCGATAAATTACACGAGAAGCTAATAAAGCCACCATTGCCGAGTAAACCTGCAGCTTCACAGTTGAATGCTCATCCTTCAAAGGACTTGAATGATAACTGTAATGTAAAGCCAGGAAAAGTAGCAAATCAGTCGAATGTAAAACCTAAATTAAAACCTAAAGTATCTTCAGAAAAGCTATCTGAATCAAGTAAACAGAATGTGTTGGGGAATGATAATTTGAAAAGGCTTTCTGGTCCTCCAAGCCGTCCTTTGCCTCCTGGCCCAAAACCCCATTCAAATTCACTTACAGCTACAGACATTATGTCCAGTGCTTTTGAGTCAAAAAATATTTCAAATCAAGTGGAATCATTTTGTGAAGATGATGAGAGAGTTTATGAGGATCCTAACCAACGTGGAAGTAATGAGTCTGATTTGGATTATGAAGAGCCAGGTTTGTTGAGAAATAAATTTTTTTTGCTCCTTTATCACTTTTAAAATGGCAAAAAATATACATTCAAAGCATCAAGAAAATTCGAATGTGTTCATGTACACAAAATCTTTACTGTTGTTCCGTAACTGTGTAGTGTCTGAAAGGATAAGCAACTGGCACTGGAAGCAATTTTACACAGTTTTACTAGAGTCAACAGAAAAATTTGTAAGCATGGGCTTTGGAGAGGCCAACCAGACTTCAGATTTTTTTATAGTTAGTCATTACATTGTGAGGTTCACATTTTTGCTGAAAGGAAATCAAAGTGCAGTGTCATCATTTATAAAATCACTGATAATGCAACCTATATACAATGGGTGAAGGGAGCAATGCTCTTTGAATATATTGGAACAAAACATCTGTTTGTTATAATTATGATTGAAGACTTTGAGTGACATTGAAATGCAATGGATCTGCCCTGCCCAGTCCCAACCAATGTCATTATGTTTTTGGACAGTTCTTTTTTGAAAAGTGTCAATGCTTTGAAAAGTGCCATTGTAGATGCTCTTCCCAATGTCACCTACATATCTTCATTCCAGTCAGATCATAAGAAAACTTTTTAGACAATTTTTTTTCTGATAAATCTGTGTGTTTTTTCTTTTGACATAGTATGTTTGTTGCAATTTTAGAGATATTTGAAGGGGACAAAAAAGGAAGAAATGGTGTTGTCCAAAGCACTGCAAAAAGAAGACCACCTCCTTTACCGTTAAACAGTTTGGAAAATACTAGGAAGTCTGTTAAGCCACCACCTTTACCATCAAGGAATTCAGTTAGTATAGCTGAAGGTAGGGTTGATTATTATTTTATACTTTCATACTCCACATCTTCAAAGTACACTCTAACTTTTGTAATTTTGATAATATAATGTGTCAGAAATTGCTGATATAATGTTATCTAACAAAATGAAAATTATCTATTTCAATGAACTATGCAATGTGGTTTTGAAATATGAAAGTTATGTATTAACCAATTTCTGATTTCTCCAGACCAGTCGCTGTATTCATATGCTTCAGATACAACTGAAATGTTTGCAAATAGAGTGTCCCAGCCTGGCTTATATGAAACACCAGATGTCAGTAGTGTCAGAGGCTTGATGCTGGGTATACAGCAGAAAAGTGGCACTTATGAAACTCCTGATAGCAATTCTGTGATGAACTTTCTTTCCAAAGTCAATGAAGTTGATGCAACGGATGATGCTACATATGAAACTCCGGACAAAGAGGTTGTTGATGGTTTTACCAATGCTCTCAAGATAAATGAAAGTGGAGGTAATCTTTTTGTTTTTCTTTAACTGCTACTGCTTTGTTGTTATTCAAATATTTGTAGCTTTAAAATTCATGAATAAATATAATAAATGTAGCAAAATGTTTAATTTGCAAAAAGTACCATCATTTAGAAAAAAGTTGTAGAAAGTCAATGAAACATGAAATATTTAATTCTCCTGGAATACATTTTCTCCTTTCAGTGAAGCATCATCAACCAAATGACATAAATTTGAGCTCTTTCCTTACTTTTCTAAGCTCTTATTTTTTTATTTGATGCCATATTTATTTTACCCTAGTTTACTGTCAACTGTCTACCAAAAGTTCTTGGTTCAGTTCTGATTTTTATTCTTTTATATAATTTTGTTCCTTTCTTCTTTTTCTTTGTATATTTTTTTCATTGAAGTTAACAAAAAAGTTTTCTGTTTTCATTTTCTGTTTGTTAACTGTCATTCTAGCTCTTAGGCTGAAGCTATCCCAACCCCCCCCCCTGTATTACTGCAGACACATTTCATCGAAGAAATTATATCGGTGTCTTTAAAGTCACTACATTCCAAGATTACTGTGCAAATTCTGCATCTCTTCTCAATGGTATATTAATGAACAGACCAACTTTATCTGTTTGTCGACAGGCTATCATTTATTGTTTATCAGCTTGACTTTAGACATTGTTTGCTTTATTTGGGGCTTTGATCAAGCCTTGATTTCTTGTCTCCTTGATAAGTTTAATAATCTTGAAGTTATGGAAATTGAAGTGAGAACATTAACCAAGGCTAATAGCTGTATTTTGTTTATCTTTTCCTCTAGACTTCAATGTTATTCTATATATATGAATGCCTTTTTATGAATTCTTTGCTTGCTCATAACTGTGCTCAATGAGGTTTCTAAGACAGCATTGCTTCAGCAATGTAGATTATTGGTTAATTATGTATTCTTATTTTGAATGGTGTTCCTTGATGACTGAAGAGGTTGACTGGAATATTTATTTTAATATGTGGAAGGATTAAAATTGAAAATGTTATGCGAACTCTAGGTTTGTGGAATAGGTCCGTTATGTTTTTTTCTCAACTATAACAACTTGACGTGATTGTGTAAACTTTACAACATAGCTTGTAAGTTTTCAGGTTTCTCTTTGGTATGATCCCATGCCAGAAACTTTCATTAAAAGTTTTTTGGTATGGGTATGAATTTAAGACCAATGTTAATTAATTGGCTTCACGATTCCTTCATTAAAGTTACCCAAATTTGATTCACTGTTTGTTGGCCTTATCTCAGATCATATGGTGGTCGACCTCGGGTTAAAAGTCCCTGTGTATTCTTTGTTTTCTTTTTGGAAATGTATCCACTACTTTTTCTGCTATTGAATTTCGCGGGATGATTTATAAGTTTGTTGATATAAAATCGTTCCTCTGTTCTTGTCTGGTGATTTTATTCCTCCGCCTGGGATATTTCTGAATCTCTTTATTCGTTTAAGTGTTCATATTATTCCTTTGTTTGGTGCCATTGTGTGTGACAAGTTGTTGGATTCATTTACTGTGTTAGACTCCTCGTTCTGTGCCGTCTTTGAAGCTTTTTCTCGATCATTAGGACCATTTGACGACTAATTGTCCGATATCGCTGTTTCTGTTCTGTTGCTCGAATTTAATGCATCTATGCCTCACTCTTCCTTTTGTTGATTGTTAGCTATATGTCTGGATTATACCGCTGTTTTCCTCGAAGCGTCGCTTTCACCTTTAATATCTTCAGTTTCGAATTCTCAGTTTCGAAACCGTTATGAATACATTGCAACCATACTTGCGCTCAGTAGGTGAAAACCTGTATTCTTTTTCGCGATAATTTTGGTAAATGACCTCTTTTTCCTTAGTATTTGGATATAGCAAAATGATTCCAGCTTTTTAACAAAATACATGAATTTGCAATTGAACTGACTACTGCTTCATTGCCTTCAATATTTTAAACTCTTCACTTGTCGTAGAATTAACTGCATCTAAACCCATTTCAAACGACATTTAATCGTTCCTCAAAAGGAAGCAAAATAAATAGGTAACTTTTTGTGTTTATGTGGTTTGTAGATTGCTATTGTAGTATTCTTTGCACTTTTTACGTCAACTTGTAGTATTCTTTGCACTTTTTACGTCACCAATAATGAGAAGATCTGAAAAGTTTTTTCCTAAAGATTTGAACCTTTTCGAGTCTCTTATCGATTTCGGCTTGATGGTTTTCTAAAGAAGCCCTCCTGAGACCAGCTACATGGCTATTTTATGCTATATGACAGCAATGCAAATATTATTAATCAATAAAATACTGCTTAGGCTAAAACATATGCGATGGTTTTCCACAGCTACTACTCTCAGAGAGTCTTGCAATAGCATAAGCAATAAATGATACAATTAGTGGCAAGTTTACCCAGATATAGATATATTAATTAATTGGCAGGTGTGTCAGGCTCAGATTCCGATGACTATTGTGAACCAAACAGCGTTGACCCATCCCAACAAAGAACTGGGAGAATTATCATTCCACAGGCTCCGCAAAAAGTTTTGCCACCCCCTCCGCTTGGTGAAGAACAACCAGACGCGGAAAGCAGTGATGATGATTCTGGACATGACTATGAAGATCCAAGCGAAGAAATTAAGCCATCTGCCAGGTTGCTGTCTCTACGAAGAGGCAGCCAGCCAGTTTTCAATCCCGAGGCCTATCTTGCGTTGGATGAAATGGATGACATGGGTGACAGTACAACTTATCAGGATGTTAGTTTTTCTACTTACAAACCACTTACTCCTTAGAAAGTAAAATATTTTAGCAAAGCAGGAAAATATTATGACTTACTTTTTAAGGGAATTGTATTATTTGCTTCTGCTTAACCTAGCTTCGTTCTAGATTATAACAATGCAATATATTTATAAATACAAGGCTTAAAATGAAAGGCTGCCAATCTTTGACAAAAAATGTACGTTTCTTTCATGTCCTATGATAATAAGTGGGTGCACTAAAAAGTGCCCTTTGTTTTAATCTTCTGTCGTAATTCATCCAAAGTTTGTTTCTGGTATTCAAAATATTTTTTCCGCAAATTGATATATGTCTGGCCTTAGCCAGTTTTGTTATTTTCTACTTCTTCTTTGAATAATCGTTTTAATTTTTACAGCCTGCAGAAGCTTTTGCATCTATGAAAGGTAAGTTTCTTGTTCCACTTTGCCCCTTTGACTGTGACCCAGTTTACTTATAAATCTACCTTTTCATAGCGTTAAATGCCCACAGCAAATTCCCTTCTTCATTCAACTGAAATTGACAATTTGATAAATGGTTTGTAGCGATAAATATTAGCTTATGAAAAAGAAACATCTATGAGTTATTTTTGTTTCTGAGTTGTGTAGTCTCTGCTTGTTGTGAAAAGAAGAATTTTTTGCGTAACTTTGTTTCTTCTTCCACTAATTTTCCAGTGCATCAGTACTATTTAAGTGCTGTAATTGACGTGATAGTAAATTTAGCATCGTACTTGTAAATCTTTAATCAAAGATGTATTGCATCGCATTGCAGCATGTGCATTGATTTGCATTAACACAGTATATTTTGTTTCTGAGATTATTTACATGTTTTCGTGGCATCATCCCTTTTCAATATTTTTTAGGACCAGTTCTTTTAACAAAACCCAAAGATAACGAAGATGAATATGAAGATCTTGCTGACGGTGAATTAATTGTTTGCGTTTCTTAAAATTTTTTGCTGATTTTAAGAAAAAACAAAGATAGTTAATCAAATGCTAATATAACTGCTAAAATTGTATATCAAAAGTTACAAATGTTCCTTAAACTTAGCATAGACTGTTATGTTGGTCATGCATGTTAACTCTAATGCAAAATTTAAGGAATATATTGGCATTTAATATTGACACGTTCGTGCAGTTTTTGCGTATTCATTAAGCCAACATTTTATCTTTTGTAGAACCACTGTATCAGATGTATGCCGCTGACGTGCTATCAGAAATGAGACGGCAAAGTAAAAAAGAATACAAAGAAGATGACGTATTCAATGAATACAGCACTGGAAGCATCGAGGCTGGTCAGCGACTGTTATGGTGCCAGCTACCGTCAGTCAGAGACAGTGGCGTGCTCGATGAATTGGAGCCACGTGAAAGGAAGCGACAAGAGGTAACACTCTTGCTGTACTATTGGCAGCCCACCTGCGTCTATCACCTATAACCTAACCCTTGATCTTTTCCATTAAACGGTGTAAACGTGTTTTGGTAAATGCTTAGGATACCTTATTGCCATGTAATTTTCTGCTGATAATAAATTGTTTGTGCAAGTTTATTTCTTATTTTGTATTAAGAAGCAATTCTAGTTTCTTGCCGTTTAAGATCCAAGTCATATTCGTCACAAATAAAGTTACAAAGAGCCTTACAATTTACAAATACTGCTAGATTTATAGGTAAATTGTGGCAAATGGTAATTGTTAGAATTTAAATATCATGTAGTTATTAATTCCAAAGCCGGATGCAGCCTTGAAATAACAGGAAGTAAAAGGCTTAGAAATGGAATATAGTAATGACGATGTCAAAAAGCAAAGAACATCGTATATATGGTGTGACTTGGCAATTTACGTGAGGTTCTAGTCTCACTGTCGATGAGACTATGTAGCATTTTGTTGATCAATGTTTGCTGATTTACGCTTATTTTTGATCATCATAATATTGCCAATGTTGTACCTTATAATTATATCCATTTAATTCCGCAGGCTATGTTTGAGGTTATCACGTCGGAAGCTTCTTATTTGAAAAGTCTAAGCATATTAGTGAACCACTTCATGAATGAATTTTTGGAGCAGCTAGAGAAGCCATCCGAAGAGCGTCTTATTGACAAGCAGCAGTTTCATTTCATCTTTGGTGGACTTGCAGCCATAAGAAATACTAGCGAGAAGTAAGCTGGCGCAGGGTGTTTCTTCGTCTTGTTGTTGGTTTTTTCTTTGATAATAATTGCGACCCATGGATGTTCGAATTGTCATGATCTATTAGATGTATTTTTCTATGAATTTTCGCTTAAATTGGTGTAACTGATCTCGATTTCAACATTCCCAATCTTTTTTTGCAGATTTTTGCACAGCCTACGCGGAAAGCAGCAAGACAATTTTATTATTTCTTCGATCAGTGACATTGTCACTGACTATGTAAGTTTCTATTTAGACTATTTACTAATTAAGTCTTCTACCTTTTGTCAATCACTTTGTAATTTCAAAGATGACATCAGTGCGCCTTTTGAATATTTTCGCTTCTTATCTTCATCATCTGTTTCTTAAATGAATCAATTTTTTGTTAGGCCACGAAACACTTCGAATGTTACGTGAAGTATTGCTCAAACCAAGTTTACCAAGAACGAACATTGTCTGCCCTTGGGTGAGTTTTTGACTTTTTTAGGGTTTCTGCAAAATTTTCCAATTCAATCTCAAAGCATTTGGTAAAAATGCCTTTCAAATCTCATGGTTTAATTTGTTAAAAAAACAGTAAACTGGCAATTATCTTTATAACATTTGAACATTTTCCAGTCGTTTACGGTAATTTCTCTCAATGTGATAAACATCATTGCTTATCTTCCAAGCACCGCTATTTGACTTAACTGGGATAAGCGTTGGTAGCTATCGAGTTCAAGCATGAGCTTTGTTTTCTCGTAGGAATGAGAGTCAAGCGTTCATTGATCTTCTTGGAAGACTGGAGTCGTCTTCTAGGTCACAAGGGTTGTCACTCCAGTCGTTCCTCGTGGTTCCGATGCAGCGAATCACTCGTTTGCCGCTTCTTATGGATGTGAGTTTTCATCCAATATGTTTTCCTTTGTTTTTTTGCACAGTGACTTGCAAATTTTGTTTAGAGGGAACTGAATCTTGTGGTAAATATATCAATGAATTCTGGCCCATCCAACTTTCACTTTTAGTTTCTGATTTATTATCGCGATTTATATGATTGTTTTAGGCGATTTGTCACCAGTGTGAGCCAGGCAGTGAAGAGTTTAACAATACGGACAAAGCTCTCAGTGCAATACATAAGGTAAATTCGCAAAATTCCCATTCCATTTTACACCTTTTCGTTTTTTTCTCTGTCGTTTTCGTTATTTTCCTCCTTGTCATTCACTCATAGCTCTTTATGGCACACTCATTCCATCCTTATTACCACATATCAACGATTGGATTGGATGGAGCTCACTTGTTTACTTAATTTCCCTCAAGCAATGAGTTTTCTTCGTCCTACTCTACAGGTTGTGAAAGCTTGCAATGAAGGTGCACGGAAAATGGAGAGAATAGAGGAAATGTATTATGTCCAGCAAATGCTGTCTTTCAAGATGAAAGTAATTATTAGTTGATTGCTCTTGAATTGCAAACATGCAAATGAAATGATAACTGATATTGTAGTTGCCATTGTTGAAGTTTAGCTTTGTCCTCGTTTGGGGATAAATTTGGCCACAACTGTTGGTACTCTAGTTAAGGGATTTTCAGCAGAAGTGCTGCACTGCACGTGATCACATGGAAAAAATATTAAATAGCACAGAGACGCCAGAGCGACCAAAGGACAAGGGGGACGCTCTCAGAAAAATTGCATTTGAAATAAATTCAATGCTCTGTAGGTATTTAAAAATTGCTAACTTTTGTCATAAGAAATTTTTTACAAATTTCGAGAAATTTCGCCATGAGCAAGGCACGACAGTCAGGATTTCATATGACCTCTATATATTTTATATGCATTCTGACCCCCTTGCCACTCCTATGCAAGGGCAAGAGGAGCGGCTGCCCCCGCGCCTCCTTCAATGGAGTCACTCTGAATACGCGACTATTTCAATAATTTAGCTATTTTTACGCTATTAACAATACCTAATTTTATTTTAGCCTATTCCCATCGTATCGTCATCGAGATGGCTTCTCCGACGTGGGGAGCTTGTCTGTTTAGAAAACGAAAAGAAAGCACGTACTTTCAAGGCCCTGCTAAGAGGAGGAAAATACTACAGGATATATCTGTTTCTCTTCAACGACTTGTTGCTTGTTACCAAAATGAAAGGGTGAGGCTTTCCTGTTTTTTACGATAAAAGAAGAGTTCATATCGGCTAGTCAAAGCTTCTACCTGCCGAAAATTTGTGTTTTCTCTATCCTGATTTCCAGATGTCTTTGTATACCAGAATTAGAAAAATCATGATGCTTAACAAGTGATACCCAATGCTAAAATTATTCTGCCTGGTAAACTCGCGTAGGTAAAATGATCATCGTAAGATTTAACTGATCCTTCTCAAACATTATGTTAATCTGAACCATCTCTTTTAGCGAAGAGAGTTTCAAAGTAGTTGATTACTGCTCCAGAACACTTATCCGAATCGACGAGGAGTCTGTGCCAACGGGTGATACGTTGAAACCTGGCACCGTCGGAATACCAACAAACAAACATATGTTTTCCCTTATTCTTTTGGAAAATCATCAAAGGAAGACAGCAACTTATGTTTGTCTTGCTGAAACAGAGTAAGTTTTCCCTTTTGGTACGTTACAGCTTTTCTTTTTGCCAGTTCATTCATTGCTCTTTGCTACTTTTGGTAGCTCATTCTCTTCGCCTTTTAATCTCGTCACTACTGGGATTTCTTTCCTACCACATAAGCAATGGTTCTATTCCACCCAGGTATTCATGTGTCATCTCCGGACTGAATTCTACTCCACTCTTCAACTGTCTTGCTGCGAAACCTTTTTGCCTTGCTGCGATTTCCTCTAGCTTTTAAGGACACTTGATACTCTGCTGTTTAGCAATAGATTGTACAGACTACTTTCTTCCATTACTTTGTTCACTGTTTCTGTACGTTCACTGTTTGCTTCTACAATTCGTGCGCAGTCCTTTGAATGCGATGTAGGCAAACATAATATTTCGCTAAACTAACAGTTTATTAAAAGAACCTCTCTCCCCCCCCCCCCACGTTCGGTGCTGTAGAAGTTGAAATCATTAGAAAAAACAGAAGCTCTAAAGATCATTCAAAACAGTGCTTGAAGGGGGTGGTTAATCAATACCCTACGAGCAGACAAACAGTGTTCATGCTGGCTAGATGCTTGTGATTGCTTGTGACAATTTGCAGAAAACTAATGTATCGTCTGCTTTTGAGTTAATTGTTTCTCTCTCTTTGCTCTCTTGGCAGGTTTCTGGTCTCACTTTCCTTACAGACGAAAATCCAATTATCCCCTTTCAAATCCATTTCAATCTTCTTCCGTTTTCCTATTCATGCTCTCAATTTGTGTTTGTTGATAGTCCATAAATGATTTACTTTCTTGAATGCTGTTATGTAATTGATCCTGCGTAGGATAATATCCTGTTTCATTTCTTTGTTCGTTTCAATAAGCTTCCTCATTTTTTGAATCGTTTGCAGACTTGCTTTCCCCGTTGCAAATTGATTGCTTGAGAGATGGCTTCAATCGCAACCAAATTACAATGATAACCAGACTGGTGATTTGTTTGGAGACCCACGCAGCAGCTTTCTAATCTTTGGTTTCTGAATAAATACCTATAAAAACAGACCTCTTGATTTGTTTCCTGTGTCATAAATCTTGTTAAAAGGTTCATTCTACTGGCACAGTACTCATTCTCTTGTATTGTCTTCTCTTTTAAGTTAATTTTTGACATAGTGCCTTCTTGCTTGTCATTTACGCAGCAAATTCAACTGTATGCTTAATACTTCACTTCAATTCCTATTTTGGTTGTTGGTTTTTTGCTCCTTCATTGTGCAGTTATTCCTTTAATGTACTATCTCGCATTGATAACATTAATTCGTTTTACTCTATCTCGGAATTATTTCCCCATAGAATTTTAAAAAATTCTAGTGATTCTTGGGTTGTAAAACCTTTTTTGTGCAAAAGGCATTTACTGGAGATGAGTTGATTTTGTTTAACTCATGTTGGTCTTTTTGATGTACACAAAGGAAGCATTGATCAAAAGGATATATTTGTAAATATTCTTTATCTTCCTACGACCTCTTGGGCGCATGGTCGAGTCTATTCTATGCCCCGGCTTCGTCGTTTTATTTTTCTTTATCAGTGGAGCTTCTTTTGGGCTTCCTTGTCGATATCTTCATTCGAATGTGTTGAATTTTTATACATAGGCACTATTGCAGTAATCTTCTGGATGACTTTGTACCTGTTGAGCTGCAGTGCCGAAACCCGTTTAAATCGTGTTGAAAGCAGTTTTTTTTCCATTTCTCTTTTATTCCTGTTTATATCTGAGTGCCACAAAATACATTTATCTGTGCAACTTAGCCATACTTGATGCATTATTTCACCTGATGCATTTTTTACATGTCATGACAGTTCTCTTTCATATTATGTTTATATCAAATTATTATCGATTTATCCTTCAAAAGCTTCCTTCCATATCGATGGTCATAATTTTTGATAACGCATAAATATTAATTTATCTGTTTTTCAGTCTCTCCTCTTAGCTTATGTTTCATTACTACAACCTTGCATTGTTGCATTTCATTTTAAAAGTTCGTTTAGCATGAGGTACTGGCTATACCATCATTATATTATACTGTTTTATTGTTATTTTGTGCCTCCTTTTAGAACGGAGAAAGTTCGTTGGATAGAGGCTATTAATCCAAAAACTTCAGGAGAACAGGATGGTGAAAAAATATACGAAGAATGGGGTAATTTCACTTTACCACTGTTGGTTACAAATTTTGATGCAATTTTTTAGTATATTTTCCTCAGTTTTGTCACAGCAATTTTGAACAGCCTACATAACTTAACTTTTGAAAGATGCAACAAAAATATGAACAAGGATTCTATACTAGTTCTGTTACTATAATTCTGATATTTTTTGTAGACTGTCCTCAAGTCCGTACTATTCATGCTTATCAAGCACAGCAGCCTGACGAATTAAATTTAAGGGAAGGCGATGTTATCAAAGTGTTGAGGAAATTGCCAGATGGTATGTCTCGTTGCACTTATTCTTATCTAGCACATTTCGTTCCAGCTCTAATGCATCAGCAGATTTTTCTCACTTCGTTAATTATGTATCGAAATGTTTGTTTTTAAGTCGATGTAGGACTGTCTATGTAAGTCCCCTAATTACAGTTTTCTTTCAATACCATTACAACTTTACCAGCTCAAGTTTGTACCTTGCTTATGTAATATGCTTAGCTATGTTGAATTATTCTTACGAATGTTTTGGTATATTCTTACGGATTAAAGGGTGAAACTTTAAAAGTCGCATTTAGTTGTGCCCAACTGTAGGAGTTGCCAATTTTCTCAGGTATATTAGACATCCGATACATATCTAATATCAACATAATAAAATTCGTTGCTACAGAAAATTATCCAAAATATTTTTCCGAAATTATCAAAATGGATCCAAAATATTTTTGTCCCAATTCTTTATACGAAATTTTGCCGTCCGAAATCTTTCGATTTTCTGTGAAAGGAAATGTGAAATACATCTGTAAATCAAGAACTGTTAAAGTTCAATAACTTGCTTTTCTGTATCGATCTTTTTTGCCAGCCCCCTTGTTCAAGGTGATAAGGTCTGTGAAATTCTTTTCCCCTCACCAGACGAGTTTGTCGTTTATTATTTTACTTGATGTTGTTAATTGTTTGTCTTCTTGGTATCAACCATCTATTTCGATTGCAAAATTGATATTTAAGGCTGGTATGAAGGAGTGCATTTACTAGAGGGCGAGCAAGGTTGGTTTCCTGCAAATTTTACAGAAGAGATTCATAGCGAACATACCAAGGCCCGAAATCTGATGCAAAGGTACCGTCTTATCAACACAGTCACATTGGCTTTTGATTCAAAATCGAAGAAGATATCATCGGGATCAAAGCAGTGAAAATTGATTAATACTGAAGCACTGCTCCTTTGAGAGTACCCAACTAATCTGATTCTTCTTTTGAAGCCTGATACCCGATTCCTGACCATCTATTCCCGAGTCCCGAAGTTATCGATTCTCGAATCCCACTCTCAAAAAATTGCCAATTCCCGATTCCAAAAAATGACGTTTCCTGCTTCCCCGAAAAACATTGGGTACCACTTATGTTGATACATCTCTACTACTTTCTCGTGTTTCTCATCATGCATAAGTTTTTATATAATTGCAAACTGCCCACTTGTGATATCAGTTAAAATAAAATTGCCTTTATTACATTATTAAGTAACATATACTATTGTATTTATGTAATATCAATTTTTTGATATTCATTTGAGCACCATTCAAAATGCCAGAGAAAATTAAACCTAACGTTGACTGCGACCCTTTATAACCTTTACATAAATACCAAGATGTGTTTTTATCCAAATCCTTGTTATAACAGGACACAAGAGCAATGAAAATATCTGTTTCACAAGTAAAAACGGACACTCTCCCTTATACTGATCTTTCATTTTTAGCTAAATTTTGTGAAAATCTGTTAACTTGCCCAGACTTTCCAAACAACAGGACAAGCCTGATAAATAATGACGTTTTGTCTTTGTGTTGGTGCTTGAAGTAAGAGCTCTGTGTGACTCAATTCTTTGTAAGAATTATAATTCAACGAAGATGTTTTCTTTGTAAGCATTTGGTTTATTCCCAGGAAAGGTTGTATTGTTTAGGCCGCTAGAAAGAGACAAAGAAATGTCTATTATCCATTAATGGTCTATTTGTGGGGATTCCTGGCCGAATAGTTTGGTGATTGCATTGTATGAATATGGGGTAAACCTGAAGAACAACCTTAGAAAAAGCTAAATTCATTTCTAATGAAGTTCATTTGATATTCACTTAGAAACTGTTGCCATATTACTTTATTGGAACTATTCATGTTTTCAGATCTCTTGTGTCATATGTTGAGCTTTTATGAAAAGAAATGTCAACAGCAGTTTGAGTGAACTGGGTTAGATTTCCTTTGTTACACAGAAATGTTTAGCCTGCATATGTTATGGATTGACTAGAATAGGAGCTGCATTGATTAAGGATCAATTTTTAAGTGAAGTTTTCCTACCTGGGGAGGATGGCTTTATTCTTTGATTAGACTGTGTCGTTTACATTTAGAGATTAAGTTTGTAGTTGCTTGCCTTAAAAAAATCAAAATTTGAAAATGTTAACAAGGAACCTATTTATCTGCAACTTTTTTGCACATATCAGAATGTAATGTGAAATAACCAGGTTTTCAATATTAAGGTAAAAATAATTGCAAACTATTTTGTAACATTTTATAATTTATTATTATACTCTTTGTGATCAGATGTAAAATATTTAGGATCCGAAGCTGAGTATTCTAGCAGAGAACAGTCCTTGTTACATAATTTTGTAAGTTAAACATTGGCGTTCAGTTAATACAATAATACAATTTGTAAGAATTGATTTTTTTATCTAGTGTATATCAAATCCAATAAAGGGTTGCTTTTCTCTGTGTAGCATGATATTCTTATTTGAAAAATCATGTTGTTGCTGACTTCAGCGTGGGTGCAAGGCTTATACTCTTTCTGCATACTTTGATTGGGGAGTTGTGTCTTTGGAAATCTGTTAGTCAAAATTTGCATGTTTATAGTAGTTTCGTTTTGTTTTGTTTTGTTTTGTTTTGTTTTGTTTTGTTTTGTTTTGTTTTGTTTTGTTTTGTTTTGTTTTGTTTTGTTTTGTTTTGTAAGCACCCATGGTCAAAATAAAAACTTGCTGGTTCAGCCTCGTATGAAAAAAGAGTGGTTAATGTAAAATTGCAGGTAATCTTTTTCTCAAATTTCAGCTGCTTAAAATATGTCAAAAATAAGCTTGAGTACATATCTGTCATTCTTCAAATAAATAATTTCAACTTTTGTTCACTTTATCAATTTCTATCTGTGGAGTATCCTAGATCAAACATAACAATTTCAAAAAACACGCAGCTTTGGTAATCAAATCTTATCAAAATTTTTGACAATAAATCTCATATTTCTACACATACAGCTTATCTTTTGCAAAGTATTCTTAATTTTTTCTCCTTCGAGAAATGAGAATGTTTGATAACAGCACTTATCTGCAATCAATTCTAGGTCACTACCTTGGGTCAGCAAGTAGAAATGAAATACTGGCAGCAATTCATGGGAATGTTTAATTGATAAGCATGGGCTTCTTCATTTCTTTTACAGTTTCTTCCCCACAGAGAGCATTCACAACCTCAAAAGCAAAATCAAATGCTGTGCCAGGACCTCGGCTTGTGATCATATTGTTGTCAGTGACAACTGTTTGTTCTTGGTAACTGTATCCTGAAAAGTATGAGTACAAAAAAATTTTGTCTGGGACTTTAAATGTTAGTATAAACATTTCAGAACTTACTGGGAATATATTTGGATTTGTGCACCTTTCTTACGACTTTAAGTATATTATCAAGAAGATCATTTTGGCTGAGATATCAGGTTTGAGGTTATCAAAAGTGATATCAGGTAAACAATTTCTAAAGCTTGTGTTTAGTGATCAAAATAGTTTTATTGCTAAATAAAATTGATGCTTTGGGTGTAGATGATTCTTTTCAATAATTTTAAAAGCAGAATAAAGGTTGAATGTATTGCTTCAGTTTTTTGATTGTCATGTGCTTAGATAATAAGTAAATCAGAATTTAAGATGAACAATTCATCAACATCAAATGAAGAGCAACTCACCTTGTGTCAGTATTGAAACTTTAAAATTTAAGTGCACTGCTAACATCATTACATTACTTTCTCAAATTTCATGAAAAAGAAGCTTCAAGCAGTTTGCTTCGAATTTCAACCTTTTTTGTTCACGTTTTTCCAATAAAGTGACACTTAGTGGTCATCTTTCATGTATACTCAGAGAATCTTTTACAGAATTGTTTTGAAGCAATGCTTCAAAAAGTTCTGCTGAATTTTTCCCCTTGAAACAGCAAACCAATCATTAAATTTCCATTAAACTGAAAGTCTAAGGAATGGTAAATGCATTTTCCTGCCATAACCTATCGTTTCCAAGCCCCTTCGCCTCTGATTCTGATTTTGAAATTGGTCAGCTAAGGCCCGTGGTCACTCTGAGCTGCCATTTTGACCTACCCTTTCCATACTTTTGCGACCCCAGTGTATACACTATAAGCTTTTTCTTCTGACACTGACTAGAGTATGATATTTTGGAATAAGGGTCCAACTGAACAAGATGGAGAATATATACCCAGTTGCAGGTCGAAATAGGCCAATCAGAAAAATGAAAGGATGTGACTGGTAGGGTACCGTTGTCCAATTGGTGCCATGATTGGAAAAATCAGCTATTATGCCATTGAAAAATGAGCAGCACCACTGATCAAAGAATTGGCCCAATATTTCACTTTTCACTATACTTTTTCTTTAAAAACTATAATGAGCTGAAACATATAAATCTTTTAACAGTCTAGCAACCGGAAAATTTAACTTGTTCTTTTTCTAAACTCTAAGACTTTTAACTTGAGTTCTTTGCAACTTTGGCACTGACTTGCAAGTACCACTAATGAGAACATCCAGTGGACAAAAACATTCCGCTTATCGCTGAGTCAAAGATTTGGAACATTGACTCTATTCATTGTTTCAAATTGTGTACTATAAAAATTTGAGGGAGCTTCTAGTTGGAGCAATTGTTTGTCTTTATTTCTCTCCTCTTTATTTTTCACTAGATTGTAATCAAATATATATATATATATATACATATAGATAAATTTTCTTTTATCCAGAGGGCCATTTTCGAAGCAGGTTTTCGAAAGTGGATTGTAACAATGTACAAATAAGCTTAAAATTAAAATGAGAACCTTTGCTAGAAGATGGAATGAAAACATCTTCAAGTACTCAGAGTAACTTGGACAAAATGCTGATAAAGTAAACAACACAGCACTATAATCAAGAAAAATGAAATAATTTTTATTTGAATGAATGAATCACATACCATCAAATTTTTCTTTAACTGATGGGTGTGATGTAATCTTTTTCCCTTTTCCAATTCCATGAGTTGCAAAAGCAATAGGGCCTAAGCGACAATTAATGATATTTCAGGCCATGCTGGGAATAAAATGGCAGGGGTGCAATGAATCGCACTCCTTGTGGTGCCAAGGCGTGCAATGGTGTGCTATTGCACCGAAGTACTTAATAATACAGTCAGCTGTATAAGGACTAGACTACATAACTTTATCATAAGAAAACATAAGCAAGGCTAGTCCAATCAATACATTTTATCAAACAAGCTTTATTAACGTCAAACCCAACATATTAAAGAGAAAAACATTAACAATAAGGTAGGTTAATTATTATGTAATCCTGCAGTTTATAAATCCTTCTGGTCTGCTTCTCCTGACAATCTCGTTCTCAAAATTTAAGAATTCTAACTGTGTTTTCACCATAAAGAAAACTTATCTGTTGACTAATGTTAGAACGAATTAAATGGTTAATTGCACGTTTATTATTTGTAAGAAAGCTACAGTAGCTAAATCCTCACAATTCAAAGTCTCTTAATTTTGGAACATTTTTGCCCACATTTTATTAGTAAAAGTTTCTAAAATGTTTTGTATTTGCATATAGATTAGAAAAATGCACATAAAGTAAACTGTATATAGAGGAATTGTGAGTCCTGAGAAAACGAGATTTTACTGATCGCACTTGCAAGATACACTCGTAAACCACAGTGTAATCTGGGTCAAATCATTTAAAGCTTAAAGATCAATAAGCCTGTCTAAATAAACAAAGCCTTACATGTGCCATGGGGTTGTAACAGTGGAATCCCAATATAACGAACTCTGAAGGGAACCAGAAAATATTTCGTATATCGGGAGTTTGTTAAACCGAGAGATAACGTTTTTTGGGGGTCCTTTCGCAGTTCACGCCTAAAAAACCTGTGGTGGGCTTGTTTAGGCTATCTCCAACCTCTGTGCACATGTACAGCCATACATGTACCATTTAACTCAAAAAAACCAATCTGAATTCAAATAATACAACTGGCTGGTCATTGAAAATGAAAATCTTAATGTTCCTTTTATAACTTGGGACCAAGAGATTGGCAAAGCTGGTATCACTTCGCTCCTAGTTGGTGCCTGAATGATTTGTTCAATTACTTCACATTCTTATTTGTCTTTTCTCCATCTGGGTCTCTCAATAAAGTTTTGTCGTCTCTCATTGCCAATGTCTCATATGTAAAAAGGTATTCAGTAGTGTCAATGTACTCATTTGCAGTAATTTCTGACGCAATCAAACTTTCATCTTGTGGTCTGAGTCTATCAGCCAGTACTTGAAATGTATCATCGGCATGTTTTGCCGATTATAAAAATGATTTCTCCCCAAGAGAAAGTGATAAATAAACACCGAAAATAAATAAACAAAAATAACAGATGAAAAATTTATGAAAGTTCGTTATATCAAGGGTAATTATGATGAAGGGACCTAAAAATTGTTCGTGATAACGAGAGTTCGTTATATCCGGGGTTTGTTATACCGAGAGAATTTGTAAGGAGTTTGTTACGCAGAATCCAAGGGACCAGGCATTTAGTTTGTTATACCGGGAAGTTCGTTATATCCGGGGTTCGTTATATCGTGATTCCACTGCAGTTATTGCAAATGAGACAAGCGACCACAACTGCAAAGCAAGGATTATCGGCCTAAAAGGTCGAGCGTTTTTCAGACCTCAACTCAAAACTTTGATAAAAAAAATTATGGAAACCTTCGTTTACAGGAGTTTTTCGCCACTTTCAAAACTTCTGTTAGTTTTAGACATGGTATCATTGTGTGCCTTGAAAGTCCGGCTACTAGAATCTGAAGAAATCGAGAAGTGAATGTTTTTATCCAGAAAACGTTTACCATAACTTTAAGCAAATTAGAATATTCGCCAAATTTTTCGTCAAGTAGAAATCAAATAGAAACGATTGCGTGATTATCACCTTTCGTTCATAGTTGAATTATGATAAAAAAATTACATTGGGCCATATTGGTCACTTTGGAATAAAGTGTTTAGATTATTTAAGGCGTGCGATAAACTGCACTTCTGAGCAACGGAAGGCGTGTGCCAAGGCGTGGGCGTGCGATCGCACGCCATTCCCAGCATGGCCTGATATTTCATTCTGCTATGTTAGTGATGATTAATGAAAAATGTATTAAATGATTCATGATCTTAAAATGTAATAGCTACACAACATTCACAAAGATCTTTTTTAAAATAATATTTGTTGTTTTTTAGACATCAAGAGATGCATATTTACTTCATCTTTCTTGGATCAAGTGAGGTTCCATATTTGAGATAAAAATCCAAGGGAACATTTTTAAGCAAATTTCATTTCAGTGAACATTCAAAAACAGCAGAGGCAGTGCCACAGGTAAGGTTGGGGAGGATATGTCCAGCAATTTTTTTTATTCAAGGATTGATTTCTTATTTCATTAAAAATCGACCAAAAATGGCAGGGGGTGATTTGTGTCATCTTGAAATTTCACTGGCAAATCAACAATTTCTAGCAAGCTTCAATTCCTGATTATCCTAGAAAACCTTTAAGTTGGTTGTTGAGATAACAAAGAACAATTCTTGATTATATGGTATGTTGACAGTAAAACTAAGGACACTGTTTCATCACTGTTTTCTTTCTAAAATATTTTTAAAAGGGTGTATCCAGTACTTAGGGGATGACATCTAAAAACTAAGCATGCCCCCATATCCCTTCCCCCTGCCCATCCTAAATTTTTCTGGCTGGTGCTGTCCTTTCAAGACAGAAAGGACAAAAGTAAGGTATGAATAACAGCTTTTAAGGATATATAGATAATAACAGATATACTTAAAGACTAGGGCATGTGAGAAGAACATGTCAATTAAAAATCTTACCTGCACATATTGCAGCAACAATTTTTCCATCTTTTTCATGTGACTGAAGGATCTCCTTCACAACTGATGACTAGAAATGAAAAAGTTTTAATAATGTTCAAAGTAATTAGACTTTTCATCATATAATGAACAGCTTCCTAAAAATTATCAATGGTTTTCATTATTCATTTTTACAAAGAAGGTTGATTGAACATTAAAATTTTGATGGCAAAAAGAGCAGTTAATGTTTTTCACATCAAGAGAATAGTTCAAAGGTTCTCTTTATGTCAAACAAACATGTTGATAGTCTATATTTGCTTTGACTGCTAAATCTAAATGGTTGTTTGCTTAAACTGTATCAAATTGTGCATGTACTTGGGACAGGATGGAGCATGGGGACACTTTTCAATCTTCCAAATCATTATCTAATTTTGGCAAGATATGGGATCTCAAAAACAAATACTCTTACTTCTGCAAGATTTTGAGCACCTTCAAGTCCACCAGGAAGCACAACTGCATCAAACATTTCCTAAAATGACAAAATGAGACTGCAATTGAATAGTTAAAACAAAAATGGGTTTCGTTATAAGTAAGTAAGAGCATTCTCGTTTTACAAAAGTAATTTGGTAGTTGTGGAATAAAAAGACACGTTGCAAACCTTTTTGACATCTTCCAGACTGATATCTGGTTTGACAAAAACTCCTCTGCTGCATGTCACCACCTCAGAACCATGCAGACCTGCCACGACTGTATCTACCTGTCAAAAAATCAAATGTAACTTATAAACTTTCTAACTGTATCATCCAAACAAACTGTTGTAAGTAATGGATCTTTTTATTCTTATTGTAAGTAACGGTTCGAAGCATGTTCTATCTCGAACCAGATTGCACTGTTTGTTAGGCTAGTAAGGGTCATCATCACTGGCAGCAATACAAACCATACCTTTGCTCTTCTGAGAACATCAATAGATATAACTGCCTCCATCTCTTCAGCTCCTTTAGCAAGAACAACTAAGGCCCTTTTGGATGCCATTTTCTCCCTCTTCGCAGCAAACCAAGAAGAAGATTGACCAATTTCTTGAGCTAACTTGTTTCCCTGTGTCAGATGGAAATCCCCCTGATGAATGAATGCATGGAAGGGGGGCATCGCCTGGAAGAGTAGAAACGCGACAGGAAACTTTCAGTGAAAACATGTAGAAACCCCTTTCTGGTGCAGTTAATTAGTTTTGAAACCTTCATGTATGTCCGTGTAATTTCTGACGAAGAGGTATTTGCTTCTGCTGATAAAAAACTTTCCTGGAATGTATTCTTGTCATTCCTGACGTATCTATCATTTTGTAAATGATACTGCTTGGAATCAGTAGTGACATTGTAATTCAAATTGTGTAATTTTCAGGGGCGGACTTAATCAACAATGAATGTGGGGGTGCTAGACAATAATTTTGGTGCCACACCCTTCAGGTCACTGGTAAATGATGGAAACGCCCATTTTCTAAATTCGATTTTTAATTTTAAGGTAAAGACGATAAGAAGCAGTGGCGTAGCCAGGGTTAGAAGATTGGAGGGGCAAAGAGAAGTAAATCTTTGCTGATCAGACTCTAAGGAATTTGGGAAAACACCCTATTTTGTTAATGCGTTTGGAAAAGCTATGGCTTTTTACGTGGCAATTTCGCTTTATACAACGTCATATCTAGCTTTCTGTGGCTGACCATATTCTACAACTGTCTATGTCCTTCACAATTCCTCTAACGTTTATATTCTGAATTGTGTAGGGCTCGGAAGCTCTACGTGTAAAAACTGTTTTTCTAAAGTTCTAATCAAATATTTAAAAATAATAAACAGTATTCAAAAGTTGCAATTTAGTCCATTCTTCTTTCCCCGACAAGCATTTCAGAATCCAGTCTTTAGCTCTTTAGCTCCTATTTTATCGGGATTGTCTAAAGAGCGTGAAGGATGAAAATTTTTGCGACGACGCCCTTGAGATGAGCTTAAAATACATTTCAGAATGTTTCTTACAATCATTTGCTTGCAGTCTTTTAAAACGCTTTAATTTTATTTGAAATTTAAAGTAACCCCCCCTCCCCCTAAAGGTACTAATTCTGTTGCAGATTCGCACTTTTCTCAGACATCGACTTTCTGAGTGGCCGCTCCCAGTTGGCGTGGGCCCTGGACCATCTGTCTAATGTTATTGGCCAAATTTGGCCGAATCTACCAACCCTGATAAGAAGATAAATAAATTAAAATCTTGGCGTTACTTTGTTACTACTGACTATCAAAAAATTATCTTTACCGAATGGAACCAAATTTACCGGAGGACACAGACATATTGAGGGAGGGGTGTCGCACTCCCTACACCCGCACCCCCCGCTAAATCCGTCCCTGGTGATTTGGATCGCTTTAAAGAAAAGGCAGTCATTTTCATTCAAGATGATAAGGCTAGGGTCAAAACTATACTTTTCGTTGGCCTTTTTAGCTGTCAATTAGATGTATCCAATTTTAAGCCTAATTTAAATAAAAAGACATAAACAGAAAATCTGAAAATTTAAAAAGAAAAATAGTAAAAATCCGAAACGGAATTAATCGCCCGATGTTTCCTTTGGGAAAATTTTTTAGAAAATGATATATGATACTCTTTACAAACATAAAGCAGCTAACGAGTTTGGTATAACTTGAAACAATCGGGGTTTCGACATATTATTGGCGCTCGTTACTTAACCTGATCCAACGAGACAACGCAGTTGAAGCGACTTTTTAAGAAAAAAGGCTTGGGTCAGTTACCTAAGCCTTAGGCCAGTTAAGCTTAGGCGATGTCATTTGCCATATTCTCCCAAAAATGGAATCCCAGTCAAGATACTGCTGAATTATCGTATGAATTGCCTGAATCCGTTCAAAATTCTGCTGCACTTTGCAGCGTCTGATGCATGAAGAAGGAGCATCTGGCGTGAAAGAACTCTACGAGGAACTTGGTTGGGAATCTACGATGTTTGGAGCAGGCGTCTTGTCTTTTTTTATGAAATTGTAAACGATATTACTCCGGATTACATGGTTTCGTTCATGTAGCAATAGTATAGTATGAAATTTGTTAGGTAAAGTTAGAATGTAAGGTTTGTATTGTAATCCATTATAAGAATATAATAAAAATATACATTAATGTTGATGCGGTGATGGCTTTCAACCATCTGTGAAATATGCCTTTCCGCTATTAGAATTTTGGCAATTAGCACGTAAGCATTGGGAATGCAAGAACCCTTGGCCTTATACAACGGTCATCAAAGCCAAGCAATCTTTTTTATCTTTAAAAAACATGGTAATCGATCTTCTTGATTAGAATTTTTTTGGCTCAATGTTAAGGGTTTAAAAGCAAATAATTGACATAGTTGTATCTACAGATTATGTTCCTATGAAAAGTGAATTTGGCTCTTCTGGAAAGGGGTACTTTTAAACGGCTGCCTGTATTAGCTATTTGCTCTTCCCATTGGCGTGGCAATGATGCAATCTTGATACGCGAACATGAAAGTATTGTAAGTGTGTTGCTTATTTTAAAAGCAATGGAATTTGTGGTTTGACAAATTAAGATAAGTATGGTCTCAAGAGCTCATTATTAAATCTTCAATCTATTATAAATTATTAGAATCATATTTAAGTGCCGAGAACGTTAAAATGCAGCGCTGTTAAATGATTGTCACTTTATGTGTCAGTAAATTTAAGACAATCATCGCGGTAGGACATTGCTCGTTGTGTAGTGTAATAGTGAATAGCATGACTGATATTACTAGGAAATTAGTAAGTTAAAAAATCATATTCTAGTTATTGGCTTTGTTACGTAATTGAAAATTCACAACCTATATTGTGAATTGTAGCGGGTTGCTTTGCAACTTATAGGAGGAGAAGTAGTATATGAATTTGAGGCTTTAAGTTTCTTTACATTTGAATTTTCTGTTTTAAAGAGATATAAAAATTCGAACTCCGAGTCCTTGAAGTTTTGCCATTCCTCTCTTTCCAGAGTACATTTCAAAACAATACGAGGATTCTTTCATCTTTCTTTCAGTGTTCGTGTGCATAGGTGCATGGTGCAAGGTAAAAAGTTTCAAACTTTCAATAAAATCATTGTTCTTTTTAGATTCTATCAAGATGGCTATTATAAGATATACAAAATAATCATTCTTTTTGTTAATCGACTAAGGATCAACAACTGATTTAAAATAGGAAATAGATGCCTCGAGAAAGGCTTTTCTTCTATCGAGCAGTAGTCATCCTACTGATGTTGAAAGTGCCTGACTCTGCACGATCAAGAAATTGCGTTCTCTAAGAAGCTTTCTCCTTACATTACAAAAAGCCTCAGAGGCACCAGAGGTGTTCTAAATTTTGACGCCAATTCTTATCCTAAGCTTAATGCTATCTTGACTTTTCTATATTTATTTTATGTTTTGGTTCTTTATATTTTGGTTTACATTCTCGGTCATTGAATCTCATCAAAAACTGGGAAGCTAAAAAAGCACTTAGCTATTCAGGCTCTTGCATCTTACATCCAGTTAATACTGCGAAATTTCAAACAAAATTTCTAAGCGAAATGTCCAATTGTGAATTATCTCAATTACAAGCTGCGAGAGATAAATAATGCAAAAAAAAAAAAAACCTTCACTTGGATGCAAAAATTGTGCTCTTATGGTGGTTTGTTGCAGATCCGGGACAAAAGTATGGTGTTAATAGATAACTAATAGATATGCTATATGATGTGACTTTTTATCTTTGCTTTCTGAACCCTTCGAAGGCAGACATTATCTTTAGAGTCCCCGCCACGACAGACAACTTGTCAACGGTAAAGATACTACCGACTAATATGACGCAATCACAGTTCTGAAATCATCAAAATGGACCAATGGAAGTTGTTCCTTAGCATATTCGATGATCACAGTTTCGGTATGTTCAGGATTTTGTGTAGCTTAAAGTTTGAAATCTTGTTTGAATTTCCACAGCATTAAACGAAAATTCTTTATGAAATACCCCTAGAATTTTCTAAAAAGCAAAGTTTGCCTGCCTAATATCACAAAAATGCAGATTCAAGTTTTCTATTGTTGTTATATCATGCTAACACAGCTTGGTATTTGTTCGTTCCCTCATATTTGCTTACATTGCCAAGTATATATATTAGCGGAAAAACGAACGTTAAATATTTTCATATTTATAGTAGAGAGAGGAAATTGCATTAAGGTTATCATCGGGACACGACGTACCCCTGTTTGAATGTTTGAACTATTATAGGTTTGCCAAGGACCTTATTTACATCTGTTTTGTTGCCTTCCCACATTAATGAACTTTCATCTATTACTTAAGAAGCTATGTCAAATACCGTTTTAATGTCTCTATAACAAAGCTATAGTCTTTGATTGAATAGGAAGTTTAATATATTTAAGAGCAGAATATGTTGAGATACATAACGTTGATGGAGCCTGAGTAAGGTTGTTCCAGAGCTAAGTTTACGAGTTTAATGTATAAGCTATAGATGATAGTGATAAGATTGTTCTCTTATCGCCGTTACTAAATAAAAAGGACATGACCTCTCTTTCCATTCAAACTTCTCCTCTTCTCTAAGTTTAGATTATGTAAGCAACCAACTTTTACATATTGCTAATGAATGCTTACATACTGGACAGACATATTTCAAATAAATAATGGTACT